GTTTTTGTGTCTGATTTCGTAACTTAATTAATAGTTAGCACTAATTAATTAGCATATTTGAGGTCACCCCCAGGAACCATTAAGATTGACACTTAGTTCCTGAAAATCCGATCATTAGAACGAAAGTTATTCAGGGTGATATCTTTTTTTTTGCGGACTGTACAACATAAACAAACTAGTTATGCATCGATGTTGTCAGGTACACAAAAGAAATTAATAATAAATCTAAGAAAGGATTATATTTCAACAAATTCAATGTGTGATACAGCGCTGTATTTAATTAACTTCACTTTGATTAACATTCTAACTCATGTAGAAAAACTTAGCTCAACTTTGACACGCCATTTCATTTACTGACGATCAGTTGGCGCTGACGTCATAGGTCATATGTGCGGGTATATTTGATCGTCTTCTTCTCGAAGTGCACGTACCTAGAGCTCCTGAATGATAGTATAAGAGCCTTACACGTACCCAGTTACTTTATTTCAAGTCACGCTTCTTTTTTAAAATTTTTCTTCGTTTTCGAAATTGGCTTTGTTAATTAATGTTTACCATATTTTGAGAAAGGCTTCAAAATAAATGACTTACGTTATTAATATTAAGAGTTTTTTTTTTAATTCGTTTAAAATTTTCAATTTTTGAAAAAGTAGCCAGTGTTACAATTGCTACATTTGGCTACTGACGAGTAGCAAAATCTCCTTATTTTGCCCTATATTGTGAGAGTAGAATCTTGTGATCAAAATTTCAACCATTTAATAATTCGAGGGAGCACTTTACTAGAATTCTGTGACAGTTGAAATTGCAAATTTGAATCAATCATTTCCTTAAAAGCATAAATTTATCGCAATTATTTCGCCAAATAAACTTCATTGCCAATCAAAATTCCAACTAACTAGATGCGTCAAATCCCATCTGTAGTCCTGTACCTGGTGACAATGCAAGTTTCAATCTCATCAGAAGGCGATGAAATAGGTTCTTATAGATTTGAAACAACAAGGAGTGTCACTTACTTAGGAAAAAGAATTTTCATTGATAACAGAATGTCTTCTGAAATAAAAAAACCGACTCTATCTGACGAATGGAGCTGTCTATGGGCTGAGAAGATTTGTAAAATCTAGCTTTCTTTCTAGAAAAACAAAGTTCTTAATTTACAAAACTCTATTTGGGCCCGTCTTGACAAATGCTTCTGAAACTTGGAGGAAAATCGTATCGCAATATTTGAGAGAAAGATTTTGCAGAGTATACTCGGTAGTGTAAATGAAAATAGTAACTGGATATTTCACCTTGAACTGTAAAAGATTTATAAATAACTTGGAATTATTAAATACATAAAAATAAATTAAATGAATTGGATGGATCACGTGATTCGAATGAGTGCAATAAAATAAAATAAATGCAATGCAATAAAAAAGTTATTGCTTTTTAGACCCACTGAAACAAGAAAGCAAGGAAGGCCGTGGTTGAGATGGGCTGATTTGGTCGATATTTTATATGGAGTGATTTTAAATATTTTTTAATAAAATAAAAGCGTTATGTTAATAATTAAACATCTTATATAAATTTAATTTTTGTAGAGTCCAATAATTTCCCCTGGAATAACTATATGAAGTGATTCTAAATATTTTTCAATAAAATAAACGACGTTATGTTAATAAATAAATAAACCAACTTCTATAAATTTTAATTTCGAACAGATAGAAATAAAACAAAGATAAATAAGTGAATACAAAAATACTCTTCCGTACATGTACAGTCGCTGGAATGCTGAAGAGAGTTTAGTCGTCTAATTGGCAAATCAGGGCTACTCCTCGATTTATCCAGTGCTCTTGGGGTTTATCGGTGGGCAAGAGCATAGATATCACAAAATTAGTAGAGTGCCCAGTAGTCGATAGAATACCTCGTCTCTCGCTCGTCTTGTACACTGGGCACAAGTAGCTGTTTTTTCCAACGAAATCTTCTCGTTTAATGGGTTTGAGCCACACCTGGAGAAATATTCAGGTAATAATTAAAAACAAGAACACTGTGACGAGATACTATGTTCTGTAAACAAAAGGGTAGGATTAATCAGGAAATTTACGATTGAAATTTAAGAGATAGAAGCAATTATTATGCAAATGTTTAAATAGGCAGAACACCTAATAAGATTTGAGCGAGTCGAGACACTGAGATATTCTTGTCCAAACCATCTAGTATACGAAAAAGAGTAAGACTGTCTGGAAAAAGACCTTAAAATATTAGAATAACAAACTGGAAAACCCTAATCTGGAACAAGACAGCATGATATGGAATTCTGAGGTAGGACAGGGCCCACTTGTGACTGTCGTATCACTGAAGAAAAAGAAAGTGTGGTCTTCGTATATAAATGCATCTTAGTATATGAAAACTGAAATATAACTGAAGTTATTCAAAATTATACTTTTCTACATGATAGAATTTACATATACTGGGAGTTCAAAAAGGGGGAAAACGATCAATTACAGCGAAAAAATTGTATTATATTAAAAACCTAAAAAAACAGAGAAATTTTCAGAAAATACATAAAATGATATCAAACTTGACCCCCAAAATCATTTCTGGAGAGTCGGGCGTGGTTCAACTTCAAATTTTTAAATCTTCAATTTTTCATTTCAGATTTGGATTTTCCAGAAAAAGTACTTTAATTCGATTTGAAGGTGTTTAAAGTTTGGTTCACAGATGACACTGCAATCGCAAAATTAAAATGCGATAAAAAAAATTTTTTGTAAAGCCAGCTATTTCAAAAATACATCTTCATTTAATAAATAAAAACAAACTTGTTTAATATTTTCAGAAACCTGTCTCATAACACCAAACTTGACTCCACCACAACCTCTAAAGTTTGGTTTCTTAAGATATTCGACCGCTTCTTTAGTTTTCGAACTCTCGTACTACTTGATATGTATACTGTTACCGAGAATGGCCGAAATCACATAGTCATTTTGCGAAAGTTAGAAATATTTGTTATATCAGGTTTGATGTTAATTAATTTGTCGATAATATTATATTTATTCGATATTTTAATATCTGCTGAGGATTTATTACATCAGTTTTCAGAGTACTGGATAAACATCAGTGTAGGGCATACCGGGCAGTGGCACTTCACTTACCAAAGCAACAATGAGATTGTCAACAACCACCCATTTCGGTCATTCACAGTAATATGTATAATTACGTGTACAAGTATGCGTACAATGAATGCTTACTATGGGTACAGGATCGTACAATACTTTAGGTAAGGATTCACCCAGAAGCCAGCGATCATGGTCCCAACGAGCTCCATCCAAAAATAGACCTCTGACATACACTCCTGAAATAAAAATCATTATCATACCTTTTATTAATCCTACGCAACACTAAAGAATTCCTTTTGTAAAGAACATGGATCAAAATAAAGAATATTGATATGATACTGAATTCTTCAGAAAAGCTAATTCTTATTCTGCGCCTTTCTAAATGCTTACTTAGTTTGTTTTTTTTATGTTGCGGGTCTTTGTTACCTTAATCAGTATTGCATCCTGACAAAATGTTTTGTGTTTGTTGAACTGTGTGAAAAAAATATCTTGTTTCATAATGAGGGTGATATGAGAGTCAAAAGAGATCACATAATTTATGGACAGCTCTACCAACATGAAGTCATAAAACAATTTGCCTTTATAAATTGGGGCATCATTTAAATTTTAAATCGAGAAAGCGAACATATTACTTCCTGCACCAACAATTTTAGGTTAATCACAGTACTTACTTTATTGGTGACACCAGATTGTTGATTTGTGATGTAACACATACCTCACATACCTTACATACATACCTCAATAGATTTACCTCAACACATACCTCAATAGATTTCAGTATTACAGCCACGCATTATTTTCAATAATTGGTATATTCTAGTACACTAAATGGCAGCACTTCAACGAATCTTTTCTACATTTTAGTAAGTGGTTATAGTTTTCTCTAGCAGCTTCGAAGTGGAGACACCTTTCCTCCAAAGCCTCTCACTTTTTTGTTCAATTTTTCTGAATAGGAGAATGAGTATAGCATAGGTTCTCAATATTTTTTGGCTCACCTTCCATTTTGCAAAACAAAATCTTTTCTTTTCTTAACAAGATTTATTAAATACTTTAAAAAGATTTATGGTACACTTTTATTCCTATCGTTAATTTATTGAAAGTTCCTACTGAACAGAGATTATATGTTTGAACCTTTTCCTTGGCGATTTTTTTAATAAAAGTAGCCTTTAAGAGAAAAATAGAAAAAAATATTCGCTGCGAAGTTCAAATTATAACTATAAATTAATTTTTAAGCACAATGTACTAAAAATTTTGAGTTATTGTAACACTGTATTCATGATGAGTAAGAAAAATGGCAACATAATCTATAAAAAATTCGAGGAGAATAGTTTAAATTTTAAAATAAAATAAAAAAAATGCCACTTCTAACTGCTTAAGAATTTTTTTTTTACGTAGAACAGCAAGCAAAATGCTATTTTCGCTGTAAAATCATCTAGTAATTGTTATTATATATATATANATTTTGCTGACTTCCTGTTAAGAAAGCTTGGGTGAAGTAGAAACCAGATATCCAAAACACGTTTGGTGGTCCATTGTCAAACCAATCCTGTCAATTCGATTGAAACAGTAAGAAATTAATTTTAAAATTCACTCCATGCACTGGATTCGTGAAAAGTTTATTGGGAAAAAGTATATACAGTGAAACCTCTCGGGAGAGACAAATTTCCGTTCCAAAAGGGTCGTTGATGGAGGTTGGACATTCTTAGAGGTTACCTCCATTGACTTTAAATTTGTTTTTGAAGGAACACGATTTTTTGTAAAATATTTTAATTTTAGTCAGTGTTTTCTTGGTGTGGAAATGTCACTTCTGTTGACGTCATGAAAAGACGGATCCATGAATAAAATTTATAGCGTCTATAAAATTGATTCCAATTGATATAATTATATATAAAAACAAATTTACCAAATATGAAGGATGAAGTTATTTTAAATAAATAAACTATCTTTAAAGCTATTTTAATTAAATAAATAAACTATGTTTTTTGTTCAAGTTTGCATTTCATTTTATATCATAAAAAATAAATAAGAGGTTTTAAAAAATAAGAGGTTTATTCATTTTTTTTAGATGCTTGTTTTTTTAAATAACTTTCTTAAATTTAACTTTCCACTCTGAAAGTAAATCATTGATGGCTATGTCTTCAGTGAACTCTTTCTACAACATGAGATTGTATCGTCAAAAAGAGCACTCTAAATAAGAGCTTCACTCATATATTTTGAATGCATTTTAATCAACTTATTTCTTTTGTTACATTTTTTGTTTTAATGTTTCTTCATGTTTCCTTATTTGACCTTTACCAAATTTGGTTCAGATGTATGCCTGATCGATGGGAGAGGTCTCAATGGTCTTTCCTTAAAGGTTTCCTTCAGCACAAAGTTCATGGAAAAAATTCCGTGCCTCCCAGAAGTGGTCGCTACGTAGAGGTGGTCTTTCCAGGAGGTTTCACTCTATTGAAATAATACACATCAGAAATAAGTTTCACCATGCAATCTTACTTGATGGCATGCCAATAACTTATCATATTGTTTCATCGTACTTCAGATAGCGGATGATTGTAATTTAAGTTACCCTACTTGAAACAACGCACATTTCGGTGGGTAAATGTAATAGAACGGATAAACGAAACTTTTCATACGCGAAAAAAAGAAGAAAATATATACTAATTAGTGCCGTATAATCAATTTACCCAATACTGGTGAAAGAACTGCAAAAAATTATTATTATGTTTGGAAAGACTAGGAAATTGTGAGTAAGAACTGAGCTAAAGTAATATAATTCAATAAAAACCTTACTGAACTCATTTAAAACGCGTTTTGAACACGTGTTTGACAAAAATCGAATGAATATAATAGGCTATGATTAAATAAAGGTACATTTTTGCTTGTGGCTTAATATTCATTTATTTATTAATTGTAACTTGTAATTATTACTGCTACAAACAACTACAGGGTAGCTACTAAATACTGTTACAAATATTGAATCATTTTATTGGAAATTTATGGAAAATGATAACACAAATATGATGAACACTATAATTGAAAATTTACTGTATATATATATATACACACAGTAAATTTCCAATTAATAGTGTTCATCATATTTGTGTTATCATTTTCCATTTCAATAAAATAAACACACAATGATTCAAATTGTCTTACCTGGAGGAATTTGAGTCTTTGAAAGAAATCTGCAATGTAACTGCCGAGAGGCTTGAGGGAGGGGTAGGATTTACTCATCCACATGTTGGGAATCTTACCTTTCAAAATGCTTTCCACCACTTGCTCCAACTCACATGACATCACTACTAATCCCTGACAAGGAATAAATTAAAGTTAAAGAGATTCTTATTTCATTCATTGCGAAGGACGAGATAACTCGTCTTCTAGGAATATTCACTGTGCGCTACAGACGACATAACTCGTTCTTTACACAAAGTTTTTTAATATTATAGCAGCATTTCCAGCGACTCATTTACAAAGATTTAGTATAGATTATTATTTTTATTTTATTATTTTTATGACTGTAAACGCAAAGTGAGAGTTTTTATTGGTTTCAATTGGTTATTAATTTTTAAAGTAAAAAGCACAAGTTTTAAATAAATTTGCTTTTTTTTTAAAAAACATTTTAGCTCAAAGGGTGAGATGCCGCGATGAAAGTGTTCTGCTTGCACATTCTTGTAAGTTTTAAAGTTTCATGCGCCTCTTTTAAAATCAAAAATACAAAGTACAGTTAAAAGAAAAACCGAATACTCTAAACAAAGTGATAATGGCTTATTTAAAAATAGTCATCAAAAGTTTAATCTCGCTGGGAGACGATCGGTCCATTCCAGAAGGAGGTGAGGGTGTCTCGGATCAAGACAATAACTCCCACAGGCTTGCAGTAATGTGCAAAATCTTTCCTGTCACTTGTACACATTTGCCGGAGACATGCAGGGACACAACCAACCAGGGCTGGATTACCCATTAGGCCAGACTAGGCCATGGCCTGGGGCCTCCAATGATTAAGGGCCCCCTTAAAATGGTTTTTCTTTAAAAATAAATTTTAAAAAATTGAGAAAAACAATGACTTTTCAATTTTTTTCAAAATCTTATGATTATTTTTTAGTTCTAATTTAATAAAATAAAGTAAAATTTTATTTATTACTATTTATTTTAATTATAAATATGCTTTCTTAACTGAAAAGGTGTATAAATACTTTTATATTTGAATAAACAAAAAATATATGAGAAAAGAATGCAATCTAAGGGACCCAAAAATTTGAATGGCCAAGGGCCCCGCGTACGCTTAATCCGGTCCTGGACACAACAAAATTTCACATTTCTCAAATATCTATGCGTATATACATAAAACTCAAAATAAAAGAACAGTTTTCACTTTGAACAATAAATATCACATACCAACTAAAATAATTTATTTAAAAAAATTCGATATAAATATGCTTTTTCAATAACATAACACATTGGCAAAGGAGTCCTGATTAAATCTCATCACGTTTTGAGGTGTGATCGCGAGCCAGCCTGTCAAGTGCCAACAAAACCTCTCGACTAATTAAGCTGTAGTATTAAGAAATTCAAGAGGATTAAATGTAGGAGGAATAACAAAAATTAAAAATAGTCAGCAAATTTGTTTTTTTAAAGTTCGAATATAAAAAAAAATTATACAGACATTTCCCAGGTATATGAATATCTTTGAATAATAGTTGTGTAAAATTAGAGAGTTAATTTTCCCATATTCATAACAAAATATTTGAAGGTTTGCTTTCTTAGAGGAAAACAAACTTCAGATTTACTGTTTATATTTTTTATTCGATGAACTTGTCTTCAAGGTGGCTCAGGGCATATAGCACGCACATTCTGATGAGACGATCGACACATATTTATATCACAGAGATGGTTGATCAGTTTGTATAATGCCCTTGGCATACACCGACCATTGCACTGCAGTAAAAAATGCACAGTGGTAGATATAACCTTAGTAAGTCTCTTTGCCGTCAGATTAAATATGGAAGATTTCCGTGGTATTTTTTTCTCAATGCAAATGCAGCTTATTTTCACTGAAAAAGTTATCAGCAAAGACGATTGAGTTGAAAAAGAGGACCTAATGTAAAAGTATTTTTTTTTTCTTTTTGATAGGGCAAAAATTTACAATATTGCAGCATTGAACATTTTATTTTATTTTATAACCGTCGTCGAACAGTCGACCCAGTTTTGGGTTTACGACTGCTAATGTTCTCCTCTTAATTTTGTAATGTTCAACTTGTAATTTTGAACAAAATCCAGAAGATAAGGGAACTCCTGGATCAAGTATGGGGAGAAATTGGCCTTCGTCGAAGACTTTTTGATGAAACTAACCCACATTTGCTTTACATGGAGAGAAAAACCACAAAAATCTCTCTTGGTCAGCCTGACGGTAAGGGAGCTCTAACCCATGTTACGTCTACCACTGAGGATGTTTTGCGTCAGCACTGTGGTCGGTGCAAGCCGGATGCGGAATTCGTACCAATCAGCCATCGCTGGGATTTGAATTCGGTTCACCTCAGGGGAAGGCGAGCACTCTATCTCCTAACTGAATTCAACACATGACGCTTAACTGAATCAATTGACCATCAGCAAATGTTATTGTCTTCTGGGCACTTTTGACAACAATCCGTTTCTTAATGGGATTCAATACACTTAGTGTTTCTCCTTGTGGGCTGCACGCTCTTCTTAAGATCAGTATTAGAATTGCTAATGAATGACTAAAGAATTTTACCTTGATTGCCTTTTTAGTGTTTACAAGAGAATTTCGTATGGTAGTGAGTAGTGAATTGAATCTTCCCATCTCCTGCACGAGGACTGTGTTCATACTCTGTTGGTACATAGTCGGATATTTGAGCAGAGCCTGGCCTATGTCGAAATTTCCTGGGAGACGATTCAATATGTCCGATGCGACTTCTTCAACCATGCTTTCCGAAGACTGACCGCTACTTCCTGACACACGAGCCTACAGGATGCATGAAGAAAAAAAACAAGCTATTAAGATTTACGTCTTATACTTAGTAGAAGTTGGTCATTGCAATTTCACAAGGAGTTCTGTAACTAGCCCTGTACAGTCCACACACAAAAAAAAAAACGAATCACCCTGAATAACTTTCGTTCTAATGATTAGATTTTCACGAACTAAGTGTCAATCTTAATGGTTCGAGGGGGTGGGGTGACTTCAAATGATCCAATTTACAAGTGCAGATGATATTTTAAGTTACAAAATCAGACACATTTTTATTGAGAAATTAAATTTTGAAAAAGTCGTATTTTTAGAATTTGATTTCTCGAGAACTATTCAACCGAATTCCCTCAAATTTTGTATTTCTCCATATAAAATTAAATACTCAGAAATGATGTAAAAAAATTTCCTTCCTTACAATAAAGTTTTTTTTCGACTATTATTAAATAGAATAATTAAAAAATAATAAATACTTAAAAAAATTTATTTATTGCATGGAATTATCTTTGGCTAAGCGAATTTTACAAATGTGTGCAAAAATTTTTCAGTTCGCTCCAAACTTTAGCAAACTTACGAAATACTCAAAAAGTACAATTAACATTAAGTAGTCTAAACTTTGATGTGCTCTCCTCACCGAACTATTGGAACCAAATTTTCTAAATTGCGGCTACTCCCTATATTTTGGGGATCAAAAATTTCAAATCTGTCGGGAAAAAAATTATTTTTATTAAGCGATAGTACGTTTTTTTGTGTGATTTCGCAATTTAAAATATCCTCTGCACTTATTAATTAGCATATTTGAAGTCATCCCCTTGAGCCATTAAGACTGAGTCTTAAAACGTGAAGGTCCGATTATTTTTATCAAAAGTTATTTAAGGTGGTACATTTTTTATTTCTCGCAGTGCACATTAAGAATAAAAATTTATAGAAAAGAGAGAAAAAATTAAAAAAAAATTCCGAACTCCGAACAATCGTTATTCAAGTCAGGAAGTCAGAAATCGAAAATTGTCCGTTTATTCATCATTAGAAAGCGTATGATTTTTGTTGCTTCATCATTAACTGGTTAACTATTATTTTGTGCAAGAAATACAGCATCGAATTCATACATTTGATCAACATTCTTAACACAGATATTTGGGTTGCAACGATTTATGGAATATAGCCTTCCAATAAAGTGAACTGGGTTCAAATCCCAGCGATGATATGAATTCCGCATCTGGGTTGCACCAACTCCAGTACTGACGTAAAATATCCTCAGTGGATCAGGGGTTAGAGTCCCCTTGACGTCAAGCTAACCATGGGAGGTTCTCGCGGTTTTCTTCTTCATGTAACGCAAATGCGGGTTAGTTCCATCAAATAGTCGGAAGACAAATTTCTCCCAATACTTGATCCAGGAGCTCCCTTTTCTTATGGATTGGGTTCAAAATGACAAGGCTGCGGAATTGAACATTAATAGTCGTAAACCCAAAAAATTGGGTCGGCCGTTCAACGACTTTTACAAGACATATATATTTAGAATCCTTTCCAATACATAAAGAAGTTATATCACAAATTAATAAAATCTGACGAATGAAAAGATCAATAACAGTAAAATGTGGAACGCAAAGTATTAAAAATAATTAACATCATCAAATAAAACTGAAAAATGATGCCTTTCAACTAACAATCAAACTAACCCTAATAACTTTAATTCTATCTTCTCTGCGGTCGACTTCGATAGTTATTCATACGCGTTTGATAGTGTTTTTTTTTCTTGCCTTAATATATTTATTGAGGTCCTTAGTTTGTATTTACTTAATTTAATTTAAAAAAGTGTTTTGAAAATGTGTGGAATATTGCCTTTAAGGAACACCAAAAAGGAAACACAAATCATGTCATTTTTCTTTTTCTTCAAAAAAAAAAGTGACGTTGCAGTACATTTTAATTCACAGAAGGAACATATTTTAAAACTTGATTTGAATTGAATATATTAGTTAATGTCATTCATCATAATAAAAATCACAAATATCTTACAATACTTTAACACAGAAATTTACTGAATTTATATTTGTAACACAAATAATTTTTGGAAATTTAAAAAAGATATAAAATCTTTAAAAAATAAAATCTTAAATTGCACAATTATAAAAACGTGTCATTACAATTTCAAAGCATATAATGTATCCTTTTTTGAGAGGGGTATTAGCAAAAAATACTAAGAGGAAGTGATTTTTTTTGAATAAAAGCATCCCTAGTTAATAAGACTAGAAAAATTGAACTAAGTAAATGAAGTAAAATATTATTTAGTCATTAGATTTAGATGATAAGTAACATGCATGTAAACAAAATATTTTAACTTTTTGGAACATTCTAAAAATAAAAATCTAATATTTCAATTTCTATGTTTAACTAACTTAAGTGATTTGAATTATTAATAATACACTGATGTAAGGAATAAAGAGAATTTGCAGACTAAGTCGATTATCTCCGGAACTCCTGGACCGATTTTAATGAAATTTGATCTGTACATACATTTATACAATATGAAACAAATAACCATTCAGTGATTGAAATACACACGCATAAAAAATTAGGTTAATAGGGGGTATGGTCCCCTCTTACAGATATACAGGGTTTGCAGCGTGATTTCATACTTGAAATAAGGGAGTTTATTATTTCCTGTGGCAATTGTCCTGAATTGTGATGTGGCAGTTTCATACCTTCCGACTCCAACGAGTGTTTTGCATGATCATGCGTGTGTATTACAATTGTTGAATCTGTTTCATATTGTATAAATGTATGTATATATTCAAATTTTAATGACAATCGGTCGAGTAGTTTCTAGAGATAATCGATCCAGTCTGCAAATTTTCTTAATTTCTAATACCAGCGTAGATCAAAATTTAAAAATACTCAAAACAAACTTGTGTGGTTATATTTTTTCACGTGACAAAATAAAAACTTGTATAGTACCTGAGTGAGAAGGATGCTATCAAAAAGTAGATTGGTCTCTTGTTGATCTTTGGTGATTTCAGCATTCGGGTGCATACCAAAAACGTCAGGTTTGGCAACGAGTGGCAAGGAATTGGTATAATCCAAGTAAGATTGATACTGAAACGCAAATTCAAATAAATTCAATGATACACGGTGACAGAACTGACGCTTCAAGGCCCCAAAACCAGAAGTTTTGTAAATATTACAAAATAGTTATAAAAAAGTGTGTGTACAGGAAATTATTTGGAAGAAATGGGATTCCATCAACTCTACGCGAATCATTTTATCGTAAACGCGGTTTTTTCACGAATTATTTTACCATAAAGATGAATCCTTCACAAAGTTCGACAGTCGTGTTATCTAAACTAGTCAAGAACTTTAAAAGTTTTGTTTACTTTTCTCTCACATTCGATAAAGAAGTTTTAAAAATATTTTCAAGATTACTTATTTGTATTATTTATGTATTATCCCTTTAGTAAAATAATTAAAAGGGATGTTATCGAAATAAACTTTGGATTTCTTATTGTTGAACTGGGAAAATATGTCTCCCTGATTTGATTTTGAAATATGTTTTACTCAGTATACGTTTAACTAAAAAAAACATGTAGATATAATAACAATCATAAACGACCTCTTCAAATTTTTTATAATGTATAAGAAAAATATTCGATTTAATATGCAAAGTGATAAGTTGAATTTATACAAGCATTTAAAAATCTTGCGGCTAAGTTATTTTTATCAAAATTAGTATAAAAAATTCCGTTATTCATTCTTGGGTCAACAACTTAAAAGCATGGTTATGGAAAAGTATCATAACCAGAATTTTAAAAGATTTAAAATGATACAAAAAAATTTTTATTAGTATTTTTCAGGAAGAAGATGGCGTTATAAATTTTCTACCATGTTAATTATCAGTGATCTAGAGATCACTGATACTTTACATGGCAGAATCAGTTAGATAGATCAGTGATCTAGGCAAATTTCTCCCAATACTTGATCCAGGAGTTCCCTTGTCTTCTGAATTGGGATCAAAATGAAAAAGGCTACAGATTTGAACATGAGTAGTCATAAACCCAAAATCGGGTCTGCTGCTCATCTGCGGTTATAAAATAAAAATAAAATATTTTCTGAAGGAATGGACAGTTTTTCAAAGGAAAAAAAAATTACTTTAAAGGAAATCTATGGTTTACAATTTACTTTTAAAAAAATGATTGGAAATTAATATCAGATAAATTAAAAATCAGAATAATGAATGAAATAAGCTCTTACTGATCCTTCTGGAGGAGAATAATATATTCCAGCTGTATCAAATCGGTAATTGTCATCGAAGACAGATTCCTTGCAGTAGAATTTCGTGAGAAGGGTGTTGAGTGTCCTCCTGTCCCAATCATCGGTCACACGTCCTCCGTAATTACACTCACCGGTCAGGTATTTCAGGGCATCGAAAGGAATCTCATCCTACAATCACAAAGTTTTGCATGAAAAAAATAATAATTTTACGTGCAAATATATTTTCCACAAAATAATTACTTCATTCATAATTTACCTTATAGTAATCTTTAACTGCTTTCAGTGACAGCTAATAAAATCTTTCTTCCTGTAGTTGTTGCGAATTTGTTAAAAAAAAAAATTTCCTGCTGGCCCTGATCAACGTGAATAAAATACAAATAATGTCATAAAAAAAGACATTCTATTTAATTGAAGTAAAAGAAAAAACGTGAAAAAAGAGCAAATAAATGTAGCTCTTTCCTTAGTGAATAAACCACACTGCACTTGTTTGTCTCGTTATTTTTCTACTGTCACTTGGTGTTTCGAAACTGAGGAAGTGCTTTTGAGTATTGAGTATATCCACCATATTTTTGACTTACTCTTCTGCGTAGCACAATGTATGTCCTTTTAAAAAAAATATACTTTAGTTTCGGTTCTATAAACAAGGACCAAGGATAGTAAATAGAACCAAAACTACAACATATTGATTTTTGCGCCATTATTTGTGTTTTATTCACTTTTTTCAGCTTCATTCAAAAGCAGCACAAAAAAACTTCATTTTCACTGTATATTGAAAAAAAATATATTTCCAGCAACGTTCTTAAATATGCATGTAAACCAAACTAAAAATAAAATTTGAAATTATTTTTAAAAAGAACGAAGTTTAATAGATACAGAGCATTCCGTAATGATTGTGTTTTTTTCCGGTGTGTTTAAAGAATCCAAATTAAATACAGAGATGAGAAAATAGTATGGTTCACAGCCTTACTTAAATTAAAAATTAAGTAAGGAAAATACTAAAGTGACATATTACTGTTGTAGAATGGAAGGTAAAAAACTTCAAAACCAGAGTTTGATTGTGTGATGGAACTTGAAGGTGAAGAACTATAATTCTTCCTCTGACAATTATTATAGGTTTTGATATTTTCAGTTCAGTTTTTCTCAGAAGTAATTCGTTGGATTTTGATAGTGTTTTTCGTATTTTCCCCTGATTATTTAATGTGTAACTCATAATGCGTATATTTTTTGACTATGTATTTGACAAAAATTCTAGAAATTCATTTGAAGAGTAGCTATTACTGCCATGCAATTGAAAAAACAACATCTATAAATTTCGAGAAACATGACTTGTCAACTAATTTCTTTCTATTGCTAATGCTACGCATGCTAAAATAGAATTTCAGAAAACTGATAGAACAAAATTTGATTTTTGTTGCTATAGGCAGCTTATCAGAACTTTGGGCTACAGTGCAGAAAAGGTGACTTTTTTAGAGACAAATATGTTAAATAATGAGAAAGGAGCATTAATTATTAAAAAAAGAAAGGAAAGAAAACAAACAACAACACTTACAGGATATTGATTCAAAAATCTGGATAGTTGTTTGGCGCTAATTCTTAGATCAGTTTCGTTGAACTCATAAGGAATATTCCAACCCAAAGGACCGAATTTTCGTCTCTCTTGAACCAAAGCGTGGAAGAATGTCAGTGAATACAAAAGCTTCTTGAACACTGTCTGAAAAAGTGTTCATTGGGAAATTAATAGTAATGTTTGAGGACTTTCTATTCAAAAGTTTTACTGTGATAACTGCGCCAAATAATATGTTCCAAGCAGATGCAAATTAGAATTTTTCAACTTACCTAGGCTAAAATTCAAATGTTCTCTGTTTGTGATTTTAATGTTAGAGTGCTTCGCATTTTTGAACAAAAACTAGTCTCTGACAACACGAAAAGAACTTACAGTAGGTGCTTAATTTTTTTCCAACTTTTTCTATTGTACAATAAAATTTAAGGGACAGGTATTAAAAAAAGTTAAAGTAATTCACCCCAGTCATGACACATCTATTTATTCATAAAATCCTAACGCTGTCAACATATTTTCTCAAATAATATGAAACAAATGATGCAAGCAACGAATAAGAAATCAGTAAATGTAACTTATAATTGGGTAAGGACACCACATACATAGTTTCTTACTGTCCAGAATGATTAAATATCTAAAACAATGGCGAGAAGAGTGTTATAGACTTAAAGAATAGAAAGAAAAAGATAACAAACTTAAAAACTATTAAATTTTATAGCCTATTTTTTATGAACCAAGATGCATAGTTAAAAGAACATGCATTAACATGCTAATAAATAAGTGATACTTTATATAAAATAACAGGAGATATATACATACTATTTCAGCACAAACATTTAAAAAAAATTTGTATTTTATAGTCAAAAATTTTTCGCTCATTACGAAATTAAAAAATAAATATTTAATGCAAGAAATCACCCTTATGTAAATGAGTTTCATAGACGGGGTTTTTAAAATCAGTTCTAAAAACACATTCAAGGACCCAAAGTGTTAAAATTACATTGATGGGTCACAAAAATAAACATTACATTGATCTGTCTATCGAAACTTTATTTTAAGGGTACAAAATCCATTAAAAAAATGGTATGTTTGTCAAGCGAAAGTACGTTTTACAACTTAATTTATCACTACTTAAATAACATATTTAAAATAAGCTCTTTAAACTATTATGATTTAAACTATTATTAAATTTGCTCTTTAAACTATTACTATTTTAAACTATCTTTAAACTATTATGCATCCTAGTGAGTGAAAATCCGATCAAAAGTAATTTAAAGTGATACCTTACTGCACTATTCGCGTCTTCAGTTATGATTCACAGTGATTGCCTCAACTTGTGAATCAAGGAGTAATTAACACTTACTGGTTGCATGCAGCCATCAAAGAATTCTGATTCGCAGAGGGGATCACTGAGGTAAGAGCGAATAATGTTGGCCTTGAGACCTTTTGGAGGTTCATTCGTCATTTTCACAGAGTTCTGAAGAACCATTACAGGGAAATGAGCAGCGGGATACGATGTCAGCCACAGCCTGAAATCCTGATGAGTATTTTCAGTTGTCAATTCCTCGCAAACCTAAAAATAATGAAATATTGACAGTCTAGAAAAATGGGTTAGGTTATGTGATTGGACATACTGTAGCGCTACATCGGTTAAAGCTGATTTACTCAAATTAAAATAACATGTCTTTATCCACTCTGAACTCTTAAATTACCTTGATGCGAAAGACAATTTATTAGTATTTATTTCTGTATATGTATAGCACTGTATGTATACTGTACTGTATTACTGTTAAGCACTCAATTATATTAGAAAAGGTATTTTACCTTTTCAAGAGTGGGCATCCATGACTTTGCAAGATGACAGTTTTGTAAGACAACCCAAGAGCCCAAGGATCTACCGTCTTCGATGAGTTTCATGGCTATAGGACCTTGCCCTTGTCCCAATGAAAGTGAATTCAAGCGATATCCACTGAAACCCTAAATATATACATAATGTTAAGAAAGTATTTATAGCAGATCTATGCAATATAACAATAGATCCTAAATTATTAAATATTTTTTAAAGTTATTGCTGAAGTGTTATTTAAAATATAATCTCACGAGGGAAGTCATGATAATGAGTCATAATAATAAATATTAATAGATATCACTCTTTATAAATATCGTCCACGATAAATGTTAATAGTTATCGTCCACAGTAGTTATCATTAAATTTTGTAATAAATCGATATTTTAAGATAGCAGGTCTTAACATATCGGTATTTTTTTAATTCTCTCGGAGACTATATTAAAAATAGCTTTCGATATATTATGAATACGATAAATATTGTAGTTATAAATATCGTTCACGATAAATGTTGATAGTTAACGCCCACAATAGTTATCGATAAATATTGTGTCATGCTCAATCAATGGAACCTCTTTCTTGAGGAAGAGTACCTTTTAATTTACTGAAGTGTTTCACAGTTCAAGGACATTGGCAACTGATTTGCTTTGGTTCTCTTCCATTTGATGGCCCTTCTATTTGTTTCAAAATATAATGGAATCTTGATTACCAGAGATTCTTTCATCCTAATAATTCCCCTGCTTAATTGAAGTTAACTCCGATTTTTTTTAAATTTTATTTATTACTGAAAAGAAAATTTTTGAACAGGAAATGCAGTGTGGGTATCTCGATCCTGATTGGTTAGTGAAGCGTGACATTTGCTTACGTTAGCAAAAATTTTCTTTTCCTTTTATTTCGAGTAGGACAAGCCCGTCAAGTTTCAGTTCTCTTAAGAAGTGACACATTCTAAATTCTTTCTCAAAGATTTCAATTCTTTTTCTACATATTTACACAGAAACTTAACACAAAAAAGCCAGGAAGCCATGCGGAACATAAACAAACTAATTATGCATCGAAGCTGCCAGGTACACAAAACAAAAATACATCACTTACAATAAAATACATAAACGAGTAATAAATCTAAGTTAAGTAAAAGAAGTATCAGAGAAAGTATTATATTTCAACCAAGTCAATGTGCGATACAGCTTGACTAACTTTAAGTTAATTAACATTCTAAATTATGTCAAGAAACTTAGCTCAGCTTTTGCTGATAGAGATCAGCTGGCACTGACGTCATAGGTATGTGTGTATTGGAGGTCTTCTTTTTCTTGAAGTAGAAGTACCCAATTGGAAAATTGAAAAAATATTCAAGTCAAACGCTTAGAGAGAAAAATTCAGATTAAAAGTGCAAAGCAGCAGTTTTCAAAAAGTGTTTCAGTAAACTCTAGCGTTTCGCGGATCGCTAGAGATACAATTGTTCGGAGAGTGAGGACTTTTTTGTGACACACAAAAACCATTTAAAATCCATTGTATCTCTAATAACATCCACAACTATTTCTGTCTTACATTGTATCTCTAATAACATGTTTTGTGACACACAAAAACCATTTAACATCAATTGCATCTCTGTATTGTTTCGCGGATCGCTAGAGATACAATAACATCATTCTTGTTAAGTTACAGGATGTAGGAAAACCATTGCAGGAAATCTAATTAAAAACAATGTATTACATTGAATGACAGAACAATGTATGACAGACAATGTATGACAGAAATAGTTGGCTGAGTACTCGGAGAGGATGCGGCAAAGAAAGCTGTTTCTAGCTTGTCGAACAGCTAATTTCTAAAGACGTGAATCATGCTGAACTTTATTACATAACACTGGATTGGGAAATTGGCATTTTCGGTCAATATATTTGATAAACTTAAGTCGGACTTGTGCCAAAACTCAGTGTTGTTCCTTTAGTGTTCCATAATCGAAAAATATTGGTAATCGCTGAGTAAAAAGGAAAACTCCGATGTTCAACGGGAAATTAGAGGAATACTGTACTTGCTGTAAACTCTTGAGAATAACTCACTAAACCATGTTTTCATGTCATCTATTGAAGTGTTCTGCAAAATTATGTTTAAATTCATTGTGTTGTTAATAACTTTACATAAAATTGAATGGCATACCTGGTCATCGGCGAATTTTAAGAGTGCAGCGGTAGGATCGGCACCAGGTGACAAGACGAAGACCAAAGGAGAGCAGCAGTTGCTGTCCATGAAAGCTTTGCCCAAATCAAATGGAGGTGGCTCTATAAATGTCTGACCGAGATTACCAAGAACGAACTTTTGGACGGCAGGAATCATCTTATCAAAACGCACGCAACGCATAATCAGTAACTTCTGAAAATTCGACAGCTTGATGTTCCACTCACCAGGAATAGGTTCATCTTCCGGCGTCTAGAACAAATGATACGAAAGAAAATAGGTTTTTGACATGACATTTAAGATACAGCGGTTAAATTTTGGGAAATATTTCAAAAGTAGCATGTAACTATGATAGAATGTTTTAAGGAATTTTAGAATTCGGTGCTCCCCTGGCCTCGTTTATCCAAAATAAACGATGTAGTGTTATGGAGATGATTTTAATTTGTTGTGACTGGTCTACTGCAATGATTATACTTTAGAAAACATCACAATACTAATAGAAAGGCATTTTAAAGATTTTTTGTTCTATTTACTAGAAATGAGTTCATCTTGTTTAATCTTAACTCTGTTATCGTGAATGGCCGAAATCAAGAGAATGTCATCTTTCACCGGTGAATATCAACAATCGCATAGACGCTTTGGTGAATGTCCGAAACATTTGCTACATTCAATTTGATATTGATTTATTCGTTGATATTATTATATTGATTCGATATTTTAATAACTGCCGAGGATAGATGAGGAAAGAACTTCAGCGTTCGGAGTACGGGTTAAATGTATACAGAGCAGTGACACTTTTGACCTTAAGAAACATTGATGTAGGGCATACCGGGCAAATGTACACCGGGAAGTGGCTCTTGACCTTAAAAAAACATCGATGTTGAGCATACCGGGAAGTGGCACTTCACTAGACCAAGTAAATATTTCGGACATTTACCAAAGCTATTATGTGATTGTCAACATTCACCGGTGGAAGTCAACAACCACCCATTTCGGACATTCACAGTAACATCTCTAAAGAATATGAGAAACAATCATCATTTGATGTAACTGGTCCGTTAAAAAAGTTGTATTTTTAGAAATGTCATTTATTTATTTATGAAAGCCAATTAGAAAATAATCATCGGAATCTGCAATTTGGCGCATTTGAATAAAGTTTATGTTTCAACTTCAAGCGAGGTTTCTATGAATCTAAGGGCAGTTCAAGCTAGTGTATTAATCTCCCACATGATCCACAGCAACAGATATGAAATATATAATTTATAATAATTTACCAGACTGTCAAAAAGTGCTCTGAAGGCCGCCTCCTCTTCCACAATGGATTGGGCGAGTCCCCTAAAGTTGTCCATGTCACTGAGTCGGCAGATCTCGTCCCAAGACTTACCGGGCAGCCATGGCAGGGGATTCGGGTGAGGATTGTCCAAACCTATTCCACCGGTAAGCAGAAATCGCCACTCCTCATTGTCGATTTTTCCTTCCGCTTTCAGAATGTTCACACACAAAAGGAAAGAGAACAGTAGCTGTGGAACAAATATTTTCTGTCACACTGCTTACTGATGACATTTTCCATAAGTACAAATTATGTGAAAGCACTTTACTACCATCATTTAAAAAATAAAGTTTTTAAATTAAAAAAAGCAAGGGTAATTAGTAGGCTATTTTTTTTCCAATAAAATGACGGTTTCACTGATCATGGTCAAGAATTTTGGGCTAATTCAATTTTTTGACCAAACTATGTGCTTCCTCAATAGAAAGTGTATCAAAATGATGCTAAAACATTACAATAAATTCATGTATCTGACATCATACTTGTGGTTTCTCTTATTTTCTGGTACAAGAGATAAGAAGATAGTCTACTTTTTTCTTTATGATTTAAATTTTTGGAAATGAGGATTTTAGGTCTTAAAGTGAGGGCCGAATATCAGTTGCTCATATATTGTTTTGAAACCAAAGTTTAAGTCACTTTTATTTATTTCGGATGTCAATATATATTTCCTTTTTTTAACTGGAGGTCTACAAATCAGCAAATCATGGGCGCACAAAGCAAAAAATCAGAGTCCAGTATTTAATGTCATATTTTTCTAATGCAAGAAGTTGTTGTGCTACTTTCTATTTCATAATATGCTGGATCCTAGAAATTTTGAAATTTTTTAATCACAACTTCATGTCTAATGTAAAAAATGTATTTGTCTGCATCTTTCATGAAACTCTTTTTATCCCTCAAAGGGACCTTTCAAATATTACTGTGACATTGTGTCACTTAATTTGGATTTTGTTACAAAATTGGACCTAAAATTAAGCCGACCCCTGATCCCTCGCCTTTCTGTCTGTCGTCCTTCACGGCTTTGACCTTCGGCGGCCTTTGATGTAAGCACATGGGAGGTGGTCGGAGGTGGTCGCAGTTAGTTTATAATTGTGATTTCGTTTAAGCTTTTTATCAGTTCACTTCGGTTCCCCTCTTAGCCACGATTCTTGCTGCATTTTAGGAAATTTCACTTTAATTTTTAACCTAACGATATAAATACCGCCCATTTTTGGAGCCGGAATTATTTGAAACGTGATCATACAAAACAACACTACGATCCTTTAACAGGAACTTTTATTTTTTCCACCCCTCCCCCCAGAGGGTGCTTCTGCTGTCATTCAATGGCAGTCTTCATTGTGCAGAGTTTTCTTCGATGTGACCATCTCTTCTTAAAAAGTCAATTTATGGCTTTCGATATAGTTAACGCCAAAATGGGAGTATTTTTGAGATAGCGTCAGGGCCGACGCCATGTTGTGGTGTCTTCGATGCTATGTCTTGCCCACCGCTCCAGATACCCACGGGTTGTACCTCTGTTGAAAAAATTCTCTCATTCCTGAGTTACTGTGCTATGTGATGTCCGCATGATTGCCATGATGTCGAAATGTTGTGACTTCAACGATCTGAATAAAATAATAAAGTGTTAGTGCCCATAAATTGGATTTATTCTTCTAGTGGATTGAACTTTTTTCTTGTAGGTGAAAAACAACTTCTATGGAGAGCAAGAGGTATGTCTTTTTGTGAAATGTATTCTTCTTCTGGTTTAAACAGAAATTGCAGCATGATGTTGTGTGCAAACCTATATAGATTTGCTCGGCCATTATCCCCTCTCTCTTTAATTTTATTATCATTAGTTGTTTTTTTATGTATTTTCAATACAATAGCACCAACCCACGTAACAATTACGTAAGCATGTTTTTAACAACTTTGGTCTCTCATTCTTCTCCTAGTAATCAGCAAAAATAAGCAAATCGCAAACCTTCCCCATGCTTACGTAAGAAAGTAGCAACAATCGTTGTTTTGAGCTTATCAAATTTTGAGATTAAATTGAAATAAGCAATGCAATTTCGTTAAAAGCAATATTCTGGTTTCAATTAATTTAATAAAACTTTGATAAGAATATGTTTTAGGAATCTTTTGCTTTTTCGTTCAGTAGTTCAAATTCTACATCTTTGAAAATCGCAGAAAAAAAAAATTTGTTTCATTTTTTCTTTCTCCAACTTTTATTTCAAATTTTTTGACATTTTTATCTGAGTGTGATTTGTTTGCTTTCAAATTCTTCCTGACGATTTTTTTTTGCTTTTTAAGAAACACTTTAAAAACAATACGATTTTAATGTCGTGCGTAGGCATTGCTTATACCCCTCCTACTCGCATGTCAGTAAAAATAAACAGATCACAGAACCCCTCCTCCTCTAGGTAGGTTCTTAATGTTTGGACGGCCCTTATACTCTCGTATACTCTCGATATTTCGAAACCTTGTTATGTCAAAAAAATATTTTTCCCTTGGCATTATATATCCGCATGATGTTAATTTGAATTTCTATGTCGATGAGTTTCTCCTAAGACCTTGTTAAGTCTAATTTTTTACGAAATAAAAATTGAATTTTTCCAGGAAAATCACAATGTAAAACTATTGTAAGTCAATTCTTTTCTGATTAGTGCATATTTATTTTCGTCTTACTCTTAAAAATAAAATTATCATTGTTGCACTTAGACTTATAGTTAAGTATCATTACAAACCTATTTGATAGTAGTTATTTTGTTTCATGACTCCATTTTTTAGAATAATACTTTAGAATACATTTTTTCGCTTTTTAGATCATATTTAGTTCTGAGATTGCTACCTCAAAAACCCGCTATCTCGAAATTTTTTTAGCGTCCTTTCAACTTTGAAATATCGAGAGTATACTGTATTTTTTTATAATAGTGTAGGCATCTCAAGGCTACACGATTTTTTTCTCACCGTTACCATGGTATATAAAAAATCAAGCTTTTTTTTCCCCAATCCAGTATATTCCAACTTTTTTCTGAAACGTACAGCCGCGGAGAAAAAGCAAGAATTTTCGTAACCATATGGTAATGGAGAGTTGAAATATGTGGAGAGTAGAAAAAAAATTGTGCAACTTTGAGACACCTATTTTATTTACAAAGGATTATCAAAACATGAATCGTTTAATTTCAATTGTTACGCTAAATTTTATCTTCAAAACGAACAAACCTTGTCCTTCTCAAACAGACTCCGGCACACATTAACGTACAAAGACTCCATGAAAAATTCTTTCAGAATGGAGAGTCTCTCTTCTACGTTGTCTGTCACTTCCGAGTTGTCAATAGCGTTCACATAGAGGTTGATGAACCAAGGCAACGAGTACTGGTACATGGGATCAATGCTCGCCAGATCAGCGATTGTGAAGAACAGGATGGAAGAATGGACAGCGATGGGTTTGTACCCAGACCGTGTCTTGTCTATCTCTGCTTCAGTCTCTTCAGCGAAGACCTGAAATTCACCGATGCTGTTGTTAATTTTTTTTTAAAGTCTAGTAGAATGCATTCCAAGTGAAAAGTGTGATGCATAGACATGTATGTGGCTACTGAAATTACTTTATTTTACTACATTTTATTGAATTGAAGTAAATCAGAGTTAGNCAAATATGCTAATTAACTTGTGCAGACAATATTTTAAGTTAAGAAATCAGGCACAAAAACGTTCTTTCTTTGAACAAACATTCTTTTGTTTCAAATGATTTCTGACCCCCAAAATAGCCACAATTAGGAAAATAGGGTCCCCATAGTTTGGTCAGGAGAGCGATCCAAAGTTTGCACCCCTTGATGTAATTTTACCTTTAGCGTATTTCACCATATATCGAAAACTTTTTTGCACACAATTATAAAATTCGTTTGTTCAAAGATAATTCCATGTAAAAAATAAATTTTAGTAAATATTTATTATTATTAGTTCATTAAATAATAGTCAAAAAATTTTGAATTGTACATAATTTTTTACGTCCTTTTAAAATATGTAATTTTATGTGGCAAAATATAAAACTTGAGCGAAGTCGGTTGAATAATTCCAATGAAAAGTAGGAACAGAAAAATGAGGAAAATCGCAAACTTCAGAACCGTGACACCCTTGCATTTATTGAGAAAAGAGAAATTCTCTTATTCGTTGATTACTTACAAAAATTGGCTCTTGTATATTAAATACAAATATATAAGTTCCATGAAACACAAAATTAACATATAAAATAGATATATGAAGAATCTCTCTTTAATTTCAATGCACGCATTGCTTTTGTCAGTTTTTCGAAGAAGTATATAAAGCAATTCACTCCTCCAAACGTCACATTTTATGACCAATGGTTAAAGTTGAAACGATATGAATAGTAGCAGCTTTACAAACAACAGATACGTGAAGTTTATATCTTAGTAGAATAAATGAATGTTCTATATTCAAAATAGATTACAGCACAAAGATATTTAACTTTTTTCGAATTGGCACCCACTTTAAGAGAAAAATAATCTTACTTGTTTTTGTTGAATTTCATTCGATAATTCTTTACTTGATGATATTACTTTGATGGCTGTTTCATCTTCCAAAATATTTGAACCAGAAGTCAACAACTCGAGAATTTTGTCTTCAATTGATTTCAGTTGCCTTTAATAAAAAAAAGTGAATAAAATAAATTTTGATTTCAGTAAGCATTTGATCTCTACTTAACAAAAATCCCTAATAACCAATTTGATTGATCCATGAGCTTCTTTTATTTCATAAGAAAAGTAAAATCAAAACTTTAAAATATGATTGATGTGAAGAATTGCTGTTTTTCTTTATATATAAGCATTTCATTTTTTATACATTTTTGGAAGTTGATAATTTGTTTGGAAAAAAAGTTAAAGAAAGATTTATGAGATTTGAAACAAAATTTTTAAGAATAAGGGCCGATTTTTTAGGCTTCATTCTGTCATGAAAACAAATGGTAAGTAGTTAAGAAAATTGTAATATACTGGGCACCAATTCGAAATTTTTAAAAGCCATTTTGATATCCTTCAGAATTTTTACGTAAAACGTATTAAAGTTAAGTAAATTACGCAAAACGTATTTCTAAGTGAGAGAGAATAGATGAATCAATGGACTATAGCATGCCAGAATTATGTCAGTAGAATATTCTATAGAACTATAATACATTTTTAACTTAAGTGACATTGTAGATATCCAAAACGTGAATATCTTCTGCAACTTCGTTCCAAATTTAAGCAGATATTGGGTTTGAAGTGCGCTTCTGCTCTTCTAACAAAGAAACAAACAAGCTCGTTACGTAACAGAAACGGTTGAACTCATTTTATGACTTCGGGTTTTGGGTATCAACAAAAGTTGAGGCAAATATTTACAGAGAAAACGAAACCGTTAAGAGGTTCAGACCTCTACGCGTTGAGCACTTCAAAAATTAAACAAATGAAGAAAAAAAATCTCACCTTTTGTTTTCCGCTCCTTGCAGTAGAAGATGGTTCTTTTGCTCCTCCAGTTCAGGCTTCTCTCTAGCAACTACGATTCCCAAGAGTTGGTCTTCCAGGCCAGCTGGGGTGATCATGAAATTGACCACAGTCACTTTCACCGATGTCTCGGGCAGGTAGTGTGGATTTCGTAATTTAGTGGTGATGTAGAATCGGAAATCAGAAGAATATTCGATGGTGGAGTCGCCTAGTTTTAAACACACCATCCCGCCTTGACGGAATGTTTGTTTCAGCAACAAAGGTTCCAACACAGGATCCAGTTCTTCTCCAACATTCTCCAGAAGGACCTGAATATGATATTTATTATGTTACCTTCAGAAATAATAATAAAAAAATGGACTAAACTAATTTAATTTAAAGAATTTCATAACAATTCATTCGCCATTCATGTCTTGACCACAAGAGAGCAGTAAAGTTTTTAAAAAAAGTTGATATCATAGAAAGAAATGCATTATTCTCGGTTCACTACATTCTGAAACATTTACAATTCCCTAGAAATCTCTAGAAATTTGCATTTTCCCTAAGTATATGATGCACCACATGTATGATTAACGTTATTCGTAATTAATAGTTCATTGCACAGCGTTGCGACTCAATCATTATCGTGGTTAGTTCAATTGTTGTCACTATAAACACTATCGGATAGCACTAGGCATTGTTCAGACTTACAGTTTTTGACGGACAGATTCGACATGGCTTTTGCAATCTCAGATCACACTTGAACTTCATGGCTTCAAATACATTAACGTAGAAGAGTGTGAGAAACGGACTAGTCGAATTTATCCTGTGATCCAATTTACATAACGATGTTAATCAAATGATAAATGTATGCTAATTACTAACTATTACAGAAAAATATATGCCAATTCTTCGCTTATGACGTACAATGTGCAAAATAAAGAACGGACTACTGTAAATATAGTTTTGATCTAATGATCAGATCTTCACGTTCTAGAGCTAATCTTAATAAATCATAAAAGTGACCTCAAATATGCTTATTACTTAGAATAGACATTATTTTAAGTGATATTTTTCACTGATTTTATTAACATACTCTTCTAATTGTAAGAAAGAAGTTAAGAAATAACAAAAATGGTAAATGCTACGCTAAAATAACAGGCGTGACGCAAATTCAATGTCGTTTTGTTTAAACCAGCCAGTATAATTTTTAAAATACAAGTAAAATATGAAAAGAAAAAACAATATACAGTGTGCAAAATAAAGAAACGGATCATCATTAAGTAATAACTTTCGATCTAATGAATGGATCTTCACGTTTTAGGGCTCAATCTTAATGGTTCAAGAGAGTAACCTCAAATATGCTTATTAATTAGAACAGATAATATTTTAAGTTACAAAATCAGACACAAAAACGTACTTCTCTGATCCAACATGCCTTTTCTTTAATGGATGGATTCGGATTTCTGATCCCCAAAATATAGGGTTAGCCCTAATCCGTTAAATATGATCCTAATAGTTTAGTCAGAAGAGCTTTCCAAAGTTTAGACCCGATAATGTTGAATTTTACCATTTGCGTATTTCGTCATATCTCGAGAACTTTTTAAGCGAATTAAAAAAAATTTGTACACTATTATAAAATTAGTTTCTCCAAAAATAATTCCACGCAAAATGTAACTTTTTGTATGCATTTATTTTTTTATTATTTTATTTAATAATAATCGAAGAACTTTTGAATAGTAAGGTTTACAATTTTTTTACATTATTTTAAAGAATTCAATTTAAGATTGCAAAATCCAAAATTTGAGCAAAATCAGTTGAATAGTTCCTAAAGAATCGAATTTTAAAGAAGTCGTATAAAAGGAGAATCGTTTATTTCAATCCCTCCGCCCTTGACGAATCATCGCGCAGCTACTAAAAGAGTAAATACTAAAGTAGACGAAAACCTGAAATTTGATAAGTAACGGTAGTCGATCGATGGCACGTTAAAAGTATTAGCGTAGCAGACTGTTTTTTTTAATTTCATTCATTTATTTATTTATTTTGGTCCAAACACTATAAAAATTATTTCTAATATCTTGAGAGAATTCTTTTATTTGTATATTTCTATTTTGAATAAATACTTCAAGAACAAAAGAAGGAATTACTGGATTTCCAAATGTGATGCAGTTCTCGAGGGTTCTCACGAAATCTGAATCTGTGAGTTTGATGACATGCATCTTGTTTGCTTTTTCCATGTTTTTGATCCATTTGCTCGCCTGTCCCTGAGGATCAATCAGGAGTGGCCATCTTCTAGCATTCCTGTATAAAATTATAATAATATAAAAATTGTAAATGGAAAGTCAAATTAGCAATCGATATCCTCTCAGGATCGTTTCAATGTTGCCAATCAAGGCACTCCTTTTTACGAATATAATCATGTGCGCTGAAGAAGAGATTATATCTTTCAGAGATTATACCGAATAAATATAATAATATCAACGAATAAATTAATATCATTTGGATACTAACAAATATTTCGGACATTCACCAAAGCAACTATGTGATTGTTGACATTCTCTTGATTTCGGTCATTCACTGTAGTGAGGGGGAGTTATGAAATGAAATTCATTCTAGGTGAGCATTAGATTTGACTCCATATTGCACGATTCTATTAAACATTTAAGACTTGCGGCAAAATGCGATAATTTTTTGCCAAATTAATTCTTTTCTAGGGCATTTTTAAGGAGAGATATTAATGATATGGAGGTGAAATATTTTAGTTATTTTATTAGTTTTGAATGAAAGATACACTTGTGCTCAAAGTTTGTGAAACCGAAGTCTATGAACAACGTTATAAGAGTAAACTGTTGAAAAGAACGACAATTAAAAGAGATTACTTACGTGATAATGATGCCATTTTCAGTAGAAAAGCTATCGGTGGGGAGACCAGCCAAATTCCAATCTCTGATGAGAACGGGATCTCCCAGAGCATCTTGCAGAGAAAACTCATCTGAGCAAGGTATGCCACACTTCTGACACAAGGAAACCCAAGTTACGCATTGATCCTGAAAATGGAAATATAATGTCTCAGAAGCATCTGTCAGAGAGAACAAAACGTCATTATACTAATTAAAATGCTTGTTGTGTCCGTCAGAAAGCTTTTTTGTTCGATTTGAGAACTTTTTTTAGTGTTTCTATAATGTAAAATAGAAAATTCCCATTGATTCATCCGATAATCCACCAAGTGAGGATTTGTATGAAGCTAAGGGTCTGTCCAGACATTTTGTGAAAGGTCCGTTTTTTCAAAATTGTGAAAAAATAACTTGCAATTTGTGAATATAAAATAACCGCTAAGTTAAATTTTTTCAACCAGGGTCCTGCTTTTGTGAATGTGTGCAAATAGGGTCCTGTTATTGCAAAAAACTTTTTCAAGGAGTTTTTAAATTGTAAAGACATACAAGATTATGTTCAACACTGTAAAATTATAATTAATAAAAAATTAAATTTTAAAAAATAAACAGCAATTGCTGCTTCTAAATTAGAGATGCAACATACACATATTTGGTATTTAGCCTATACTGAAGACAAAACTTAGTTCGTTTACATCTGTCTTTCTTTCCCCCCACTCCCCAGGGAAGGGTTTATTCGATTAACAAAACAATAATGAAGATAAATAAATTTATGAAGGGTCCGATTAAAAGATAAATTATTTTGCGAAGGGTCTGTTTTTAAGTTAAAATATTTCGTGAAGGGTCCATTTTTATAAAAAGATATTTTGTGAAAAATTCGTTAACGGACCCAAATTTCTTCTAATTTCCAAATTTCTCTAAGCAATGAAACAGTTTAATAGAAAATTCGTAAATCACTCTAAAAAAAAAGGAAAAATATATTTCATTTATAATTTGTTTCTTATATCACGAGATAAGACATAGATAATAGAATGAAACGTTACAACGTCGAAAAATAATGATTTTAGAATTTTTAATTCAAAAAACTTTAGTGGTTCGAAATCAAAAACGTCCTATATCTTGATTGCAATCCCATGCAGAAAATGATTTTTAATAAATATTAATTAGTTTTTATTATTTTATTTAACAATGTCCAAAATTTTTGAAGTATGAGATTAAAAAATTTTTACATCATTTTAAAGAATGCAGATTCATAAGCCTAAATACAAAGTTCGAGCGAAATCGGTCGGCAGAGAAAACAAAACGGAAAAAAAACTACTTGTCTAAATGCAGAGGTAAAAGCTCCAAGGTAGGCAACAACAGCAGAAGCGATCAAAATATCTCCTGTCAGATTATCGTATTGGATACCCAGTTGATCAGCAGCAATATTCCAGCGATCCTTTTCTCCTCCTAAGCCTCCAATCAAAAGTTGGGCACGCTCCAGCTGAGTAGCACACAGCTCTACCTGCTTCTCTAGATCTAAAATAGAGGTTTCATTTTTAATGTAAATAATTAAAATTTCTTTTTCAAGTTGGGAATGGAAATATCGAGCATGTGAGCTGTCAAAAATATGAAAGCGTAAACATACATGCTTTCAAATTTGTGGGTGAAAATTCTTTGCTTGCGTGGAATCTTGGGAAAAAATGAATGGCTAAAAGCGAATAGTTCAACAAACTAAGTGAGTAGTAACTTTATACTTATGCAGATTGAGTGAGAATTATTTTTTTTCATTGCTAATGTTACTCATTAAAAGATGAGTATTTGTCGAGCTGTTACGCTTTTTAAGTATAATAAAAAAAAAGTATGATCGAAGAACAAAAGAGAACGTTGATGACAGTTATGAAAGACTTAACATTGAAAGAACTTGACGTCATACATATTGTTTTGTTTCTGCACATTTTTTCAGTGCAGATCATTTATTTCAGTTTAAAATTTTTATTTCGATAACTTAATATTGACTAAAAATTTTATTTCTACAAGAGGAATTAGTTTTAGAGATTTAATAATTGGTCTAAATTTTTCAGATTTTGTGCTGGGACACATTTCAAGGGGTTTTAACTTAGTTGTTGTTGTTGTTAATTTACGTCACACTAGAGCTGCACAATGGGCTATTGGCGACGGTCTGGGAAACATCCCGGAGGATGATCCGAAGACATGCCATCGCAATTTTGATCCTCTGCGGAGGGGATGGCACCCCCGCTTCGGTGGCCCGACGACCTGCGCGCGAAGTCGAGCACTTTACGATAGCACAGTTTAACGAGGACCCATACCGCACACTCTCGGTCCCTACGCAGACTGATCAAGTGGACACCCACCCGCACACTGACCGTAGCCAGTGATGCATGACTTCGGTGATCTGCTGGGAACCGTGTCTTAACGATCAGTTCACTGCGGGACTTTAACTTAGTAGAGAGCGAAGTGAGCATGGTTTGCGAAGTAAACCATATAAGATTGCACGGCATTCTCTAGAAATTTGAGAGCAGCAGCAAAAAGGGGGAGGAACCCACCATTATTGAACAAACTTCTTACCGCGACTTATGCTTTTGCCAAGTAAAAATACAGTTTTTTTTGCGAATTCTTAGTGTAACGAGTTTATTTCAAAAGTAGGATTCCAGAAACATTTCTTCTCATCCCATTCCAAAAATCAGTTTCAAACAGGATTCATCTCTCCTATTTCAAATCCACACAAAGGAAACACAAATTTCTTTCACTCAATTGCTAATGAAACTGAAATACATGTCGTTCCATGAAATCAATCATTCAGCTAAAAGTCAGTGTCCAGCAATTCAAGAATTTTCTTTACAGAGCCTATGTACTGCTTCAGTTCTGACTTCGATTTAAGCATTCAAGTCTAAGTGTGACTTCCGGCCTCTTCCTACTCAAATGATTCTTGTAACTTAGAATCTTGTATTATCGTCTTGGAATATAACCCTTTGAACCAAGCATTCTAATTCTCTTAAGTCAAATGGCAGACTTCAGTTTGCTCATTAGTCTATTCTTCTAGTGCTGGTGGTCTCTAAAGTGAAAAAATTAAGCAATTATCATCCGACATACAGTTCCGATCTTGCATTGTTACACGTTATCTCTTTTTCCAAATTTAAGTTGGTATTTTTTAAAACGCAAAATAAGTAGCACCTGAAAGAAACAATAGGATGAAAAAAGATTATTCTTCGTCTGTTATTATTGTAATGAGATATTTTTAAGATCACATTAGGACGAAATGATGATGAGCAATGATTATGGATCATATATAAAAATCTAATGGATGGTGTCTCAGTTTTCATTGTTGTCAATACATTTTTATTTTGTCTGATACATAAATTAAGAGTTTAGGAGGAATTATTTTTATTATTATTAGAATAATGTTGCATTAGAATAATGTTGCATTTTAAGATAAAGTTACTTAAATCGGTAAAACATTTTACAATTATTATTATTGGGTGCAAATGACATCAATATACTCTGTTATGAATGACGGTTAAAGAGATTCATTAAATGATTTAGAACTTTCAGCTTCACGCACACAAAGTGATGAATGCAAAAATTGTATTTAAAATATACATCCGTCCGTTTGGTAAGCAAAAATATTAAATTGCAGTTGGGAACTCACCCAATTTGTCATAACAATACAGTTTTGAATATAAGTGTTATTTCAAAAAAATGATTACTTTTAAAAATGATTTATGTTGTCGTATTCTTAATAGTATCATAAGGAAAATATGTGGACTTAGGAAGTGGGGGCACAAGTGTTCAGTTTAATACATATATTTTTAGTTGAAAAATTTCAGCTTTTTTGTGACAAGAAACAGAAATTATTGCGAAGCAATCATCGGAGCTTCTATTTTAAATATCTGCACCCTCTGCTGACGATTTTGTTTTCGCTATGTAATACATTCATACCTTTAAAGTTATATATTTTCTCAACAAAATTATTATATAAATTGTTGTAAATTATCGGTTTGTTCCAATTGTTCATAATCACCTTTGCATTATGCTATCGAAAAATTTGATTTCCAGGGAAATGAGGCATGCTAGATTAGATTTAACAACATAAAAAAAAATATGGTAGGAAATTTATGATGATATATTTTCTCTTGAAAGGGTTCGACCAAAACAGAATTATGAAACATTTAATTTTGTCAATTGAGGAATTAAGAAATATTTCAGACCTTCTTTCTCTTTCTGGGCCTCGTCTAGTTTTTGCTGCAGTTCAGCCAATTTGGCTTGAATTTCTCTCAGGCTGTCTTGTTTCACTTTTAAAGCAGCCAATGCTTCACTGAGATCGCTTTCAGCATGTGCTAGGGCTTCTTTCTTCGGTGCCACAATTTTCACCACGCTGTCGCAAAATTTAAAAATATCAAAATGACTTTCAAGCTAATTTTAACTAATTTGATAGAAATGAGACCAAACAAGAATTTTGTGCGAGTACATGATAGTAAAGCATCGTTAAGATGTAAAATTTTGAGTATTTCATCTACGCTGGTGTAAGAAGCAGACCTTGGTCGATTAATGCCTGATTTTCATCAAAATTCGATATGTACATACATTGATACAATACAAAACAAATAACAATTGTAATACACACCCATGATGGTGCATAACATTCGTTGGAGTCGAAAAATATGAAACAGCGGTTGCAGAATAAANAAGATTGGCAAACGATTATTAGCGAAAAAAATATGAATGAAATTTTATGCTACGCGTGCGAAGTCAAGTTCCTTGCAAGTTTATCACATTTTAATATTAATCGCCCCATTTAATTATTTTTTTATTGTCGCCAAATTATTTTTTTAAAAATAATTAATTTTAATTTTTCTCAGCTTCTAATAAATAAAAGCAGTTGAAACTTTAAATGTTTCAATTAAAAAATATGTAGATTAATATGGTATAAAAAAATTCATACCTTATAATTCAAAAATTTTTCATCCTCAATTTAATTAAATAATAAAAAATAATTAACAATTATTAAAAATTTTTTTCTTCATGAATTTATCTTTGGGTAAATGAGTTTTATGAATGGGTGAAATTTTCTTTGAATTTCTTTATTAGTTTTAAAAATATGACTAAAAACTTAAAAAGTGAAATTAACATTAAGAGGTACGAACTTTGCATCGCTCTCCTGACTAAACTATGTGGACCATATTTCCCAGATTGCGGCTACCCCCTATATTTTGAAGGTTCAGAATCCAAATATGTAAAAAAAATTATATGTTTATTAAGAGAAAGTACGTTTTTGTGTCTGATTTCGCAACTTAATTAATAGTTAGCACTAATTAATTAGCATATTTGAGGTCACCCCCCGGAACCATTAAGATTGGCACTTCGTGAAAATCCGATCATTAGAACGAAAGTTATTCAGGGTGATATCTTTTTTTTTTTGCGGACTGTACATACATTGATACAATACAAAACAAATAACCATTCAACCATTGTAATACATGATCGTGCATAACATTCGTTGGAGTCGAAAAATATGAAACAGCGGTTGCAGAATAAACAACAACAAAAAATGGGCTATAGGGTCCCCTCTTACAGATCTTGCAGCGTGATTTCATACTTGAAATAAGACAGTTTATTATTTCCTGTGGCAATTTCATACATTTTGACTCTAACCTAGTTTTACAACTGTTATTTGTTATGTATTGTATCAATCTATGTACATATTCAAATTTCATTAAAATCGGGCATTAATCGACCAAGACTGCAAATTCTCTTAATTTCTTACAACAATGTAAATTAATTACTAATAAATTAAATTCCTTCCAAAAACTGTCAGAATAAATTTTCATTTTCCATAGTTCAGAAAGTTGTAATTTAGATGCGTTATTTGTATTTCACATCAGCTAGGTTACTTAAAAAACTTCATTGTTCTATTACAGAACAGAAGAAAGAACATATTTTTTTAACTAGCAATAAGTGCAGTATGTGTCGATGAGTTAAAATCCGAACTACTTATTTTATACATTTCAAACACGATCAAATTTCGATTGATTAATCAATCGAAGTTTGATTAATGAGAAATTTCCTCCAGAAATATCAAAAATTAAAATTTTTGACATTTCTGCAGGACGTACGATATTAAGTAACGAAGAAATATTAATCCTTTGAAGCAGAGGGGATACAGGTGTCCCTTTTACATGCATTTTTTCTGTCCCTGAGTTGCTAGCAAAAATGCATTTCGGTATTTTTTTAATTATTAAAAACAATCTAATATTTACTAAAGAAATCAGTTAGGAATAATAATTTGAACTGAAATGGAAAGTTCAAAAAATGTAGTTTGAAAAAAAAAAATTTCTTTTTTCATTCATATTCAAAAATGTATCATTAATCAATTTTGTAAATTAAGGAAATTTCAATGATGAATAACTGCTTCTCTTAAATCTAACTGCAAATAAGTGTGAATTAAAAAATTTTTTGTTAGCAACTTGTGTTTGCCGTATTTGAAAGATTTTACCGTTAAAACAGAAAAAAGCCACCGGTGTTCAATTTTGTATTTCATAACCACAAATTATCAAAATTCTAAATATAATATTTTTCACTTATTTTGACCTAAATTGATACAAAATAAAGAAAAAGTATGAAAAATATGTTTAATAAAAAATCTACGTCAAAGGGTTAAATCAGATTTTTCTTTTATTTCTTGTTTCTAAAAAAAGTGCTATTTTAAGTGTCTATTTAGTTATCTTATCTCTAAAGCTCAAAAGCCGTTAATATACACATTACCTAGTTAATTTGCAGAATACCTAGGCAATTCATTAAAGTACGGAATCAAGAGTTTTCTGCAATTAACATTAGTGTTAATTGCTAGAGATTGTAATGTTTGCATTAACGATCACTATATCGATAGAGATTAAAAGTTTGCTTCTTTCATTTGTTGGAACTTTAACTTGACTCCTTGTTTTGACTTAAATCTTTAGACTTTGGAAAAAAAATGGCATTATGTTAATTTCCACAATTGCAATAATATTTTAAACTGTTTGATTCTTTGTATTATAGTTTATAAAGTGACTGATTCTTTCAACTAATGCGTTTCATTGTGTTTAACTTGACTCTTCAGATCACAAAGTAGAAATAAATGACATTACGTAATTTGAAGCGTGCAGAAATGTTGCTGTTGTGCCAGCAAAAGATCTTATGTTTGCTTTAACGAGTGTCTATAGTTAGTAATGTGCTGTTTATCTAGGCAATTTATGAAGTGAAATAATTTTCGATGTTTTAACAGATCACTAAAAAATTACAAGTTAAGAAAAGACCATATTGCGGCATAGGATTTAAGTAATCATCATATAGTTCCGTTTTACTTATTTATCAAATTATACGAATATGCTTTAAAAACAATATAAAAGAATTTAAAAGTTAAACACGTCAGACAGAAATTTAATTCCTACTATCTTTTGCGATATATATCATAGAATTATTTAAAAAAAGGTTATAGTTCCGTAGTCTAACTAAAATCCTAGACTCAGCGTCACATTTCGATAAATAAGGAGACTATATGACGTAGCAAAAACATTGGATTTGATTGAACCACTAAAAATGGCGCGTCTTATACTGACTTGCTCGTAACAAATCAAATGCGAGGTAAAGAATTTTTACTTTTGTTATTCGCTGCAGTAGAAAATAATCTGTAAGAAAAAATATTTATTATTATTTCATCAGTTTCTTTAAATGCGAATATAAAGTATTATTTAAATATGATGCAACTCTCTACTTTTAAGGGAAACAAAACAGTTATTTTTATTCAATAAGTTTTGCAAGGTTTAGAAAGAAAGCAAGCAAAGAGGAGGCCGTGCAATGTCGTTTTAAGAGTTGGCAGTGTCGATATACGTTTGCGCTGGGAGATTAGCACCCATTTGGCGTGCAATTAGATGCAAACAGGCTCTCTGCATAAGAATAATGGTTTTTTCTTAACTTGCAAACAGAGTATAGACAATTTGTATGCACTTCAGTGAGGTCACCTAAGTATGCGATGAAAAGAGGAATCTTACGCGTCATATGAATCCATGGCGATGACCCATCGGCATAGACCCTCAGCAGCAGTGGAAGCACTTTTGATCTTTTCAGGATCGAATTCTGGGTTCGATGTGTATTTACTTCGAATTTCCTTCATCGCTTTAGGGTTTATGTTGTCCTAAGAATAACATCAAATATTTTATGGAAAATAAAAGATTTTATCATAATCATACTAAAGACAAAGCGTTCCATCCCTGTAACTTTCTGTAAGCTGTGGAAAAATCTGAAATTCATGTACACTATTTCACATTTCAAACAATGTGACAAATTGATCCAAAAAAATGTACAAAGGGATCTAAATATAGGAGGGAGTAACCAAGTAACCCTTGTTATCTGGTTATTAGAAAAAACTACAAGTTAAACCTTAAAACAAAGTGAGCTTCATCCCAATGTAAAAAAAAAATTGATTGAAATCATAATTTTTATTTTTGAATTTAAATATAATGATAGGTCACATTTTTTAAATACTTCAGAAGAGCTGTTTTGGTGAAACATATCATCATTTCCATACAATGGATATATTAATGCGTATTATTCTGCTATCTAGATGTAAATTCAATCAACTTGTAAAGTATGTATCTGAAAACAATTCTAATCAAACCCTTGACCACAAAACTATCCTACTGACGCAAAATGTAGTCTACAACTGACCACACCATTTAAGTATTACGCCCTCTTATAATTTACCACTATACGAGGACAAACATATTGTCACAAATCAATATTTTGTCGGCAACAACTTAATAGGGACATAATTTGTCACTTAAATATAAATTTGCATTTTCAATATTATAGGCGTGACGGTTGATTTTTGAATGAACTGTCTTTAACGCGCATTACTTCATTCTTTTTCGACTTTACATCCTCTAGTTTGTGGGCAACCATGCTGTAATAATGCTTGTTTGGTATTATGATGTTGCGAATGAGAACAAAACTTTATCATTTGAAATATTTTTTTACTTTTTATGTTATTTGTTAAGAAAAATGCGATTTCTATAGGGCAAAATCAATGGTCGCGCCACCGGACTCTCTAAATATAACAAACCACTGACAATTAAAATAAATATCAGGCACTCGCTACTTTTTCTTAGAAAATGCACTACATTCGCATTTTATTATAACTTTTTTCAAATTTTGGAATAACATTTTGAAAGCTACTTATTTCACATTTGTTCTTAAAAATTTCATTGTAATGTTTTAAGAAATGCTTCAAAAGAATTGCCTTACTTAATAGTTTCTTTTTAATCATTTGAAAAAGTGATTTTAAAAGAGGCCACTGTCAGAAATGATATAACTGGCCATAAAATTTCCTAATTTTGCCTTATATTAACCAATACATATAAGGAAAGATAACTTTTAGAGCAGAAAATTATTTTAAAAATGGAAATAAAATACAACATTATTGAAAAAACTATGAATAGAAAATAAAAGCGTGGTCCATATCGCATAGCGAAGACTAGACTAAGTAATAAGCAGGTTGATGTAAAAATGTCAATATATCACTTCAATTGTTGCAGTTACTAATTTTAATTCTTTAATAATCACACGATACATTGACTAAATGTGGTAGGGGTTTTCAATAATTTAGAGTTGATCAACTTCAATAAGGATAGATTAAACAACATAAAAAAGTAGAAAAATAAGCTTTGGAGCACAATATTAAATTCACCTATTAGATAACTTATCGGAAATAAGGTTAACAAGTTACTTTCGAAATAGACGGGATTCTATTACATATATAAAATATGTCACACAAAAATATTAAATAACTCTAATAATGGTTGCAATTAGAAATTACCATTTCTATATAGTTTGTATTACAATTTGGTTCAAAAGGTCACTTAACTATGATTACAAAATAAAATAAATACAAAACTGATTTTACTTTTTTGTTTCTGCATTTTTTTAAAAGTGATAAATTTATGCAATTTGGTGACTTCATTTGAAAAGGATCTGATCTGGGAAAAAATTTAACTCATTTATTCCATAACACTTGTATTAAGAAAATTCAGAATGAAAGAAAAAATTATGATCTGTTTCTGTTTTAATTTACCACAAAATTCTTTCGAACAAATTAAATGATTTGGAGTTTTATTTTTCACTTACCTTGTCATAGTTTTTCAAACTTTCTAAAAATTTCATGTCCCCTAAAAGCTTCTTGGAGGGTCCCCAATAATCTTCAATCATTTTTCCTATAAAGGTGGTACACGAGTTCATGCGCATAAGTGTACAAAATTACATATTGAAGAAAGAATATCTACCAAATTCATTTATTTGCAAATAAATCACAAAACTTAAATTTCATTATTTAGTTCACAAATAAAAAATCAGTAAATAAATGCTCGTTTAAGACTAAATAATGTGCCTTTATGTAAAATGTTATGTAACTACAACCCTTAATCTATGTCTTTAGAATCCTTTTACAAAATGAAATTTAAAAAAAAATAAGAATATGCATTTGGGCGTTGATATTTAATCAAGAAAAACACTACTGAAGTGTAACGAATCACTACTGATGAAAGAAAGTCTCTTTGATTGCAAGAGGAAACGATAAGAAGTTGAAAGTCAGTTAATAGAGTTATCTTTAGTGTGTAAAATAAAACGTCATTAAAAAACTTAGTTCAAAAATCAGAAATAGTAAAATCTTTTATATAAAGCGTTTCTGTGTTCCTTAGTAGTATGAAAGGTCATTCAACAGAATTTATTTCACACTAAAGAGGTAAATATGCAGCTAAAAGTAATAACATGAAACTGTTAGCAAGAATTCAAAGTGCTTCAAGACATCTTTCCCTATTTTTTCAAAAGCTTGGAAATCACTTTTAATTAACTCTCACTTTAAGGTTTTACCTTTAACTGTATCTCTTTTATATGACGTAACCTCTGACGTCTTACCATTTCCTGATATTCAGCCGAAGGCTCCTATACTATGACCTATCAGAGCTGACCTATCAAGCAATATTGGAGCAAAAAAATTCACAAGTTAACGTTATGTTAGTATTGTGCTTATGTTAGCTCTTTGGAGCAAAAATAGATGATGAGTCGGCCTGTCTAATTCAGGGGCTCTAATTCAGCCTACTGATGAAGATGTGACACTGAGTATCGGTTTTAATAAAAGATTCAACTTGCTGTTTAAAAATAAAACACTGAAAAGGTCGATGTGTTGTTTTTTTACATAAACTGAATGAAACAATTTTTATTTGTAGTATTGACATTAATTGAAAGAAGATACAAAAAAAATCGCTTGCCAGTTCCAGCAGGATCTTTTATTCTGTTGGCTTTAATTCCTTTGAGTACACAGATGGCTTCCATGACGAGTTTAACACCTGCGGGAGGACTTTTCATTGACTTAACTAGAGTAATATCCTGAAAGAAACGCGTACCTTTTAATATTAAATTTTAAAAAGAAATCCATAAAGACTATTTTAGTAACCGTGCCGCTAATAGGCCACGGATTCTGTTCTCCGACCTCGCAAGACTGACTCAGCCTTTTATCCATTCAGTGAATCGATAAAAATGAGTACCAAGCATGATAATAGACTAAAAACTGATTATTCCGCGTACGGCTGACTACCCAATCAGAACATCTACTCCTACGTTCTAGAACTCAAGTTCAAGAAAACTGAGACGGTCACAGTAGGCTTTGACCCTCCATGGGCCGTCGTACCACTGAGTTTAATTTTAGTTTTTTTTTTTATTAATCAGACATATCAAGAGAAAATAACTGTTTCTTGTTTCAACATTCTCATCAACCATTATAAGTCCAAAAAATTCTATACATGCCTTATTTTTTTTAATAAAAATAATATTAATATTCTTATTAATTCTAATAATATTAATTTTCTTACATACTTTGATAGATAATCAATTCAAACTCGGGTTAATTTTGTTTAATGACAATCAAAAAATCCCAGCCACTGTTCAGCCGTTAATGAATAATTTAACAATAACTTGTTAGAAGAAATCTTTTCTTATTTGTTATTTGTTGATTTGTAACGCATGCGCTCTGAAACTCTTGCTAACTGGAACAATAAGTCTGCTTGTAAGTTGGATTAGCGATTTCGCATAGCGTGTTTACCTTAGAATTCAATCGTCGAATTCTTCAAGGTTTTATTTATTTTTAGTACTTTAGCTTTATGCGAGCTTCAGGGAGCATAGTTTTCTTTTCCCAACTATTTTGGAAGTTGAGGTATGTTCTAATTCAGTTTTCATTTTAAGGTTTCTAATAAATAGTTTATTTTGGCAGTTTAGTTTTATTTCATTATTCGATGGCTCATACTCGTATTAGTTTAATTCACGTCAGTATTTCCCACAGCCACTGATACCAGAGGTACTGAAATCTCATCTATTAGACGGAATGCAATTAAACTATTTAAGCTTTCCTAGTGGAAACCGGAACTTGAAATGAAAGAAAAATAAATGCTTAAATTCAAGCATAAGTCCGTTTAGATTATTTCTTTCAATTAAAGTTTGTAAGAAATAAAAACACATGCACTTATTAAGAATTGTCAATAACTGGAGCAGATATCAATAATATCGATAAATAATTCGTCTCATCTCTTTACTGAGGGGTTCCTTTTGTTGGCGTGATGATGCTATTTTTAAAATAAAAAATGATTAAAGAATTGTTTTTTCTTGTCTCACTTGATCGACAGCAATGTCTAAATCAAGACCATAAACCCATAGGTTTTTAAACACCTAAACACCACACCAGGAATATTGCGCAGGTGGCTTTTTTGACCACCAATTAATGATAACGCTGAGGCATGAGTCAAATTGCATTACCTTGGGTGTTTTTAAACAACAAAAAATCCAGGAGGTTATGTGTTTTTAAACAACAATGAACCACAGCAGAACTGTAGTATAGCTGGCAACTAATTGATGTTGAGGTATCAACCAGACTCAAAATGCATTTCGCTCATAAAAGGTAAGCTTTAAGGATGAAAGGTAGACAATGCAGCCTGAGGAGGTCCAGGATTATGAAGTGCCAAACGATTGAAGTCTGACTTTGACTCGGCACACAATACCTTAGCTAAGGCATAAGGGAATGGCTCTTTATGAATAGGATGGCCCTAGACATATACGCTCCAGTCATACTTGTTTCATTCTAGGACCTCAACCACAATCAGGCAGCAGGACAGGATTCTATGAAAGCAATTGCACTTAATCTTGCGAACTAGAATAAAAAAAACACAAAAGCAACTTTTCTTTTTACAGAGATAGCGAGTAACTCTATTTTTACAGAGGTCTTCTTTGCAGGAAAGTTAAAAGTAAAATAATCGTGACATTTATATGATTTTATACTAACAAGTGAAATATAAAATGTCTGCCTTACTGCTGGTGTCAATATGTCAAGAGCTTCAAGAGCAGATTCTAGAATTGGCACAGCCTTTGCCAAATCTGAATCACATTCATCCTTGATGGCCTGGGCAGCGGCTGCCTGCTCATTTGCCAAGGATTCATCTTGCTTCACCTTCTTTTCCACTTCGGCAACGTCTGCTGATTCTGCTTGAACAACTGCCATCTGCTCCTCCACCTTCTTCCCTGCAACCACTAGAGTGGGCTGCAAGCTGGTCAATTTCTCCTGCATCTGCGCCACTGCACCAGCTGCATTCTGCAATTCCTGCAAACCCACTTCATACCTGTTTTTAGCCTTCAGTATAGCCCTGAAATATAATTTTGAGATGAAGTTTGAGATGAAGAAGTGGATTATTACAAACAGAGTGTGACATAATGACCATCATCCTTAATGTATATTATCGGAATTTGTTTATGTAAAAATAATTGTGACTTTAGAGGTCACAGATTTACATTTAATTGAGAAAGGAAAGTAACTAAAAATATACAGGAGAAGCTAAGTTATGATATACATGTACTGCAACTCAATATAAAGTATAGTATACTCTCGATATCTCGAACTTCAAGAACAATAGAACAATATCGCACAATCGAACTTCAAGAACAATATCTCGAACTTCTTTTTATTTCTTTACCTCGGAAACCTTGTTATATCAAAAAAATATTTTTTCCCTTGACATTATATGTCCACCTAATGTTAATTTCAATTCTTATGTCGGAGAGTTTCTTCTAAAACCTTCTTATGTCGAATTTCTTTCGAAATAGAAAATGAATTATTTTGGAAAAATCATAACATAAGTTTATTATAGAAAATTATTTTCTATTTAATGCATAACTATTTTTGTCTTTATCTTTTAAAAATAAAATTATCATTGTTGCATTTAGACTTATAGGTAACAATCATTACATTCTTATTTATTAGTAGTTATTCTTACGTTTCATGATTCTACTTTTTAGAGTAATATTTTAGAATATATTTTCCTACTTTTTAGAACCTATTTAGTTCTGAACTTGTTATCTCGAAAATCTATCATCGTCCTTTCAACTTTGAGATATCGAGAGTATAATGTGCAATGATAAGTCATACTTTTTTCAAAAGTGATATTTTTAGATTGAATTCTTTCCTAATATTTTTTTCAGCAGCGTACTTTACATGTCTCTTCAAATTTCTGCAAGCGGGCAGCACAATACACAAATATCTTGAAATTCAATTTTTTCTCATGAAAACTGATCGTAAGGAGCGCTCTCTTATACATTTTTTTTTTAAAAATTGACTTATCATTATATTCACTCAACTCTTATGTAATTGTAATTTAATTTACTCAATGGGCCTAAATAAATTTTGCTTTTGGTTTTCCAGATAAAGTTTTGCCGTTATGGAAAGAGAAATTTTTTGAGCTTCAGTATTTTACATATATATATATATATATATATATAAACTGCTGTTTGTAGAAAATGCAACACCATGAAAGAATCATCAGAATCAAATGAAATTTAATGCAGNATATATATATAATATATATATATATATACTTTTTCTCTCGTAAATTAATATCTTTACTGTCTAATAACAATTCTCATTCTTAACTAATTTATATATTTTAAAGAAATTCATAACAATATAAAAAATTTACATTCACGATTATGTCTAACGAAAGCATTGGTGGTTGCGTATTCTTCTTGTGAGTAAAAAGTTTTCTGATCTTGTAAGAAAAAATAAAAACTTGTAAACTTGTTGATGAGAAAATAAAAAATAATGAAGTGTGTCCCAAACTTCATTCAAGAATTGAATTAAAAAGAAAACACAGTTTTTTTTTTCAATATATTTTATATATTTTGATATTTTTTATATATATAGGTATATTCTCCTCAATATATTTTTTCTTCTCAATATACATATTTCAATTAAAACTTAAATGATATAGGATAGGGTTATGAATAGAATAGCAATTTGGGCAAATTAACCTCCACAGCTTTGCTGGCACATGCGCACACTCTTTTATTGAAATTGGCCCTTTTGCATAAATATGGCTAAGTTTCGTTGATGAAATGTTGAATCTCCTCCTTCAATGCACGGGTAGGTGAGAGATTATTGATGATTGACCTTTCATTTCAAATAACCCTATAGAAAGAAGTTCAATAATATTAAATCGCATGATTGTTGGTGGTCAATTCTGTTGAAATATTTCTGCAGTAAATGGATTGCTTCATGGGCTTTGTTCGATGAAAACGTGTTGTTCATAATTGTAAGACTGAATTTCTACAAACCCTAAACTGCCTGCTGTCAAACTGTCTTTTTCTCTGGTTCAAACGATAAATAATTAACTTTCTATTTAATTCAAATCTTGCGTAAATTTTGAGACACCCTTTAGGTAGCGGATAAAATTCAAACGAAGTGACATACTTTCTTTTCTTCTCGAGTAAAGTCTTAAAAGTTGATATCAGTTCTAGGAAAGATGTTGGGGTGACATAGTTGTGGCGCTGCAGTTTCGAGAAATAATGTTCGGAAAGATCCTGGGTGGTGGTGTGAAAAGTCTTGCACATGTAGATGCAGCCCTCCCTCTCTTTGTCTGTCAAATCAACATCTTCCAAAAATTTACTGGCAACTGCTTCCAACGCATCTTCAGGCCACGCCTTAAATTTAAATATGCTTTCAGTTATTAAGATGAATATTTGAAATAAGCCGATATTTTTAGATTTTAGAGAATTTTGAATAGTTCTAAGCACTTTTAGATATTTGTATTTAAGTGACACAAAACTCCATTTTACCAGCTGTCGTATGGCTAATTTTCCCCAATCTTTAGTGAATAATAGTGAAAATGGCGTAAAATTTCAATATTTTTTTTAATTGAAAAGCTTTATTTCATTTTTTAAGCATTCAACTGTGGCTCCATTCCATAGCAAAAAAAGAGATTCAAAAAGAAATTTTAAAGAGCTTAAGATAAGATATTAAGTATTATATTAAAGAATTGAATAACATTAAGAATTTAAATGCATAGAAACACTTTTATTTTATTTTATTTTTTTACTTAGGAAAAAACTTTCATTGAAAACAAAGTAGAATAAATTAACTTTCCTTACTTATCATAGACCATGATCGATAAATGAACTTGTAAATTTTAATATACTTTACATTATTACATACTCTTTAAATTAAAGATTCGTTAATTTGTAATTGTTATTCACCCCTACCATGTTTCATGCTCTCCACAGTAGGGGGCAGTATTTGTAAAGGTTGTTTCAACTTCCGGTAGGAGATTCAGATAGAAGAATTTCTGCTGGTGTAAACTAAATTGCGTAAATCCACATCTCAATAATTAAGTAATTGCAAATCAATATAGGATACCTTTTACCAAAGTTCTTTTTTTTAATCTTCATCTGATATTTCAAAATAGGAAGAACACATTTTTTCTCAAAAATACAACACAAAAATTAAATTCAGAATAACTGAGTATTCCGAGTATATACAAACAAATCCGTGAAAACGTAAAAAAACGAAACAATGCTATGACGTTAGAAGAGGACCTCAATACTTCTGGTAGGGTTTGTTTGCTTTTTTAGTATATATGGTGAATATTATAAAAAGAAATCAAGATTTCAATTCTCTCTCATTAGATGGTAAATACAATTTTTGCATGTTACCCAAAAGTCGGTTAAGACTTTTGTTTTGAAGTCTTCTTTATAATTATTTACCTGAAACCAATCAATGGTGCAACAGTTGACCAGAGAAGGGAATTTTCTTAGCCTTGTGCGAAAGGAGTCCCCAATGGGACTCATGGCCAAGACAATGTGCAACTGGTCCCTCACTCTCTGGATGAACATGTTGAACAGAGCAACAGGAGTACCGTCTGTTTGTTGGGATTTTTCACGTTGCCTAAATAAACAATTGCAAATCAATTCCATTCATGTTGCAAATTTTTAACATCAAATATTTCACTATTTTAAATAAAAAATGTAGTAAAATTTTTTTTTACAAATATATAGTTTGTGAGTATCTATATAGCTTTATTTACTTTAATTCAGATTTTGTACAAGAAATCTCGCTTTTTTTGGACAAAATACTCAAGAACAGCTTAATTTTAGATAAAGGTCACGACTTTGACCTCTAACATATACTAACAGACGCGTCGATATGACTTTTATGCAGTTAAAAATTCCAACACTCATTTTCCTGCCTTGATACTGATTGCATGCAGATTTTAGCTCTGAGTACAATAATTAACTGTTAAACTTCATTGTTTTTTAATTCTATAATATCTAACTTTGTGCTGTACTTTTGGCCTACAAATCACTCTATTCAATAATATGGAATTTAACACATGCATGGTATTAAAACTATGTTTCAAAATAACCGATGATTTTTAAACCATAATGTTCTTGGTAAATCTTTTTAAACAAAACAGCTATTTTCAAAATGGTTTAAGATCTCGAACTATCATATCCATTTACTACACCTCTGATTTTCTGTATCACACAAACCTATGACAATGAAAAGAACCAATGAAGAGTCATTTGATACATAGTGCCAAATGTGGTTAAGAACTAGATTCTACATGGTTTTGATTCCCTTTATTACATATGATTTGCTAAATAAAGCAACGAGAAAAAGTTGATGTAGTGCTCCCTGCAATAGATCATCATGTCAAATTGTTTCATTTATTGTAGCAAGCCCTAAATATTTAATGAAAATTATTACGAGCAATAATTTTATGCAACTTTACAGTCTTAAATCCTTTTCTTTGTTCTTAAGCATATTGTTCAAAGAAAGAGTTGCACGAGTTTCTACTCATGCATATTAAAGCAGACAATAAGGTCATAAAATCATTTCTCATTAAATATTCTAAAATGCATTCTGTGGATTCAATTACGAAAAATAAGGAGTGTTATTTACTTGTCAATCTGTCTCATCTTCTCGCAGATCTCCTGTTTCTCGTCGGGTGCGAAGAGGTTTGGAACCTCTCCCACATTCAGGAGGTTGTTGATGTCTTCCAGGAAGGATTCCTCCTTAATCTGGTTGTCACTGAAGAGAAAAACGCCGTGCTGATCGGTGGCCGTGGATTTCCGTAGGATCAATTTGAGATCGTCTCGCCACTCTGTCATTGTGTAACTCTTACTTATCTCCACCTGAATGCAAAAAAAAGCCTAAATTAATTCTAACACCTTTTTACACAACTAGATCTTAAAAAAATCTCTCTGTTTTTCTTGAAATTAGTTCGGGCTTACTGTTAGAGGCCAAGGGATCTCAGAAAATAAGTAATTACCTAATACATAAGGAATTTTGCAATAACAAGGAAAAAATCAGTTATAAACATTTTGCCTACGAAAAAAAAGCTCCTAAAAATTTCGGCTTAAAAGAAAAATATTTGAAGGTCCCGTCATTTAAAAATGCAAGCAACAGTTTTAAGCTGATAATATTATACAGTTACTTAAAAATTAATAAAAATAATAAATAACTGGATAATATTATACAGTTACTTTTAAAAATGCTAATTAATTAGTGCGGACGATATTATTAGGTACGAAATCAGAGACGAAAACATGTTTTTTCCGAATAAACATACCTTTTTTCCCGATGAATTCGGATTTCTGACTCCAAAAATATAGGGGGTAGTCGCAATCTGGGAAAAATGGTCCCAATAGTTTGGTCAGGTCAAGTCTTGTCTCCTTAATGTTAATTTTGCTTTTTACATATTTCGTCATATCTCGAGATTTTTAACTGAATTAAAGAAAAATTGGAAAACAATTGTAAAATTCGGACATCCAGAAATAATTCCATGCAAAATATAACTTTTAGTACATATTTTTTTTTTATTATATTATTTAATAATAGTCGGAAAATTTTTGAACTATAGGGTACATAATTTTTAACATCATTTTAAAGAATGCAATTTTAAACGGCAAAATACAAAATAGATTCTGAGATTCTCAAATGGAGGCTGAGAAATAGAATTTTGAAAAAGTCAATTTTTCAGGAACTAACTATTAGACCCATTTACTCATATTTTGTATTCTGCCATTTAAAAATACATTCTCTAAAATGATGAAAAAAATTGCGTACTTACAATTCAAAATTTTTCCGACTGCTATAAAATAAACTAACAAAGAAATAGTAAATACTCACAAAAAGTTGTTTTTGCATAGAATTAATAATCTTTGGCTAAATGAATTTTATGATTGTGAGCAAAATTTTTTTTTAACTCGTTTAAAACATTTTTGAGTTAAGATGAAATACGCAAAAAGTAAAATTAACATTAAAGGCTCCACATTTTGAATTGCTCTCCTGATCAAGCAACTGAGAACCTATTTCCCAGATTGCGGCTATATTTTGGGGGTTAGAAATCCGAATAAAAGGTGAAAGTCATTCATAACAAAATAAGAATGCCTCACTACCCACCAGACAAATAATTTGGTTTTGTAGCAGGATAATGTTCTTAATATTTTTACATTTTTTGTAGGCATTTATCACTTATATAAGAGAATGCTTTTTCTTAATTGCAAATATAAACCGTTTACCTGAAAAAGTTCGTAATCAGATATGTGGGCAGCTAAGTGAGTTAAGGATTGCCGGCCTGATCCTCCAACTCCCACCAGCAAAGCGTGGCTCCGTCGCTGCTTCAAAACTCTCGATATGCGGCACAAATGTTCAACGGCGAATCTATAAAATATCGATATAATGAAATACATAAAATTCTCTATCACTACAAATTTGCGAGTGAGTGTCAAAGAGGATTAAGCATTCGTCTTCCAATGAGGTGAACCGAGTTCGAATCCCAGCGATGGTTGGGCGAATTCTACATCCGGCTTGCACCGACCCCGGTGCTGACGTGAAATATCCTCAGTGGCAGGCGGATCATGGGCTAGAGTCCCCTTGCCGTGGGATTTTTTCCTGGTTTTCCTCTCCGCTCAACGAAAATGCGGGTTAGTTCCATCAAAAAGTCCTCCACGAAGGCAAATTTCACCCAATATTTGATCCAGGAGTTCCCTTGTCGTCTGGATTGGGTTCAAAATGACAAGGTTACGGAGTTAAACATTAGTAGTCGTAAATCCAAAACATTAGGGAAGCTGTACAACGACAGTTATAAAACAAAATATCTAACGCAAACAGGGCGGATCCTCTTAACTACTTCGGTTTGAATGCTGATGTTTTCCTCATAGGTGATGACCTCCGAAGCAAGGACAGAAGTTCAACCTGTTCTATTGCGTAACAAGCTCTGCTTTGTATGTTCAAGAAAGAAAAAAGCAATTCGAATGCTACAGAACTGGTTTTTCGTTTAAATTCAGAGCGAAGATGAGTCTTTTATGAGGAAAATATTTACGCTTTGGCTTTACACACAGTCAATACAGTGAAACCTCACCAGAGCGACCACTCTTCGTTTCTCTGTAAAATGGTCGTTGATGGATGTTCTTGGAGGTTAACCTCCATTGACTTCAAAATTGTTATCGAAGGTACATGATTTTTTGCAAACGATTTTAATTTTAGTCAGTGTCATTTTCTTGGTGCCACTTCTGTTGGCGTCAATGAAAAGACGGATCTATGAATAAAAAATGATCCCAACTGATATAATTATGTGTAAAAAAAAACAAATTTACCAATTACGAATGATGAAACTATTTTAAATAAATAAAAAAATTATGCTTTTCGTTTACGTTTGCATTTAATTTTAGATCATAAAAATTAGTTAACTCTAAAAAATGAGGAATGATTTGCTTGTTTTTCCTGAAATAGCTTGTTTCTTTCTAATTTAATTTTCCACTCTAAGAGTAAATCATTGATGGCATCGTGTTTAGTGCACTCTGACTGCAACATGATCGTCGTTGTATCGTCAAAAAGAGCTCTCTCTAAATAAGAGCCTCATACAAATATTTTGAATACATTTTAATTCGTTTTGTTAAAATTCCTTATTTGACCTTTGGTATCTCCTGGTTGTTTTCACCGACACAAAATAGACGGAAAAACTTCCGTGTCTTCCAAAAGTGGACGCTACATAGAGATGGTCTTTCCTGGAGGTTTCACTGTAGTTAACGTGAAAAAATGAGAATTTGACTGGTTGCCCATTTTAACCACTCACTTTCGTAAAAAGAAGTTAACTTCTTCTTAAAGAAATCTCCCGGTATTTTTTAAAAAATCCTGCCACGCACTTCAAAAGTCTTGACTCATGAAATGAACATTCACAGCGATGTCAAAAGGAATCTCATTTTCTTCTCGCAAACATTTTTGCCTTTCATGAAGCACGTACCTGCGTAATGAAGTCTACAATCATTAAGCAAACGAAGCTTTCATACAGTTTAGTTCCAATTCTTTACTGTAGAGTGGATGTAGCTTCGTTATAGCATTGAAGTATAATTTTTGGCCGTCTGAGATACATCCTAACGTTGTTATGAAGGGGTATTTCGCCCATAAAAATATACAAATTAATTTGAAGAAAAATTTATTTATTATTTAGAGAATATGACCATACTTAGAAATAATGAAAGAAAGAAAGAAAGTCCCTCAAAGGAATCAAGAGAATCAATTCTCTTCACATTAAGAATTTCTGCAGAGATAAAAATTCAACAGTTGGGGCTGAGAGGCAGAAGTGAATTGTTCCCAACGGACAGTTAGGGGCATGAGAAGAGATCCATGGTTGACGATTTATCGAAAGATTAAATAGCAAAAGCAGAGCCAACTTCATAATTCAAAATAGTTTTGATTAATTATAAATTTAAAAAAATAGGAATAATAATAAATTTTTTTTGCAAAAAATGATCGCCTGATAAACAAGTTTTGATTCACGTAATTAGTTACTGAATCCTAAGATTTAGCAGAAAGTAAAATTAGCATAAAAAAGCCTTTCGACAACTCTTTTAATTAAGGAATCTAGAGGGTTTTTCAAAAATAATTCACGATTTTTTTAAACAAGTATTAATATTTAATTTATTTTGAGGTATAATCCACTCGCTGAAAACCTATTTTTAAATCTGAAATCATCTGCAAGTATTTTAATTGAAATTATTTATTTAAAGTATTGTTTTTCTCAATTCAAATTTTTTCATCTTGCATGCAAGATTACTCAACTTGTAATGAATCTAATAAGTTAAAATTTGGTCATGCTGCTTAAATTGATGCTAGCACTTGAATATAGATAAAAATTCATGATTCTTTTCCTCGAAATCATTTCCTTTTTTCTAAAAAAATCCAAAGAAAATTATTCAAAATAAGTTTCTTTTAGTTTAAAAAATACTTTTTATTTTTGAATTTTTTAATCTAGTATGGGTTTAAAAAAAGTATAAAAGAGTGTTATATATTTTATTTCTTTAAAATAACCTTTTTTTATATAAAAATACAAAAGAAATTAATTCTTTTAAACTTTAAAAAAATACTTTTCATCTATCAATTTCTTTGAACTAGAATAGTTTTAAAAAGACTATAAATTATTGCTCATATAAAGTTATTTCATGTCACTAACATGATTTTTATGACTGTGTTTTATTTGATTGTGTGTTCAAAACAGCATAATATCTTTATTTTCATCTTCAAATTTACGTTTTGAAGTAAGTTAAGTAATAAAGGTTCTTTGATTTCTATCAAAAAAGTGTTTACATTTAAATAATGGTTGTACTTATGATAAATTCCAGTAAAAAAATTCAGAATCCTAAGTTAAATTTCTAAAAGTTATAGAAAGTCGAAAAAAGTTGTACATAGATGCCTTCCTGATAAAATCGAAATTATCAAGAATCCTTACACTATAAGAATAATACATTTAAGATTGAAACTACCTCCTACATTTTAAGTCACAGATATCTGAATTAATCGAAAAAAAATATTATTCAGAATGATTTGAATTTTATATTTGATTTTGTAGTATTAAATACCATGTTGAGCATTTAAGTGACATTTTTAAGGTGTGTCTCTCAAACCATCAAAGTTTCATCTTTCATATTCTGAATTTCAGTGACATATTTAAGGTTCATCCCTCAAACCATCAAAATTTCAGCTTAAATTCTTATTTCAAAATATCATTTCATTTTCAAAATTTTTTCAAAAGAACGTAGTAAAAAATGCAACAAAAAACTACATGAAGAAATATATCAAACTTGGAATAAAAGTTAGATTTAAGGAAAAAAAGATTGGAATTTTTTTTTCCGACTGGCTTCAGAAGGTCGAGAGTTATGAACACAAAAACAAACCGTAAAAGATTTCCATAGAGAATATTCTACTCAAAAGTACTATTTCTATTGAGAGAATATTCACTCAAAAGTATTACCTCTATTGTGAGAATATTCTACTCAAAAGTACTTCTTCTATTGAGAGAATATTCTACTCAAAAGTTTATGAAATGAATTCAAAAGTAATTTTTTGTTTCATACTAGGTTACATCTTTTATTTGAATTTAATCCTATGATTGTATTACTAAAGCAAAAGTAGAAATTAAAGCAAAAGTAAGGGGCGATGTTACGATTTTTTTACGTAAGAAAATCGTAATAAAAAATTATGATGAAAAATTGTAATTAAAATTATCATGTAATAAAAAACGTAGTAAAAAATGGCACAAAAAATTTGAGGAAGAAAAATGTCAAACTTGGATTTAAGGAAAGAAAAAATTGGAAAAAAAAATTTCTTTAGAGGGTTTTATTTGTTGAGAGTTTTAAGCATTGTGAATTTAAGAATGTTGGAACTTTTTTACGCAAACATGGAAGGGGATTGTGTTTTGCTTATTTCTGCTGACTACGGAGGGAGTCCAAAATGATCAAAAATATGCTTACTTAATATTTGAGCGGCCCTCAGTTAAATTAAAAGTAATTCCAGTCATAATTTTTTTATTTTGTATAAATTATTCTCTATCGTTACCTGAAGAGTACTAAACTCATGGGTTTTTTGCTCATGTTATTGAATTCATCCAGATACCCTTCGATGATTGTCTTGAGAGAGTTGAAGTCCTGCACCTCCATGTAGAGACGATTGTCGGCCTTTGGATCACTGAAGTCACAATACATGAGGGATCGCGTGTCATCCTCTGTCACGACACCCCCTTCATCCTCACTGTAGTTGGATAACAACTGATCGAAATCTTCGTGGAGTACAGATTGACTCACAGTTTTAACGCAGTTGAAGAGCCAATTTCGATCTGCCTCATCTACAAGACGATCGTAAAACACCCGCAAAACCTGAAATGAAATCATTCCTAAAAAAACAAGCTTCTTGGTGATAATGAATGGTATTTTGGGAATTTTCAAATAATTGTTTGAGAGAGGAAATATTTTTTATATCATTTAAAAACAATCTCTCACACTTAAACCAAATCATTATACTGACTATCACATAGCATTTTTAGTAATCACGCGGCAGACACGTTAATATGAAATTTTTAGCCATTTTTTTTAAATCAAAATGCAAATTTTTGGCCTTTCTACGAATTCTCAGGATTAATATGGCTCTTGGGGCAAACAAGCGACGTACAGCGGCAAAATAAATGAATAACTTTCGATCATTTTTATAGATGTACATTCTGAAAAGTGTATGAAAATACACTTGTGTCCATAAATTAAGGATAATTCAGAATCACACGGAACTCCAAAGTAAAGCTTTCCCCTGTAGAGTTATCCCTCACATCTTCAAGAATATGCCGTTAGATGACATTAATATAACGAGAGTGTAAAAGAAGGATAGAAATGGCAAAGAAGTAAAATTAATCACAAGCGTTCTGAAAGTCACTCACTATGCCATAACCGAATAGTTACGACACATACGGACGATTTTTTGCTTCGCAGAATTATCAGCCGTCTAGAATGTGGGCGTACTCAGACAAAAGTATCCGTGGAACTAGGAATTGCTGTAAGTGTCATCTTTAGACTTTGCCAACAGTTATAAGATGATTGAAAAGTCAGTAGAGGTTACAGTACAGGCTGCCCCCCCCCGAGTTATAATGCCGAATGAAGAGTGGTAGTTGGCAGTAACTGCCAAAAGAAGCATGGCAATTGACTTGTCTCATCAGCTACCACAGTTTCAAAGCAAAACGTGTACAGACGTTTAAGAAATATTTGTATAGATGATTGCAGGCCTTTAAGATGCGTTCCACTCATAGACACTCACTGTTACCAGTGATTAGCCTGGAGTAGTGAACATGAAATGTGGCCATCGTCAGAGAGGGCTTGTGTGATGTTTTCCGAGAAGTATAAAATTAACTTGCAGTCTGATTCACGCCGGACACGTAAATTAAAGATCACCAGGAGGTACTCGCTACCATCAAGTAAGCATCAAACATAACGGCGGTGCACGATTGCTCATTTAGGATGGATTTATACTAAGCTGCAGAACAGACCTGCCTTTCAAATCGAAACCATGACTGGCTATATTTGACATCATTCTGGAACAACATGTACTTTTGTTTAGGGATGCCATAGGTGCAGAATTTCTTTTTATGGGAGACAAGGTCCATCCTCTCCGTAAACGAATGCCTTCAATCAGAGGATATCACCAGCATGGAATGGCCTGCATTATCACCTGACTTGAATCCTATAGAGCATGTGTGGGGCATTCTTGGCTGACGAGTTGCAGCGCCGTTAACCATCTCCTACTTTGCTGATCATTGCCTGCTGCGTGAAGTAGTCAGCTCTAAGATTTGATACTCAGCATGCATAAGCCTTGTATTTCATCGAGTGGGAGATATACAATATGTTATCAATCATACCAACTGTATATTATCAAGTTTTTGTAAAGGAGATATTTTTTATGATATATATTTTTTATAATCATGCCTACATCATCTTTTTTTATTCTTAATCTTCTGTTTGATAAATTATCTGTTCTTTATGAATAAATCACATTTGTTTTGTTTCTGAACCTTTTATTTACCGGACCAAGCATTATCCTTAACTTATGGATGTGTATTTCAATGTATTATGTATGTTATTTGTTACCATGGCGAAATATGCTTTTTTTGACACAAAGTCGTGATTTTTCTGAAGAAACAGGACAATTTTTATTGCATTCGATTTCGCGTGTAAAAATAATCTCCGAAACCGAAATTCATGCAATTCTGATTATTAGGGGGTCGACAAAGACAAATGAACGTATGGCATGAAAAATGGGATGCCGACAACTTTTGGCGTTGGCAGAAACAGGCAAAGCATCTCTCCGGAATCGTGCTGCCTTACAATTAAACGTAAACTTACAATTGTGTACAATGAAGTAAATGAAACCCCACATTTAAAAAATAAAAGTGTTAGCAAGATTTTCAAAGTTATTCGAAATTTCGTCTACCTACGCGAAAATTCGTCAACCTACGCAAATAAGTCAGTGTGAACCCAGATTAATAAAATAAATATTAAGTGGTAGTAAGATTTTATTTATTGCGTAAATCTCTTAATAGACGCGATGGACTAAATCTTACTTTAAATTAATAAACTAAATGGAANCCTCTCTCGGAGCTCTGCCACTCTGATTTCCATCTATTTAGGTTGGTGGATTTGATGATTGTTTTGATCTGGGCCTTGGAACTTGGGACCTCTAAATTGATTTGGCTGAGATTGACGGCTTCCTTGGCTGCCTGATCCGCCTCCTCGTTGCCTAGGATACCAATGTGAGCCCTGACTCAGTTACATGTAATGTTTAGCCTCCATAGTTGTTTAGTATTTTCTGTTAAGGCCTGGTTTCTTAGGACAGGACGCCGTCAGCTGGAAATCAGCGCTAACCTCTGATTGGTCCATTTGTGAGTTTGATAGTATACGTCATCGAACGCTCATCTTGAACTACAATTGCCGTTCAACTCAACTGCAGTTGGATTACAGCGTGACGTTAACCACAGAAGCAATGGCGGACATCCTACAGCACATAAAAATCAGCCAAGATTTTGATTTTGACATTAAACATAGCTTCTTCATTAAACATAGCACTCTTCATTTAGCTCAGTTATAATGTGTATTTTCTTGGACAAAGTCATTATTTGTTCTCTAAAACACTGGTCGACAATAACAAAGTCAATACAAATTCAAAATAAATATTTGTTTACGTTATTAACGCATGCGCAATGAGAGATAATGTCTGCGTTTGACCGACTGCTCACGCTGAGCTAACAAAAAAGTATTTTTTTGGAGTCAGCTCTACGCCAACTTTCCGCTGACGCCCAGATAAGGCGCTAGTTCTAAGAAACCAGGCCTTGAGCTAATAAACCAGTATTTTGTTGGCGTCAGCGAGACGTTGACGTCCCGCTGACGTCCAGATAAGGCGCTTGTCCTAAGAAACCAGACCTTAAGAGCGGTAAAAGTGATTAACTACAATCTACATATTTCCTTCTATATTTAGTAAAATAAAAAATGTATGTGTGGTCTGCCTGTGTATATGACATGAACGGAGCGAAATGGGAGTATTAAAGTCAAGAAACTTAACTTGAAGTTAAATGTAAGGAATAATTATTTAGCGTGGTGTCAGAAAATTATTTATTTCACCCGTAGTGACAAAATAATTGCATGATTATTTCTTACCTCATGAACCCAGATCCGTTTGAGGGCGGTAACAGTTTGGACTGTCTTCGGAAAAGAGAGCAGCAATCCCTGGACGACCCGAGAGAAGTCACGTAGGTTGAAGGTGTAGTGAGATTTGGCTGGAGTGGGTAAAAGTTGAAGGATGGCCTCTTTGTAGATGGTCAGAGTGCCATCAATCACATCACCTATGCACGCTTTAAAATCTTCACCAAAACCCCTAAGAGAAGCAAACATCTAGCATCATCCACACATAGAACAACCCTTATAACTCTTTACCTTTTTTTTTGTTATATATATAACAGTCATTGAACACCGGATCCAATTCTGAGTTTACGACAACCAATGTTCAACTCTGTAGCCTTGTCATTTTGAACACAATCCAGAAGATCTCCTGGATTAAGTATTGGGAGAAATTTGCCTTCATGGAGGACATTTTGATAGAACTAACATTTGCGTTACATAGAGAGGAAAACCACGAATACCTCCCATGGTTAACTGGACGACAAAGGGACTCTAACCCATGATCCGTCTATTACTGCGGAATTCGTTTCGACCATCCATTGCTGGGATTCGAACCCGGATCACCTCATTGGGAGGTGAGCGCTCTATCTTCTGAGCCACCAGCGCTCTCTCTATTTTTAGTGGAAAGATCCTTGCACTACAGCCCTTGCAGAGCCCTGGACTCTCTAAGATTTTGGACTATTATTTTCTGTTGGGCGACTATTTCTAGTAATTTCAGGTCTTCTTCACATCTAATGCTGGGTTTTCCACTAGACCTTGGTTCTCCTGCTTTCTGTCTTATTATCTTTTGACATTTTTTCCCGAGTTCATTCTAAAGATATGTAACCCTAAACAAGGAGAGCACCCTGGTCTTCAAGGTCGAGTTGGACTACCAGCCCCACACAAGAAAAATACTCATGTTACGACACGTTCAAGTGATTTATGGGAAACCAACATAAGGTTTTTAAAACAGATAGGATTCTTAAATGACCTCTAAAATTGAACCAATAACCTGGATATTTTCAATGCGAAACTTAAGTACCCATTTAAACTTGTTGCTAATCATGGGGATATTGCATTTTTGCATCAAATTGATTCATAGTATATTTATTTTGCTAATAAAACTTTTCTGATTGTTGAAGTTTGTAAGAATTAAAAAATGCAATTAAGTAGAGCAAAAAATAAAAATAAGGTAAAAAAACAATGTTTTGAAAAAATTAAAAAAAATTAATAAGAGAGAAAAGTTTTGAACAAATTGTATTATAGTTCATTAATTTTGAAAAATTTTAAATTTTGTATGTCACCGATTTACAATTTTATAATTTTTTATAGCCTATTCAAAAAATACTTGTCACAAATTTAGGAGTCTTCCTGAAATAATTTACCTTGTTTCCATGTGCCACATCAATATTTTGTTAAAGATTGTTCTCATAATGTCATCCTGGAATTCATTGATTGTGATGGTGTTAAAGTGTCTTAAGAACCGAGGAGTGACTGGATTACGTCCTCCACCTAAAGAAGAATAACAATCATTTTTAATTTTGGAAGTATATGAAAAATCTCAAAGAACTGAAGTGGAAATGACATTCAGTTGAAACAAGAATTTAAACAAAACTCTACAAGCTTTGAATGCTCAAAAATAGGCGCTCATTCTCAAGACTCGCAACACGTGAATGAATAAATATGAAACGGAGAACGTAAAGTTGCCAATGAAAAAACGAAAAATAAATAAAGGTGAAAAAGAGAACTAGGCAAATCGTAGTGGCCAAAACAGACAAAGCTGAGTAGGTTGTATTTCCAACCACTACAGGGAGTTAGTGAGGAACTTATTTCGTTATCAAGCGAATCGCCGTTCATATGAATGAAACAAGATAACAAGGTATCAAGGCAAGCTGATGTGACAGGAATGGAAAAAATTTTGAAATTATCGAAATTGAATTGATGCTCAAGGTTCTGACAATGTGCGGCACTCGATGAATTATTGAATTCTTAATGACGAACCTTTCTATCATGTTCTTTTAATCCAAAATAAAGCTTGCCTCATTTTACCGATCTAGCGAAAGTTGCAGTGTCAAGATAAGTGGTAAATGCCTCGGTGATATTCAATACTGTCAGTGAATATAACTGAAAATGACTTAAGAACCAAAACTGATCAATTTTGTAGCAAGCAGGGGAGAAAAACGGTATAACAACAAGTGTACAGTAAGGATTAGAAGAAGAGAGGGTTGAGTTCAGTAAATTCAGCAAGTATCTGAATCAGCAATAGAAGGGATAAATCCACAGTTAGCAGCAGAGGAGAGGACAAAGTTAAGTTTGGAATTTAAAAAAAAATGAATCTTAGCAAAGGTTAAGCACTTGTAAAAAGAAAATATTAAAAGCAAAAATTTTCTGGTTATTAGGGTGATTAGAATTAATATAAAGGAGAAGCAAAATTTTTACAATAAACAGAAGTGGAAAAAATGATCAGAGTATTTAGTTTTTGTTCCTCTTTAATTTGAACAACATAAAAAAGTCATATAAACATTTTCATTCATTTTTTAGTTTTTTGAATTTTTCAACCTAAAAAAAATGGATTATTTTTAATCACTGTGTTTTGTATGAAGAGAACTCATTAGTCGCTGCAAGACTAAGTTTCTTAATCTATGAGGGATGTCTTACCAGGGGGATCCATAGCAGCAATGAGCTGTGTGTCTACTAATTTGATTGGAAGGATTTCTTTCATGTCATACCATGTCCAGTGATCGAGCCACTGGCGCAACAACTCTATAGGGGGCTGGGCACCATATGTCTCCAGTTGAGGCATGTTAAGATCATCCACAAATATCACCTGCAAATATCATAAATGCGTTTTAGCATACTGTGTTATGTTGCATTCCTTTATAATAAAAAACAAAATATACAAGTCCTTTCGTAACAACCGCAGTCAGTAAAATCTCCATGTAACAAATATGGCACATTGCGAGAAATTTGCTATTCCGATTATTCGGTGTAAGCTGCCTATAACCAAGTTATCCTCCAACTTTCAAGAAAAAATCATGTACAAGTTTTAAAAAAAAAAAGTGAACCTTTTGTTGATTGCAATACTTTACTATTTTCTTCTTCGCAACTTACAATTTAAACAAATATTCAGTACTATCAATGAGATCAAACTAACTAAAATCTGTATGACTAAAAACTATATTTTTTATTACATCTAGCAAAAACTTCCACACCAGTCTATAATCTGTAGATAAGCACAGCTAGTCTAGGTATTTCAACTCAAAATAGTTGGTCAAAATAAAATAGAAAGTGGAAAATATGTTTATTTCATCTTTTAATTCCTTAGTTGCTAGTTTTATATTAAACATGGGCACTTGTATGTAACGACAAGTTTATTATTGAGCATAATCATTAAAACGGACACTGTATAAAGATCCCTGTCAAAAATTGAAATAAATTAAACAATTATAATTATTCGACTATGTTTGTGATTGTTAACGAAGCAGCTAAAATGTATGTTTTCAAGCATCAAGAAATTTGGTCACAGTGGTTTCATTTGTTATAAAACTGTGAATTTTCTTCCTATTAAAAAGCTAGATAACAACATTTTTAATTTTCAAAAAACTCTGGATTCTCATATTTTTTCATTGTCAATTCAGACGAAGAAAGATAAAAGTGGACAAAATTAAACCTAACATTTAAGAATAACAGTTATGCAAACAGCTAGGTTTACAAGCATTAAAAAATTAAATCACAATATTTTTATTTAAAGAAAAATTTAGAATTTCTTCATATTGAAATCTTTCTAGTACCAGATTTAAAAAAAAGTATTTTTTTTTACTCCATAAAAGTTATAATTTCATATGAAATAAGGGACTCTAAAAAACAATTCTTATTGAGTTGTCCATCAGATAGTCTTAGGCCATTACTTCAGTTTTAAATTGATTGTTATTTTGGTTAAAGTTTTGTACTTTCAAAATGAAAAACGCAGACACATTATATTTTCTTACCATTTTGTGTCCGAGTGGAGGGCCATAAACACCTTTTCTTCTCTTATCCAACTTTCCCATAATAACATTCTGCGTCTGTCCAGCACTTGTTTGAGCAGAAAAGTTTATGAATAGAGGTTTATAAACATTGGTATTAACAGAATTCAGGAGGAAATCCTGGAAGAATACACAAATAAAATGTAATTAAAGTGGAAGTTTGAAAAGAAGTTCCATTTGTTAGCTTGCGTTTCATTCCCTCTTAAGTGGTTTCGATTTTGCAATGTGTGCCTTGATTGAGTAATATTACCATGACACTCTTAATTTCTTTTTAATTACTTTTTTTTTCAAAATGAGTGACACAACGATGCATTTGAAAAAAACAGCCTGTATAGTTTAACAGCAGTGACCTTTAAAAATAAACAGTGAATTGAAATGACTCACAGTAATGTAGACAGATTTCCCAGTACCAGTAGGTCCCACAAAAAGAACAGGCTTCCCATGGTTCACCAACAAATTCAAAAGGTTAGCATAGCGTACAGTGTCGACTGTGGCCACAATTATCTGATTCACTTGGATATCTTTGGGAATGGCAGGTGCCTTGGCCACTTCATCTTTCCACTCCACCCACCTACCATCACCATCTCCCTGAAACAGAAATCAGCAGTCACTTAAAAACTGGACATTTTATCTATCAATCTCTGAGACTGTTTGAAAAACAATAAACCTCAGCAAGCACAACAATCAATTAGTTTTTCCATGATGGTCATTTGGTGCTAACCTTCCACATTCTATATTTTTTAAAATCCTTGCTAAAATTAAAAACAAGCATTGCATGGTAGGGATCAAAAAGTAATGTTTGATAAAGAAAGAAAAAGCATTTTTTTAAAAATTGTTTCACAAAGATTCTAAAACTATGCTTTAAGAGCTATCATGACAAAGCACTATTACGATTATTAATTAAACTTTTTTACACATTGTAAGATTATTGAAAGTTCAACCTGCATTTGAATATTTTGGAGTAAACAAAAACACAATGTAACTTTGGTAAAATTTAAAGTTGATGTTGAATTTTGTACATAGATATAATAGTAATAGGCATAATAGTACAATTATTTAGCATGAATGAAACCATGATTCAGCTAAAGACGTTCGTATGGCCAATTGCAGCAAATTTGCATTTGACTATAATTCAAAACGATGACATTACAATACGAATATATGATTTAATACTGTGGCTTAACAAAACAAAATTTCAAAGAGAGAAGAAAATATCGATCATTGTAATAATAATGCTTATGATCAACAAAATAATTATCTTTTCAAGTTACCTATTTCCTAGATTAGGTTTTGAATTGTCTGTATCATATAAGTATGCATAGACACGCACCTAAAATTAACGAGAAACCTGAACCTGATTTTACAATGAATTTTGATTCTGTGAGGAAACAAATAAAATATTGTGGAAGGTGTTCCAACTGATTCCTATCAGGTACAAACAATCCCAAAGTAGAAAAATAGAAAAAAAATGCTTGATTGCTTGGTGCTTTTCCTTCAAAGCTTTGCACACTCTGTACTGCATAAACTGAACAATTGGTATCGACTTTCGGTACACTATCTGCTTTTTTCACTTCTTGCATTTTTTTACTAGTGACAATTGCTTTAATTAAAAATATTAAACACCAATTACATTTTTTATAATTTGATAGTAATTTTCTTTAAATTTCTTTATTAATTGCTAGAAAAACCTGTGCAGTTTCATTTATTTATTTACATATCTACATTTTAATCTTAAGCAAAAGAAATTATTATCAATTATCATCAATTAATTGTTATTAATTAATTTTTTCCAAAACAAAAGAAAAAAGCCTTTTTCCTTTATCAGTATTGCAAGTTTTATTTCATCTTTGCATTATTTATAAATGCATGTGCATTCCTGAAAATCTGTTTATCTATTGATATCACAGTAATGACAATTTATTTTAATAGAAATTTAATAAGTGCAATCCTGTACGTAGTACCCGAGGAAAACGTTTAAAACACACAACTGAAACGCATTTTGTCCACTTAACAACCTTCCGTTAAAACTTAACTTCTATCTCCTGAAGTCTAAGACCTTAGAACCTACTTCTTTAACATATTGGCAGTCGAAAATATTCCAATCTGCGGGGAAAAGTTGGCGCAGAGGAAGGGAAGTTTCGTGTACTTTGTCATCTGGTAATTTGCATAAGGAATACATTTCATCAGATAGCTTACTCTAAAAAAGAAAAAAAAAACATTAGAGCTAATAATAAAACAAACTTTCATTTGATTATGGTTTACTTATTGTGTACTTAAATCATGATTCTTAAATCAAATATTAGCATTTGAAAAACACTTTAACATTTTGTGTAACAAAACAAAAAAACTTTCAGCAGCATTCAACTTTAATTCATCCATAGCAAACCTTTTATATGATCAAAGAATACGCGTAAATGAGAAAACAACGCGAATAAAGCAACGCGAATAAAGCACAAAATAAAAATACAGAATTGGACATATTATAGTTTCGTTTCGATAAACAAGAACCTTCCTTAGTGTCGAGATACTAAGTGATATTATAAAAGTACAGAGGTTAGCACGTGTAAAGTGGTTTAACCAATCAGAGCAGAGGAGCAAGCTTAAACTAGAATTGAATGACCATTTCTGTAGTTTATGTGTGCTTTATTCACAATGTTTCTTGCTTAAGTCTCCGTAGCACATTGAAGCCATTTTTTATTTATTCTCTTAATTTTTATCCAAGTGGAATGCCACTTTTTATGCAGGGTATAAATAACAATAAAAAATAAATCTGTATTAATTAACGCTACATTATATAATCATGTTCAAAATTGAAAGGCAGCTGCACAAGATTGTAACTAATTTAATTCCTGGTGTTTTCACATAAAAAAAAGCTTAGTTACGTCTGTATAATTCAGCACTGGAAATAATTCAATTGATAGCAGCTAACACACGATAGGTTAAGATTTGCTACAATCTGTCCCCATGAATTAAGGCTTTAGTGCATAGCGTAATTTTTGTTTTGAATTTATATTATAGATTGTACATGGTTTAGAATCGCAAAAACACGTTCCAAAGTATAATTAAAAATTAAATTAACACACAGTTTCGAGTAGTTAACAAACTACTATTTTCGACAACGTTACTCGAACGCGTTGATTTTCCTTATTACTTATTAGACATCATGGGATACCTGCAAGTTTCGCAGTCTGGGTCCTCCTGATCTCTATTATGACTGGCTGTTGAAACGTGGCATTTGTTTACGATGGAACTGTTCTTTCAATTCTATTTCGAGTAAGCCAAGCTAGTCAAGCACCAATTCTCTTAAGTCACACATTCTATATTTTTTCAGAAGCCGGCCAGGTGGCCGAGTGGTTAGCGGGCCTGACTGCGGAGCCAGTGGCTGCGGGTTCGAATCCTGCTCTGGGCATGGATGTTTCTTTCTCTCTCTCTTTGTGTTCTATGTCCTTTCTCCTTTGTGTGGGAATGTGCGAATGTGACCCGTCCTATAAACGGGTTTGTGGTTGTGTGACGTGGGCGACGCTGCTCCACCGCCGTGGCTTCGCCACAGGTGCCCACTGGGTAACGAGAAGAGGGTGGCAGTTCTGGCACATTCTGAGGCCAATAGACAATAGTTCCAAGTGCCCGCCATTAAAAAAAAATTTGAAAAAAAATATTTTTTCAGAATAATTCTTTCGGATAAATTCTCGCACAAATATTTAAATTACTTCGCTATTTATTTATTTCCTAGCACAAAGACCGGCACGAAGCCATGGGGAACATAAACAAACTAATTGTGCATCAAAGTTGCCAGGTTCGCAAAGCAAAAATGTATCAGGTTTACAATAAAATCTACAGACAAATAAAAAATCTAAGTTAAGTAAAAGCCGTAGAAAAGAAAGAATTATATTTCATCAAATTCGATGTGCGATACGGAGTTGCATTTCACATTAATTAACATTCTGACTTGTGCGAAAAAACTTTAACACGTCATTTTGCTTTTGCACTGACATCATAGGTCGCATGTGTGTGCAGGCAAAAGGAAATGATCATTTGGGTATTCGGAGTAATGACTAGCCGTCACGAAAGCACCCACCCTGAGCAGTTAGTGTACACAGGGCAAGGCCCCGAGTCACGCAAAATTAAATAGCACCATAGTCACGTTCAAGAGCAAGGAGACCAATAAACGGGAACCGCAACGATGAAGCAAAAGACCACGAGTCCAAAAACCCCTCCGAGAGGTGGCATCAAATCCTCTGCAGACACAGCTAAAACAGTGTCGACAGCAGGAAGACCACCACCACACCGCGATCCACCGAGCTGCCCCAAGCCTGGAAGGTCCTAAACCAAGGAACTTTATTAAAATTTACAAACAAATTGAGCAGAAAAAATACATTTCAAAGTTGGTATGTACAGCAGATTGAATGGAGCCATCAGGCTTACAAATCGATGTTGTATTAAATTAGCTCCAATAGTCGGCTCTCCTTTGGATTCTCTAGACTACTCTCTTCTGTGACATGCAGTTCCTTCTGAGGGCACTATGGTCTGTCAGTCCGCAAGATAGAGCCGAACTGAATGTTCGTCTCATGACAGTTGACGCACTTAGGTTTACCTTCACAGGTAGCAGCATGGTGACCTGCCTCGTTACACTTTGAGCAAGATTCGTTGTGGCCGCAGTCTTTGGCCATGTGCCCGAGTCGGTTACAGTTGTAGCATCTGAGCTGTCTTAAGTACTCTTTTACTTTATGACATTTCCAACTGATGTTGACACTCTCTCGTTTTAGGAGCCTCTTAAAACTCATTGGCCTCATAGTAACGTCCCATTGCACTCCTTTTTTAGCTTTTATAGGGAATGTTACTTCAAATTCCCCTTCTTTAAAATCATCACTGTTCTCTCTTAGGCTTTTGGAGAGGTTTTCTTTGGTGATTTTTTCAGGTAGCTCAAATATTATAATACGCGGTTTGCGTCTAGGAGGCACTTCACAAGTCATTTTGTTACTAAGGTCTTTCTCTTTTAACAGTGCTAGATCTTGTCTAGTCTCCAACTCTACCATCATGTCTCCCTTTTGTGTTTTTCTTAGCTCTTTGACTTTAAGTTCTATTTCTTCAGGATCAATCTTTTTCTTCAAAGCCTCTTCGATCGCCTCTGGAGTAAAGTTTTCTTTTGATTTAATCATTAAGATGTGTATTTTTGCCTTTTTCGAAAGATGTGCTTCTCGGGTGAGTTTCACTGCATCTGCGTATGTTTTCGCCTTTTTTTTTCATTATCGTTTTTGATCATCTCGGGAAGTGCTCTTTCAGCCTCCATCTGCAAACCCTTCGTTTACGATTAAACATCATTTTGTCTCGCATATTCAGGACAAACTCTTGTGTTATACCCATTATCTTTATGACTGCAGTCGTTGTTAACATTTTCCCTGTTAGCTCACTAAGAGTCCGATTCAATTTTTCCAGCAAGTATTGGGCCGTGGCCGTCCACTCTTTCTGACTTTCTTCAGAAGATTCTTCATAGCCAGCAAGAGCAAACTTATCTTCCGAGCTCTCAAGCATCTTTAACTCAATCAGGTAGCTCTACCATGTGTGGGTATCTGTGATCTTCTTCTTCCTGAAGTGCATGTTCCCAATTCATCAAAGTAAGTATTTAATAAACGTGGTAAAAAAAGCTTTCTGCATAACCAGTTTTTTTTTCATTAAATAAAGCTGTAATCAAGAAAACATGACTGATTTTTATTTTTTTAAATAATTCCAACAAAATCATTTGCCGACTAGAAACAAATGCGTTTTAAATACAATAATGCTTTTAATGTTAAGCCTATGTGAAATTAAAGGGGCAAATTTTAGGTTCACTGGCTAATATTACCTCGTCCACCCGCTGTTCAAATTTCAGAGTTATAGCCCAAATAGTTCTGAAATTTAAAACAAAAAAGGCAAACAAGCTTTTGCTTCCTTTTATTATAACAGACTTTCATTCTATGAAGATTTCACATAAAATAATAAGATTATTACTACATTATTCTTATGGAGTTTTTCATAATATTTTTCAATTGATTTCTGTAATATTTTACATCAAACTTATGATATAATGAGATTTAATACAAAATGTACATAGAGTATTCCATAACCCTATATACGTTTAGTTTTAGACACCTGTATAATAAGTGAAAAATATTCACTTTAGGAGTTGCAAATTAATATTTAGAATGATTAAATCAGAAAAGTACCAAGTCAAACTACTCATATTTTAAAAATAACAAAACAAAAGAGTAGTTAAAAAGAAATTTAAAAAAAAACCCACTTTACTTAAGAAATGAACTTAGAATAAGGAAAGAGCATTTTAATTTATACCAACATATATACTAGTCTTGATGATTTTAAAAACGTACTGTCAAAGACTTTTGCTTTTCCTCACTTAAATGTTAATTTGTGATCCCTGACGTGAATATATTTTTAACTTTAATGTTTTACAAATATTCCAAAACTATATTTGAAAGGAACACCTGCTATAAAACCCCATACGTAATGAAAAGGATAAAAATTAAAAATATATTTAGAAAATTAACAACTGATTTAAAAACAAATAGCTATTTATTCAAAAGTAACAGATCTACACATATTTGTTTTAAAAATATTAATTACTAAAAAAGGTAAATAACTTACGTTTAAGAGATCTTGGAAAATTAAATTCAGTTCTTTTCGGCCATATTCATTAGTTGTAGAACACAAAGACCAAATTGCAGAAAATAAGAAACAACACTGAAATAAAAAATAAAACAATTAAACATAGTAAGACTATTTAGTCTTCTCTAACTTAAATTCATGCTGACAACCGACCCATGCGATAATTCCCTCAACATTTTCTCAAAAATACTTAAAACTAAAATAGTTATTAAATTAACTTATGCTTTAGAATAAAATTTTGGTAACGTAGTGTAATTTAAATATTCTAAAAACTCTTCTAATTTCGGATAATAGAGGATAGAAAATGATTTTATACAAAATGATACAAAATAATGATTGACAAAATGATGAAGTTAAATTGAATTTTCTTCAAAAATAAAATTGCTTTCACAATAAATTTTCAAAAGGAGGTATAAATAAGACACAGAAAGGGAGACACTGTTTCATTTATTCTATTGCAATATTGTTCTTCCTCTATTCAGCCCATTCCCGACCGTAGTTTCATGTTCTGTACGATAGAGGGTAGTATTTGTAGAGGTTGTTTTCAACTTCCGGTAAAAGAATTTCTGCTGATGTAAACTAAATTGCATAAATCCGCACCTCTACGATCGGGAAATTGCCTATTAATATAGGATAATTTCCCAAAGTAATTTTTTTACATATCATCATCTGATAATTTAAAATAGGAAGAACACATTTTTGTGCAAAAACACGTCACAAAATTAAATTTAGAGCAACTGAGTATTCCGAGTATATACAAACAAACTCGGAATGTCAAAAAAAGAAAAAGTCACGTCAATGCTATGACGTCAGAAGAGGACCTCAAGACTTCCGGTAAGATTTATTTGTTTTTTTACGCTAGATGGTGAATACGGGACATTTCATAATCACTACACATAATATATATTTTTGAAATCCTTGCCCAAAGGAAAGTAAAAAATATAAACGTTAGCAGTTACAAACCTTACATATTTCTTAAAGGCAGGAGAATGTGAAATACCATGTATATAAAGATTGATGAAGTCAAAATTTTAACATTTAAAAACATACTTACATATTTAAATAATAAAAATCTAAAAACATCTTATTTTGTCCCAAGCATGCTTATACAGAGATAACAGCAGAGAAAAGATTCCTTTAAAACTGGTTTTACATTAAAATTTGACAATTATTCTTAGTTTTATTTAGTCCAAAAGACGTGAAGTCTAGTAGATATATTGAATTGAAATTAACATTGCGCGAATTTTTATTTACTTTTGAACACGGGATTTCTTTAAAACTGATTACATTTTTAAAAAACGGCGTTATACTTTCCGAAAATACCCATTGCTTATAGCCATAACAAAAAGAAGAAGAAAAATTCTCTTTTAGTACCAACAGAGCGCTAATATAATGAAACTATTTTACGAATTTTCAAAATTTCCTACGACGAGGAATTCTTATTACAATAATGGCATCGCATACATGCTGAAAAATATCATCCTAAAATTCGGTAAATTTTACCTAAAACTCATTAGGCCTAGCACATATTTAGAACAAACATCGGGTGGACAATCTATAATTTTTTTTATAACTTTTTTCGACACAGGATTCCTTTTAAACTTGTTTCATATGAAAAAAAGGAAGTCATAATCCTATTTTTCCATTTACCATTGTAGATAACATCAGTAACCATCGGAAGTGATATGATCATGCCTACTTCGATGAATGGCTCACATTGAACAGTTGAGAAGTTTTTTGTGACTACGTCATCGTCCACCTCACGCCGTAGCTTCTTAATCTCATTTACACAAAACGGGATCCTGCCCTCACTCGACTACTAACAACAACACAGGAGAGACCACACAAAACCGTGAACTTAATGCAGCTCTCACGACAAACCCTCCAAATTCGGCAAATTTAATAGAGTTCTCACCACAAGCTCTCAAAGCTCGATGAACTTAATACAGCTCTCCCGGTCTTTCGTAAATACGGCAACTTGTGGTATCAGTTCATTGAATTCTATCCCTGATAAAATTCTGGTGGGGAAGTGGCATGACTACCACTAATATAAGTAAACATCAATTCAGCAGTGCTAACTCGACTCAATCTTGAGGTTAATTAGTAGACTATAATTAGTAAATGTATTTATAAAAAAAAAAATTTAAAAAATTCTATTAACTGCAAGGTATTAAGTTATTTCTATTGGGTTCACATGTACCGCTAACGTAAGGAAGGACAATACACAAACTTTTTGTATTTTTATAATTTTCTAATAACATCGCAATTTTTCATGGATGTGAGTCTTTGATTCCTTTACGAGCTGCACAATCATTACAAGTTTCGCACTAATTTTCAACCCCTGATCGCGATTCATCCGAAATGAAACGCTCTAAAACTTAATACAACGTGTTCAAGATTCCGAAATGCGCTAATATGCATTTCTTTCATCACACAGGTAACCATTGAGCATAGTAGCATAAGTTGCAGTTTTGCACTCTTTCCATCATTGGAATCCTCAGTTTTTGGTACGAAACACCTTTCCCATAGCGTAGAGAATCCTATACAGCCTTCGTATCATTTCGTTGCTGAACTAAAACATGATAATTCACTTCCTCATTTGAAATTGTCATCATTTCTGAAACATGTTTTATCTGAGTATCATTCAATGGGATACCTGCAAGTGATGTAGTGTGTGGTATCTCGATCCTGATGGGTTGCTGACACGCGGCATATGTTTACTTTAGCAACTGTTCTTTCGATTCTATTTCGAGTAGGCCAAGCCCATCAAGTATCAATTCTCTTAAGTGACATCTCCTTCACAAAAATATTTTTTCAAAGATTTCAATTCTTTCGCTATATATTTCTTAACACAAACACAAGTATGAAGCCATGTGAAACATAAACAAACTATATATGCATCGAAGTTACCAGGTATGCAAAATAAAAATGTATCACGGTTACAATAAAATACTTAAACAAATAATGAATCTAAACTAATAATAAATCAAATCTAATTCGATGTGCGATACGGCGCTGTATATAATTAACTTATCGTTAATTAACATTCGAACTTATGTAGNTTAAAAGTGTATAAATTGAAATTTTGAGTGCACATGAAGGCATCTGGAAATGATCGGGATTGTGTTTGTTGATAATTTATAGTTATAATAAAATTTACTTTTTATTGTTAAAAGTTTCATGTACTTCATTATTCAAGTGTCTATTTTTGAACCTGGGTAACCGTTACCAAACTTCAATTAAAAAATCACAGCCTTGCCAAAGTATGAAGGGTAACGGTACAATAAACAAACTATATATGCATCGAAGTTACCAGGTATGCAAAATAAAAATGTATCACGGATACAATAAAATACTTAAACAAATAATAAATCTAAACTAATAATAAATCAAATCTAATTCGATGTGCGATACGGTGCTGTATATAATTCACTTATCGTTAATTAACATTCGAACTTATGTAGAGGAACTTAGAATACATTTGCTGATAAGGATAACATTAGATTTAAGAACTTTTTGCTGATAAAGATTAGCTGGCGCTGACGTCATAATTCACATGTGTGGGTATAAAAGATCTTCTTTTTGACGTGCAAGTACCAACACAGAAGAGACCACACAAAACCTTGAACTTAATACAGCTCTCAGGACAACACCTCAAACTCGATGAACTTAATCACATGGTTTCTCACAAATTGTTGTTGCCATCCAAAAGTCCACCTGGGCTATACCTCTTCCATGAAGCTAAACACTCTCATGAAATCCAAGACTGGTAATGGACTATCAGGAAGATCTTAATAACTGAGCCCCATACACTCCAGCTGTTGCATCCACTAGGTATAATTTATGCAATTACTTTAACTAAAAATCGCATAAGCATGGAAAATTTGTAAGAATATTGTGAATTTCTTTGTAACATTTTCTTACGAAGGACTCATTTAAAATTATCTTCATTTTAAAACGTGAGAGTTAAATTTTTGGACAATAACTATAAACGTTGTTAAAAAACATTGACCTTTTTAAAAAACATTGACCTTTTATATTGACCTTTTTTTGTTAAAAAAAAATCAATCTTATTCAGCCTTAAATATCGCATCGTCCATGGCATATATAGCGCTATCATACAACACTAAACCAGAATTATTTATAAAATTTACAGCATGATTTCTGGATAGTAATTGCTGGATCGTATACTGCAGTGCAACTGAAAAAACCGTGTTTCATTGTGTGCTGCTACATTTTCTACAATAAACATATTGAGAGCCGCGATGGCTCAGAGAATAGAGCGTTCGCCTTCCAATGAGGTGAGCCGGGGTTCGATTCCGGTGATGGCTGATAGATACGAATTCCGCATCCGGACCACAGAGCTCACGTGAAATATCCTCAGTGGTAGACGGATGATGGGTTAGAGTCCCCTTGCCGTCAGGCTAACCGTGGGAGGTTCTCGTGGTCTTCCTCTCCGTGTAAAGCAAATGCGGGTTAGTCCTCCAAAAAGTCCTCCACGAAGGCAAATTTCACCCAATACTTGATCCAGGATTTCCCTTGTCTTCTGGATTGGATTCAAAATTACAAGGCTACGGAGTTGAACATTAGTAATCGTAAACCCAAAAATTTGGTCGGTTTTTCAACGTCGGTAATAAAATAAAATCAGCATATTGATGGCCGGGATAGCCTGGTTGGTAGGGAACCGGGTCCATGTCCGAGAGTTCGTGGGTTCGATACCCGCCGGCCGAAGACTCCCCGTGTAGTACATGGTGACTGATGCACATTAAATCTGTTGAGTCACAAAGTCCTCCATGTTCCTATGGCAAATCATACGTCTGGGGGTACTGATCTAGGAGTTTCCTTGTCTTCTGGATTGAGTTCAAAATGACAAGACTGCGGAGTTGAACATTAGTAGTTGTAAACCCAAAAAATGGACCAGCTGTTCAACGATAGTTATAAAATAAACATTGTATTGGATTGTTTTAAGCGATGGGTAGTAACTCTAAATTTAACATTTTACAAAATTTACTTGAATGTGTGTCTCAACTTGAGATTCAGACATGCCATCTATCCAGCTGAAATCATGAAACAAGCAATCCAGCAATGTCATCAGGGACCTTACACGGTTCGTCTCAGTTGTCGGAGATAGTTCCTACAAGATAGATATTCACATTAACATAATAAATCCTAAAATATTGTTGGTTTTCGTCATAAAAATAGACTATGCAAATATAAAGTATCTCTATAACCAAAATCAATTAGTTCTAATAAAGAAATTCGCTAAAGACAAAATTTTATTAAACGAAAGTTAGAGATTTTTGCCGTCCTCAAAGTAAACGTTACAAAATTCACATTTTGGTACACTTCGCTCTTACAACAAGTGAAAAAGTATACAAGTATATCTTTAAACAAACAGTTTTTTCCAGATATTAAATTCTCCTATTTTTATTAAATACATAAAATTCTTAAAAATTAATACGATGCGTCCATTTGGAAAATAATTTGTAGAAGTACGTACGTGTGTTTATTTTACTTGAAACTGTAATCTTTCATTACTTTGAAATTCATGATGTCAAATTTTCATAAAAATTTTAAGAGTAAAAAAATAAAGTTGGTTGCATTTTTTCTGGGAATGAATAAACTGAAAGGTAAGAAAGAATGAGTAGCATAGAAATTCCAACTTTAAAATACTCTTAGAAAAGACTAAAATCGAAAAGATGAACTTCTGAAAATTTAGAAAAAAGAGACAACCACTTCGCTTTATGGGAAATATTTTTAATGTTATTTCGATCAATTATAAGGAGACATATTCTCTGGGGGGAGACTCTACTGTAAATGGAAGAAGGCATACCTTGGAAGCATTGTGTGTGACATAACTGAGTAAAGGAGGACAGAAATAATCGAAGAGTTCTAATAGGAGATCTTTGCTGTCTTCATTGATGGATTCCGGTAAAATATTAAGCCATGACTGTAACAATGGCTCCCATCCTAAGGCTGTAGGCTCCATATAAATCATACCACATCGAGATACCTAATAAAAATATAGTAATACTCTTTAAAATATTAACTGTATCTTACTATATATAAAAATCTAATGATGGTGTCGCAGTTTTCCATTATTGTACGGGCATTTCTATTGGCTGGAAAATCACATGGCAGGATCCAGTTTTCTCATTTTAATTTTCATATGGGTTTGGTTGTCATCAGCATAAAATTGATATAAGTTTAAGTTACTGTTCTTCCTATGAATATTTTTGTTTCCCTACTTTAAAGGTTAAAATTACCTGCACTGTTATTATTAAGTTTTTGATTTCTAAATTAAGAGTTTATGTAGATTGTTTTTATTATTATTATTATAATTAGAATAATACAATTCTACGCTAAATTTTGAGATAAATCTATTTAAATAGGTCTCTGATCGTATGAACCGTTTTACAATTATCATTTTTTAATGCAAATTACATTAATATAATATTACGGTTAAAGAGATTCGTTAACGGATTTCGACCTTAATTTTCAGCTTTATGCACTAAATGATGAATACAGAAATTGTATTTAAAATACACCCGTTTTGAAAGCAAAAATATTAAATTGCAGTTGTAAACTCACCCAAATTTGTTATAACACTATACTTTTAATTTTAAACGTTATTTCAAAAAATGATTACTTAGAAAAATGATTTGTGTTCATTAAAAGATCTCAATAGTATCATAAGGAAAATATTTGGACTTAGGAAGTGGCTGGACAAGTGCTGTTTTTAGAACATATATTTTTAGTTGAATAATTTCAGCTGTTTTATGCCAAGAAACAGCAATTATTGCGAAATCCATCGGTAATTGTGAGAGTCAGCGAACAGCTGGTTTAGCCCCCAGTAATAAAAATTAAAAAAGTGTGAACAGGGGAAAAAATTAGAACCAGAATAATTTTTGATCAACTTATGGATTTTCATACGTTAAGATAGGACATACTCAGAAAATGATTATTTTGGTTTCTGTTAATTTTCAGTTTCTAAGCTGATGATACTTTAGGTTGTGAAATCATAAGAAATAGTATTTTCACTGAATACGTTTCGAATTTAACGGCTCTCAAATGGATTCATTTTCAGCTATAATTAAACGGATTTTTAGCTTTCAAAATATAGTAACAGTTGTCATTTTAGAGGTATCAGCAAACTTTAAAATATTATCTCAGTAGTTTAATTAGGAGAAAGTTCAAGACCCTTAATGTTCCTTTCTGCATATTTCGTAATGTTTCTAAGACTGTTAAATCAAATCAAAAACATTTTGAATTCCAATGTTATCGCCTCAAAGTATGAAATATCAAAATGTGGAAGGAATTGCCTGAGTAGAAATTCTGGTGGTTCCCCTTTCAGATCGAAAAGGGATTCTACTTCCTTTATGTAAACCTACTGAGAAGTCTGGAATTTATCTATTTATTAAGCAACTAATTAATTTTTAGTAAAAGTTTTTGTTTCATTCAAAATGTGTTCTATTAAATTCTGCTAATTAAACTTAAATTACAACATTGTAAGCATTTTTAATAATTTTTCGAAAGTAAAATGCTTAAGATTGAAAAATATTTAAAAAAACAAATGTTGAAATTCGGCAACTAATTTCAATCTTTTTTGCAGTAGACCATTAAGGCAAGGTGTGCGATTGTTCTAGTTTTCCAGTGGCGCCATCTATGGACAAGAATTCGACTTTCATTACACTATACGTCACATTCGTTCATTCACAGATCGTAATTTTGACCTGAACTAGAGAATGGTCAATCTCCAAATCCTATTGCATGATTTGTTGTGGGAACATGAAGGACTTTGGGACCAGGCAGATTTAACATGCATAAGTTACCATTTACTACATGGAGAATCATCGGCCCCCTGGATTCGAACTCCTGTTCTCACAAACGTGAGTCAAGCTCCCTGCCAGCCAGGCTATCCCAGCCCCCACTAATTTCAATGAAGAAAAACATTTCAATGAATGAAATGAAATTTCGGATTCTGCATTCTTCTCTAGATGACAAAGTCATGTCATTAGATAAGGATACACATTCTTTTAAAACTGCCAAAAAAATTTAATACGCTGGAGACTTAAAGACTAACTCACAGTGGCGGGAGATGCAGCCTCTAAATCCATGGGTTCAAATATGAGATTGGTGGTGGGGGCCAACTGAATGATCTCTCCGCTCATCAAGCACAGCTTCTTATTGTCATCCAAAACTGTGTTCATATTTTCAATCCATATGGCATCGACCGGTCCATCAAATATCAGCCATTTCCTATCTGGAGTCTAAATGCATACATACATCTTTATACCATCTGCACTTCTAAACAATTGAATATGTGAACAAGCTTAGTGGATACTCACAGTGGATTGTGCAAATGCACGATAGCTGACAGCCAAGACACCATCGGACCATTCGTGGGAGACTGGATCAAACTGCCCATACAGCTGGCCCATGGTAATGGATTTTGGATTGATGATAGTAATTTGTACTTTGTTCTCATTCATTAAACCCTAAGAGGGATACAATTAAATAAAATTTACTAGGTAAAACAGTAGACAAAAAGCAGTTCAGAAGATTGTTGGAATAATAAAACAGTACCGTGCTATGTGATATACGAATTCATCAGTTTTCATGATTCAGAAGAAAACTGCTTGTTTAAATCTCAATTTTAATTTGTGATAAGAAGTGCTTTTTTCACTTATATAATTTCCTAATCGAAATTAATAGTAATATTTATAATAGACTCCTTTTATTCAATGACATCAATGGAATCATGGGTAAATTAGCTGACAAAAATTTGGTTAAAGCGAAACGTTTAAATAATAGATAAAAAAAACAGCAATAAATATAAAAACAGCAATGTAAAAAGAGTCATAGATAAAAAAAATCAATTACGTTTAAATGCTGCACTTTAGAAAGGTTAAGTCAAAAAAGGAAATGGTAAGAGTGGCACATACACTGTAACTGCAATACAGGTAGTACAAACCTATCGAAATTTAAGCAACGTTAAAAAGAGACTACAGAAATCAGCTCTCAATCTAATAATAATATGGTATCATGGCGTCTATTTGCGCAACAAAAATATGAATTTTCGAGCAGAACATCACCTCAATACACAAGTCTCTAATTGTGTTATGCATCAATGGGTTCAAGAATAAACTGGTTGCCAAGAATTTGGTTGAAGAGGAAAATTTAGAATAAATATAAAAAGGCAATACATATAAAAAAATAACAATCGAAAAAAAATGAAAGATGAAAATAAATCATTTATGTTTAAACGCTGCACTTTCTTTAGAAAGGATAAATCAGAAGGGAAAATTGCAATTGTCAAACGCTCTGTAGCTGCAGCATAATCAGTACAAATCAGTACAAAAAGTGAAAACTATAAAACAAGAGTTTTGAATTGTCTGTTTCAATGGATGTGCACACTGATGAACCAAAATATTCTAACCCCCCACACTTTTCAACTAACTCGTCTACATTACTCTGAGTGATTAAGTTGGAATAGTATTTAACTGCTGCTGGAGAAGGTTAGAAATAAATCTTTGTGGATGATGGGAAAGGCGAATAACCTTTTAAGGTTTGAAACAAATTTAATAGAGTGCAGGTCATAATGGCCCGAAGACTCGAAACGAATATGTTCAAAACTGCACAACTAGTACGTTGTTCATGATCTGTCGTTAAAAGTATTTAAAGCAAAGTGGAAAATTCACGACGAAACCAGTAGTTGACACACACACCAAGGTGTTGGACGTACAAGCGTCATCCAAGGAAAGGAACGCCGGTGATTATTCCGCTTGGTAAGACAAAATCTCAACCCAGTACAATACAGAGGCAAGTGCTTTGAAACACTCAGTTTAATGGACTGATGCTGGAAATGCACAGCAAACGTACCACTTGTGTGCCTGTGATCACCAGGCATCATCGTCAACTACGCCTACAGTGGGTCCCGGAACATCCCCACTGGACCAGATGCAATACGATTTATCATTCATCATGCCGACGGTCACATCAGGGTATACCGTCATACAGGCTAGCAGTTTCTCCTCAAGCTCAGCAGGTCATACATAGGCTGATGGTATGTTATGTTTTGGGGGTCGTTCACATTCGCGTTTCTGGGGCCCATAGTAGCGGTAAGAAAGATCCTGAAAACTACGGACTGATCATAACTGCTGATGTATTCATTAGGGTATCATCATTGCTCTGTATTCATTAGGGCCCTTATTTCCCCAACAAAAAAATGGAATCTTCGAGAACATCGCCTGAAGTCTGTAATTGTATTGCACATCTATGGGTTCAAGAGTAAACTGTCATTTCTATAAAATAAAAGTTTGATCCGATTGCCTGTTTCAATAAGTGTACTACGACAAGAATTTAACTTTTTGATTATGGAGCTTGGCATTGATGAAGACATTATGATCTATTTAGTGCACCAGCCGTAAGCAAAGGGTTAACTTATTTTGATTCTTTTAAACAAAAATAAACTTAACAAACTAACTCTCCTTTAACAATCGTTTGATTGTAGATATTATTATTAGACTTATTAAAAACTCTTACTAGAAAGAATTGTAAATAAATGTTCATTCCATTTTGATAACAAGCAAACAAGAACGTAAGCAAAAAAAAGAAGAATTTCTTTAGTAAAGGAGAACTTAACATATACTTTGCAAGAGTGTAGAAATAAAAGGAGATATCACCTGTTCGTGCAAGTCAGCAAGAGCACCAGCGAGAACTCGGTAAGCTGAAGTTTTACCCCCAAATGGCATTCCAACTATCATGAAACCGTGACGGACAATCATCATCTCATAAATCTATGGACACGAGAAGCATCCATTATAGAAATTTAAGTGAAATATTCAAAATATATAATATAGTTCCTCATCACTAATGATATTGAAAGAAAGTTTTTCCATGAAATGCTACTTTTCCTACTTTTTTTAATTTAAAAAAATACAGTAAATCTTTGACTCATCCATCCCGCATGTATTGTCCAGTTTTAGCAGTCTCGTCCCAAATGCAATTTTTATAATATTAATGCTGCACGTCAATTGAAAAATCAACGCAAGCGACAAAAAATTCAAAATTGAAATTTTTGTACTTGTGACGTCATTTACTGGTATCCAATTGTGTTCGCTAATGTATTTTCTAAATACTAAATAGTAATTAAACGAACTGAACACATTTTTTATGGTGAGGGCATTGCAAAATTAACTTTTAATTCGAATCTAAATTAAGTCTAATTACATTACCAACGGGATACTTGATATGTGATGGTATTGGTAAAATTTAAAAGAAGGGAGTACTTTGAAGAAATAATGCATGTTAAATTTCAATTGAATTTTTTTATTTTATGTTATAACTGTCGTTGAACAGTCGACCCAATTTTCATTTACGTCTATTAGTGTTCAACTAGGTACAATTTTTAACCCAATCCAGAAGATTCCATGGATCAAGTATTGAAAGAAATTTGCCCTCGTGGAGAACTTTTTGATTGAACTAACCCACATTTGGGTTACATGGAAGGGAAAACCACGGAAACCTCCCGTGGTCATCCTGACGGCAGGAGTACTCCAACCCTTGATTCTTCTACCACTGAATGATATTTTTACATCAGCACTGTTGTCGGTACAAGCTGGATGCGGAATTCGTATCGACCAGCCACGTTGGGATTGGGTCGTCTCATTGAGAAGCGAGCGCTCTATCTCCCGAGCCACCACGACTCTATACATGGTAGTTTATAAGGGACACCTACTGATTACCATCTCTGAAAAGAACTAGAAAAACTAACAGTTTAAGTGGCACTAAAATTCATTTAAATTATAACATTTATTTATTTCTATGATATAGTAAAATTCAAGAGTAGGTTAATAAAGACCTGCTGAATTTTTTCCAAGAATACAGGTGGGCACTGCAAGTTAATCTCTTTGCAGTATTTGATGATAGCAGCATTCAAGTGCTGATATTCCGGAGTCGGCAGTTTTATCCCAGGAAAAAGATCAGATGTGATACCCTGAAAATTTTAACCAAGCATTTACACATATTTGTAAATATCAAAAACAAGTGCTTAAAAGTGAATACTTACAGAAAACAAAGGCAGATCATGAGAGAGAAATTTTGGCAGGTTGACGTCTGTTATTGATCTCAGTACCAAAATGTCTTCACTCTCCTCCAGATATTTAAGCTATGAAATAAAAGAGAAGCAAATTTCAATAGGATGGAATTCAAGTACACAGCAGTCAAAACTGTAAAAATAAATTATTACGTAAAAGAAACGCATAACAATCGAGTTTCAAGCAGATTATAATTAAATATGAAAAATACAGGATGTTTGGAACGCATAGCAATCTAGACAATTATATTTTTTAAAAACCCTTGACAAAAATGCATTCCCATCAGAAGTTTCAAATCGATGTTCAATTTTTTTTTAAAAAGGATATTACGCTATCATTATGCAATGGATTACTATTTAGGAAGGCGAAAATGAAATCACCATATTCATTGGTTAACCTGACAAAATCTGGACGTGTTTTCTTAAACGCCTTTCCATTTCTTCCCCTAATCAAACAGGTTTTTTCGATGTTCCGTACATCTGCCTTCCTCACAAGTGATTACTTATATTCTGATTTTTTCTTCTTCTCCAAAACATTAATTTGCAGCCCCCTAATGCATGTACTGAGCTTTTTGACTATATTAAGAGTGGAACAAGAGTGTAAGAAAGAATTGAACGCATTAGGAGTGTAATGAATTAAGAGTGTAAGAAACATATTATAAGTGGTCATTATGAAACACCCCAGAATTATTTACCAATAAATTGATATCAATAATTTATTTATGAATACAAGATTTAAGAGTACATGAGACAAAAGCAACTATACTGAGTCTAATTTAAACCATATTATACACTTAAAACAGGCTGATGAAACAGTGCTGAAAGGAACCGAATTATCGAGGTAACGTACGGTCATGTGACTTATGTTTAAGTACAATTAAAGAAAGAAGACTCCCTTGAAGACTAAATTAAAACTGAACTAGTTTCAATTACTATAAAAAAAACTTATTACGTATTTTCTGAAAATTACAATGAATCATTGGAATCATATCTACTTTAAAGATGTGGGAAAAGAATGGAGTAAATTATTTGAAATTACTCTTTAAATTTTCAAAAGAATAAAATATTTTATCAATTTTTCTTTTTTAAAATTTTCATGAGTTATATTTGTTGGTGTGAACCAATTCGTTAAATATTTCAGATATACAAACCTCAAGACTATGGATACATGTTTCCAATTTTTGAAACACAATCCAACTGCAGCAAACAAACAGGTGAGTTTTGTCACATTATAGGAGAGTTAAGAATTTATTACCACCAAATAAGAAAATGCACGATTAAACACAGTCAATAAATATTTCATGATTTTGAAAATAGTTAGGCACTGCAGGGCCCATGCCTAGAGTTAAAGGTTTAATTTTTTTTGTGATTAAATGTGACTAAGTACTTAATTGCATGAATCTCGAATTGTTTACCTTCACTAACTAAACTAGATAATAGAAATCTCTTTTACCATTTGGTTTAATTAATCCTTTATTTACGCGAAAGACTTAGTTGATCCTTACATAGTGTGTATAATTAAATTTGTGTAGTGCAGCTGCTTATGCGTTTACCTTTAAGTTCCCAGCTGCAGTAAGAACAGATTTGACTGCTCTCATTCCGTAATCGTAGTGATATTGGGAGGAAAGCTGTTCAGAGCAGAGTCTGTAGGTGGCTACAATCTTGACAGCAAGAGGACGAGCATTCACAAATCCACACGAGTAGAGCACAATTTCAGATATCATGGCATAGTCTGGTACCATCATGGCCACAGGTCGAAACAGTGCCTAATGCATAAAATTAAAAACAAACATCGTTACGAGATACAATTAACTAAATAACCAACTATAATTAACTTAATTATTGTTGTTGTTAATTTACGTCGCACTAGAGCAGCACAATGGGCTATTGGCGACGGTCTGGGAAACATCCCGGAGGATGATCCGAAGACATGCCATCACAATTTTGATCCTCTGCGGAGGGGATGGCACCCCCGCTTCGGTAGCCCGACGACCTGCGCGCGAAGTCGAGCACTTTACGGTAGCACAGTTTAACGAGGACCAATACCGCACACCCTCGGTCCCAACGCAGACTGATCCAAGTGATCACCCACCCGCACACTGACCGCAGCCAGTGATGCTTGACTTCGGTGATCTGCTGGGAGCCGTGTCCTAACGATCAGTCCACTGCGGGACTAACTTAATTATTAAGTTTGTTCCTATGAACTAATTTTTATACCGAGTCTCGAAATTAGCAGTGGTCCGTGAGTTTGGGATGGCTAAATTTTAACGCAATCAATGTAAAGGAATGGTATGCTGTTTTGATTTTTTGGTTTTCAATTTCATGATTAGGTTTTCGTTATTGTCTCAAAATAGTGGTCAGTTCACAGTTTTTGTTACGTAATTTTTCGTTTAAATTCACTTTATTAACTTTTAACTATCTTTTTCAAAACAAAATAAAGTATAATCTTTGTAAATGGAACAGTGAAAATGCCTACTAACTAGTTATATTTTTTAGTTTCTAGTTCAATGGACTAAATTTTCTTAATTTGTACCCCTGCTTTTACAAGAATTTAAAATTCCAATAAAATGCCGTTCTTAGCTGTATAGTTCATAAAATATTTTAGGATAAACCTCTGCGCATCCCTTCGCACAATGTAAACATACACATGCAAAACATTATATAAATACATTATATAAATTCATAAACTACATCAATTTTGTGGGTGAAAACAATGAAAGCTGTAGTTAAGAAATTTCAGAAACTAAGCGATATATCTAAAGTCTTTGCCAAGAGAAAAGATAAAAAGTAGATCTCAAATAGGGAAAGAAGTCACAAAACTTATTTAATTATTATTAGAGAGAGAACATACATCCAAGTGACACACAAATCGAAATGCTTCTCAAATAAAAGTTAGGGAACATATTGCAAAATATGTAAATCCATAAAATGTTTCAACTTAAAGAATAACGGAAATCTGAGTTATTACAATTGGTCTATTAAATAGATCGAGGGAAAAAGTCTTTCTCACTGTTCAAAAGGGGGGAAAATATAAAATATTAATTCATACATAACTTGAAGACAAAAATGGATCAAAAGACAGGATGTGAAAATTAAAGTGTGAGAAAAAGCGTTTAGTTTAGAATTAATTAAGAAAAAGATTTAGATAAAGGAATAACATAAAAAAATTACTTGAGGCTTTTTATGTTGTATATATGTTAACAGTTTACGTTATTTGTTTAAAATTTGTTTGAAAGCTAAGCCAATAAAATTCATTAATTTGTAACTAACAGCAATACTTTAGAAAATTTCAATTCTTTTCTTTTCAGTAAATGATAAATACTTAAGTGTATACTTTTGTGTTTGTTTTGTGCATATGCATCTAACGATTATTTTAAAGCATTTTCTGACTGATTTGTTCCAAACTAATATTGCTGCCATCATGGGCGTCACATGAGCTCAATTTTTGAGGGGGACGTCGAAATTAACTTAGGCAGTCATAACAGTTCACACAAAAGGAAAAAAAAATTCCCTATGTGCTAAATATTGTGAAAAAAAAATTCATTACTTTTAAATCTTTCAACTTTAAGTAATTTAATTAGATAATAATTCACAGCAATTTCCTTCCACTGTCTGAGGCAGGCTTTTAAAGATTTCTAATTATTAAAGGGCACAATCCCCTGCCAACGATGCTCATGTCTGCCATGCTTAGACGGTAAGTTTAAAAAAATGTAAAATGATCTAACACAAAATTTTATAAAAACGCTAAGCCTCGCGTTTCAAGATTAGCGTTATAAAGAGCTTCTATTTCTGTATTGTTATTAAATATTTTCCAGAAGACTCAAAATATTGCTTCCATCCTACACTTATTTTTTGTAATTTCATTTATAAGAAACTAAAGAATTTTGTACTCCAGTCATTAAGTGGAAAAATGTTTTGATTAAAACTTCATCTCTGAAAATTTTGACATCACTTCTTACAAGTCATGAACAATCACGCAAACCTTCAAATTATCCGGTAGTTCAGAGCGACCAGCATATCCGGGATTCATTGTTATAAACACAGAGCATGTGGGATCTAATTTGATGTCTGTGCCTTCGAAGAACAGTCTTTTGGATCCAGCCGCAATCCCCCGCTGTATGGTTAAAATCTGTTGAGCAACAACTGATAGAACTTCTAGATCTATTCTGTTGAATTCATCAAAACAGGACCAAGCACCGCACGATGCAAGTCCCTGAAACACAAACAAAACTTTAACAGTTTCTCAGGCTTTCAAAAACACCTTTATAAAATTTTACAAATAGTTACACCATTAAACAAAAATAAGGAATTTCGCACTTTTACGTTAGCTTATGTACGCTCCTGTAAGTAAGATTTGAAGGAACTACGCATACTCGCGTTAATTTTAGATGCTACGTTACTTTACGTTACGTTGGCAGGATTTACGCTGCAAAGATAAAGCTAGAAGCACGCTGTTTATAGCTGTTAAATGCTGTTTTCTGTCGACTTTCAAACATGGACATAAAATGCGGATTTAAAGAAATTTATTGATGACACATAAAAATGAATCGTGCTATATTGCTAATAACTTACATGTGTAGTTTAGAGCCAAATACTGTAAGTTATGGTTACTTGTGAACCTTATGGAGAAACTAGATTTCTTTAATCTTCGACCACAAATCTGAATAATAAACTTCATTCTTTATTGCTGAATTCATCAAAATCTACCTTTTTCTTCTGCTCACGAAACCGTAATTTTGCACAGAGCAAAGCACCTTGTCTCGCATGCTACAGCATTGTAGAGATGGTTTACGTCTATCGCAAATGTTTGTTTTGATTTTGTGGGCAAAGTTAAAACGATATTCCACAACGTTAGGGTTTTCAACTTACGGATTTTTACAAAATCTCTTAATTTCACTTACGTAAATTTGATATTTTTTCACCGGCGCATTTCACCAGAACTAAAATGACTTGCGCATGCGCACTAGAAGTGCACCTCCGTAAATTTGCGAAATATCCCTATTATCGTCACCTTGAACCGAAATACGGTTCAAATTTTTGCAATATTAAGATCATATTAAATTGACGTGCGTTTCCATTCAAATCAAACCATAGTGTCTTGTAATCAAACTTAAAAAATATTATAACATGGTTCTCACATTATCACCCTATAAAAGTAATGGAAAATTTAAACGATATTATTTTTCTAACATCCTCCAAACTTTCAACAATGTGGGAACCTAACTTTTTTCCATTAATGAAGTTTACAAAAAAGATGGCAGATATTATGGTTCGAATGCCATCTTACAATTACATAACAGTTGTAGACATTTTAAACGCTATTATGGTCCAGCACCTTCCAAATCTGTGTAGTAACTCAACGTGTATTTTTCCTTTCAAAAATCCTTAGATTGTAATCGAAATTAAGAAATATGATAACATGTTTCAACTTAGCACCCTATTAAGGTTTCAGAAAATTTTAACTATAATTTGGTTAAACACGCTTTGGTCACTTAATACTTTTATCCAATAATCAGTATCTTGCAGTCGAATTTCATAAATATGACAATATTGATTAACTTCACCCTATGGTTTCTGAAATTTATAACGATATTAAGGTTTTAAAAGGTTTCTGAAAATTGTAACGATATTATAGATCAGCACGCTCTAGTCACTTGACTTTTTGTATCTGGTCATCAGTATTTCGTAGTAGAATTTAATAAATATGACAACAGGGTTCAAGTATATTAAGGTTACAAAAATTGCAATGATATTACGGTTCAACACGCTTTAGTCACTCGACACTTTAAACAAGTAATGAGTATCTTGTAAACAAACTAAAGAAAGAGATAATCACACTCAGGTTAAGTGATATGAAGGTTTAGCAGGATTTCAAAATGTTCAGTAGAGTTGTTCTTTTACCAACAAGGGAGCTGAAGAAACGTGAGAGAGAAAAATGAATGTTTTCAATTTACAAAACTTACTTTAAAAAACTTTCCAAGGGCTATATAATCCAGACCATCTGAGCAGTTAAAGACGACGCACTGCTTGGCCACAGCTTTTGCCAAATCCTTAGTAGTCTCTGTCTTTCCAGTTCCTGCCGGACCTTCAGGTGCCCCACCCAGATGCAGATTGAGAGCACCGAACAAAGTACGGTAACATCGATCCGTCAAGGGAGTGATCACGAGGCGACCTGAGTTTCCCAAATATTCGTAGCCATAATCCAGAAATGAGTTAATCATGCGTGTCGTCATGTTATCATCCTGGATTTAAAAAAAATAAGAGGCCAACATTTTAGATCAATTTTAGGCTGTGTATATCTTACCCTTGAAGCTTGAAAGCCGATAGCGTGCACTTCACATAGCTAAGCTACATATTAACTGCTTTGCTCCACTAAAATGCGGAATTAAGTATTTTACATATTTTATACACCCTAACAGCCTCTGTATCGTTAAAGTTCAAAAGTGTGTTTCTCTCAATCTATCAACTAATTTGTTGATCGTATTGACTAGATTCTTATATTGAGAATGAATAAATGATATTAGGTGCTTTTCTAAAATTGTACAAGGTAACCAATTAAGTTCTAGGCATTTTTAACGGCTAAAAAGAAATTGCACAAACTGTTACCAATTGTTAGTCCTCGAAGTAATCTCCATCGGCATCCAGCATCTTCTGTCAATCTCTAGCTGTGCAATTCCCTTGATGTTAAAATCGGAGGGTTTTGAAAGTTTTGCTTCATTTGTGAAGGATTATGCACATATATGATTGAGCAAGAAATCGAAAAGGTCTGATGGTGCAAGGTGAGGTGAGCAAGGAGGTTGGCACAAAGTCTTCCAACCAAGTTGCTCTATCGTATCCCTTCCATGACAACACCCTACCTGGGCGTTGTCATGCAAGAAGAATACACCTTTCTCATTTACTAGTATTATCTCCTTTTGTCCAATGTCTGTTACACGCTTCCATCCCATGCGAGTACATGTCCGCAATGACCGTTTGGCCCATTTCTGGTAGCTCATAAGGAACCACTTGACGACTAGTCCACCAAACACAAATCATGGGTGGTCTGGCGCTGTGAGGGACAATATCCTGAGATGACAATCAACATTTGGAGAGCTTGAGAGTGTCTTACAGGAACCACTTTTCGTCACTTGGGAAGTACTCTATTGAATATAAATGCATTACGGTGGCGAAAAAGCAATGACATACAGGCTGATACTCGTTATTTCCTCTTAACTTCCAACAGTGTGTGTGGAACCCGCTTGCTCATCCGGAGACGTCCGTTTCATCGAAAACGTTAAACTGTCTTGCAAGTTCACATGTTAGACTACTACCCTCTTTAATTGCCACCAGAAGGGCTTTCTCATACGCGCATTATTTTGCGACGGGCGAGAGACGACGCTTTTCATCATGAAAATTGCGTGAGGTTTGAGATATTACTCATAACTAAAAGGAAAAACTATGAAGAAAAGAGACCCCATTGTGAAACGAGTTAAACAAAAGTTTATTTCTCGGCTTACTGGTTCAAGACAGTCGATTATGATATCAAAATAATAATAAGTCATGAAGGATGAAATTTGTAGGTTTGATATGTCAACTTATAACAGCTTATTATTTTATATTAGTTTAATTTTTCACCTCTTTATTCTTTTGTTGAAATTTATATACCTCACTTGCTTATTAAGCTATAAAATATTAATATTTTTAAAAAAATTTGGAAAAGTAAAGGTTGGAAATTCACACTGTTATGAAGCGTGAGTAGCTTTGTGGAACAATGGCATCGCTTATTGTGCTAAACATAATTGGGTATTTGGTTTTAGTGCTTGTCAGCCTTATTGTAGGTTGAACAAATATTAATCTTCAAAGTTCACAGCGTAATAATAATAAAAATAAAGTTAATGGTGAATGTTTTGTGGGCTCTCACAGGTGGGATCCATCATGATTTAATAAAACTTGGCTCTTAGATCATAATAGAAATACAAGACGAAATTATTCAGAAGCTTAAAAAGCTTAGATTGGTCAACAGATCGAGTCCTATCTTAGTGGATGACATTTCCAATCCACACACTGCACTATGGCCAAACATACAGGAATCGGAAGTTCTACATTCTCCTCCGTACTCACTACATCTAGCCTCCCACCAGCAACCATTTCTTTCTTGATTTGAACAACTCTTTTGAATAGAAAAACAATTTAACTCCGAAAAGAAATGAACCTCAATGAAAGCAAATAAAGCATTTACCCACCTAAATAAGTTGATACTTGAAACAACATGCATTAGTTATCCCGATACATCGAGACCGAGTGGTAAAGAAAACACGGCGTCGTAAACATATATCGTTCAGTTTACAGTCACAGTCAAAGTTTTGTGTCTTTTACCGAATTTTGGTGCATTCAGCTGAGCCATGGAAGTATTTATCAATCCTATTTCACAATTTATAAGGTGTTACTAAAATTAAATAAGCTTTCATTTACCTACACTGTGGGATAATGATAAACTTTGCATCAAATACTAGTTAAAGGTATATCTAGTTTTTTTTACATTGTAAGTTGTCAACCAACTTTGTCTTTTTCTCAACACATTGATGACTAATAATCATTGATGGCCTAATGATGATAATAGCGATCTCAATAGCGTTACTTATAATGATAGCAGCAGTACATAAATACATCTTTTTTAACTTACTATCCAGTAATATCTCAGCTGACTCAACCAAGCAAAGTCCTGGTCAGAAGTAATTTGGGCCTTGCAGAGATATTCTACAACGTCCCTAGCGTGAACATCGAGCACTACAAGAGCTCCCAATGTGATACGATTCTGTTTAGAGAGATCTCCACGAACTATGGAGACTATCTTGTCAATCTGATCATTATTCTGCTTTAAATAGGCTTGTAGGTTCTGGAAAAATATCGAAACAATACATGATTAGAGCATTTTTGAGATCTAAAACTCTAAAAATAAATGCGTCAGACACTGCTGTAAGCAATAACAACACTATATATGAAAAAATATTTTAAGCCTATTGCAGTAATATGTTAGAAATAGTTATTACAATAGCTCATAATTAATTTGCTATATATATATTATTAACTAATTAAATATGTTGATTCTCTTTACATTCTGCAGCATAGTTTCCTTTCAGAGAATTTCTTCCAATAACGAAATTTTTAATCGCTACGTTTCATAACACTCAAAATATTTTCCATACAACGAAGTGGTTGTCTACCCATATCGAATTTTCTAGACGTTTAACTGTCTAATTTTCGTCATGTTGAAAATGTTTTAGTGGGTTATCCTTTTATTTTCGCCATTTTTGAAGAAAATTGTTTTTAAATGTTGGAAGTCCTGTGCAACCATTTCGCTCTCCCACAGGCCTGTTTCTGGAACCACTAACATTATTCATTTCAGCGAAATGACTCATATTAAGCATTCATTTTTAATGTATATATTACTTTATTTTTAGTTAAAAGTAAGGCTTATATACTTTCGAATTTATACCATGCATAGAAGTTTTATTTTAATACCTGCCTAAAAGGGAAATTAACGCATTTTTAATAGAATTTACAAGTACTTACAATAAAAAAATTTAAAATTATTTTTGAATCAATCACTAAAATAGTCTGGAAACTCTTTTTTAAATGGAATACCTGAGGACCACTCTTGATGGCTTCATGCATCTCTGCAGTCCAATAATTCTGAGAGCAGCACAGGACCGCCTGACCAGGCCATTGAAGAACCCATTCTTCGCGAGGCACATTGGAGTAAGATTCAAGAGCATCAAAAATAACCTAATAGAGAGATTAGAACTTTTCAGATATATATTTTGATTCTTTGCAAAAAATAAAGAGAGATTTTCCAGGAAATATTTATTATGCAGAGTGAGTTTAAAGTTACCCAAAGGTGCCGTCTGTAGTACAGAAAAAAATATTTTGAATTTTGATTTCCCCTTTTTAGATGGCAAGACAGACTCTTTTGTGTGAATTTCGATCGGTGTTGGTCATCTGGTGCTCAGAGACTTCATTTGTGATGTAATTGTTGGTCAAGGTAGTGACGTGGAAGCTTTTTCTTATTTTTAGAAACAGCATTTAGAAGTGTTATTTCACTCACAAATCATACTCTTATGTTTTTGAAGAGTTTTAAGAGAAATAACCCGATCTAGCAATAATTATATAGTGCTGAGGAAAGTTCACTGTTTCTGGGCAAATGGATCAATAACTGACAAGGAGAAAAGATTCGAACAATAAGCTAAAACTTTCAGGTATTTTGAACAGAAACTGAGACTGGAACGAAGCTTTTGCTCTCGCAGACTGTAAGCTTTAGAAATTGTGAGATAAAAATGCACATTCTAACATAAATACAGCCATTCTTCGCAGAATCTCCACACCCAGTTTACAGAAATACCATTTGATATTCTTAAACTAGAACATCGTACCACATTCGATTAATCGTAAAACACGTTATCCACTAAATCGTCGAAATCAAGAATAACTGGTTGCGGTCACGACCCCTTTTTTTCAGACTGCGAAGTAACCGAGAGTGTGTTTTATCGAACCTCATTAAACTGTTCTACCATAAAGTGCTATACTTCACGCACAGGTTACCGAGCTACCAAAACGAGAGAGCCATGCCCTTTACAGAGGATCAATATTGAGATGGCATGCAGAGGGATCATGCTCTAACTGATCCGAGGCCAATAGTCCATTAGGTAGCTCTAGTACGATGTAAATAAAGTACTAATATAAAAAAGAACATCACATAGAAACGCCTAGAGTTCGTCAACTTATCGCTGCGATATACTTTATTTTCATTTAAATTCTCTAAAACTAGTGCTTTTACGAATCATTAAACTTCGAGAGTTTAAACTCACCCTTCACAATTTATTAAATAGTATTCCAATATTACCTTTTTAACGCTGGATAACATGAGAGACTCCAGCTCAAGCAGCCATTTTTCCACCTGACCGCGGGCATTTACGACCGATATGACTCCAGTCAGTTGTATGACTTCACCCTCGCTGCTTTCCATGTGGGTGATGTCGAGATTCTCCAGAAACTTCAGTTTTGCAATACCTTCAAAGCATTTCTTGAGGTGAGGTTGAACCCTGTACAATTATACGAACGTATATTTTCACGAGCACATTCATAACTTAGTTTTGGGATGAGAAATTTTTATTCTTCAGAAATTATTGAAAGTAAAAAATATATGCAGGCTTTATACTATCTGTTTAAAATATCTTAAACCTTTGCCAACTAGCAATTTTACACAGAAACTATGTCATGTCACCAGCTTTTATTTTTGACTAAACACGATATGCTAAACTCTTGCAATACCATTCTGGGTCTCATATAAATTGAAATAGATAATGCAAGCACAATTACGAAGTAACTCGTCATCAGTCAATTATCTGAGCATGAAAAGACGAGTTAACTCGTTACCAGTCAGTTAATCGATTCCTCCAACAACACTAAATGAAAAGGAGCATTACCTACATTTTTAAATTGTTGACTAAGAGGAAAATGGAAAAGTTTGTAAATTGGACTCTTCATTTGTTTTGCACTCAACTGTTTCCATTCGTATACTTCTAGCATTTTCCATTTTTAGTCTCCAACGTTAGAGGCGAACTTGACACAGTTTTCATAACCTAAACCAGGTAAAATGTTCGTATACCAGTATAATTAAAAAACTCACAAAAAGAGCAAAATTATTTTTATTTCTCAATGAGTTTAGCCCAGCTTTGTCTGATCGAAATTTTGCTCAATTTTGAATGCCTGAACCAGGTAAAATAATATTAATAACGAAACAAAACGATTTTTGTGAACTTGTTTAGCTTAAAAATAAATTAAACGTGATTTGCAGTCTGAGATTGAATTTTTTCTAATGGCTAGCAAAGCTTTGGCAGGAACAGGTTGTCCTGTACTTGTGAAAAATCACATTGGAAGTAGAGATACAAAGCTGCTGGGAGTAGTTTCCAATTATTCATAGAATACAAAGAAAATAAACAAAATTCATTCTAAAGCATTTTATTTCCATTGTATTTCCACAAATTAGGCGGTAACCACCGATACTAGTACAAGAGACTCTCAAAGTTTTAGCCAGATATCTGGGGATATGCATGGAACGTTACATCTTCTCAAACATAGCAGATGGATCTTAAACACATATTGCTGCTTCAACAGTTTGGTAAAACATTTCCTGTAGCAGTATTTTTCGCAAATGTTTAAAATACAGTTAAAAAATGTAGAATGATTTTTGTTTATTTTCTTAGTGTTCTCGTATTATGTATAATTTTTAACCCCATCAACTGATTTCAAATAACATTTGTGATATCATGTTTCTATGTTCTTATTCTTTCAAGGAACTGTTGCAGGTTAAAACCATCCAAAGTAGTCTCTGCCATCTTATCCTATCCCCAGCAAGGCTTTTCCAGTTTCTCTTATTTATCTTGTTTCCCTATGTTATCATTTATTATTTTTGAATGCCTACTTTACCCATTTATTTTGACTACGAGTTTTGAATTAATTTATTCACCTGACTCTGCATTTTAAACCACTGTTTCACAACTGGTGAAGTTAATAAAAAAAAACTTTTGTGCAATTTTAGACTATATTAAAAGCAAAAAAAAAGTATGTAAAAGCCAAGATATAATTATTCACAAATATCAGAAATTTATGATAGAGTAAAAAAAAGCATACTTCTTCGGATCTTTGGTTTCTGATAAAATTTCAAGCAGTTCATCATTGGAAAGAAAGAAGAAACGAGGAAAGAAAAGCCTTTTCTTCTCTAAATAATCATTGAGACCCTGAAAAGATATTTTCATACAAATTTTCCGCAATATGCTGGCTATATACATTCAGAACACTAATTGAAAATTATTAAATAACAACTTTCTTGATTAGAGTTTAAGTAAAATAGCTTTAATCAGAAAATTTTTTTAAAAAATTAGGAATTTTCCTGTTGAAGAATCATTTAAAATTAGTTTTAAAACACCAACTTATTGTTGACTTTTCTTGACCAGTTTTAATAATTACTTTAACCAATACTAGTCACTCAAGATCATCTTTCAGCTTTATATTTCAAATAAGTATTATTAATACATAAAGATGTTTTATTTTTCTCAACTCACACTATCCTTTACTTATTAGTTTTAAGAAACTTAATGATATTTGATTTTTAAACCATGATCTCAAAAGAGTATACTTTTAGATTATGTAATAAAATTATTAAGTCAAGTTTCTCCAATTTTCTCAAGTTTTCAAGATGCTTAAAAGGGTTACCCCATAATTTGAAAAAGGTGATATTTGCCACTTTGACACCATTTTAAAGTAAAGTTACAGCTATTATTTATATTCTAGTTTAAGGACTTGTAAGTGTGTCAAACAATATCTTCTGTTGACAAAGAGGTCACGATTTACGACATCACATTTAAGTGCCACCAAATACTATGTTCATTAATTTTTGATGCAGTAACTAAGAACACATTTTTTGAGCACTATTCACGGCAAATAAATAAATCTGGCAAAAAAAAAGCAACAGAAACACATGAACGACAATGTAATGAACGTGTTACCTTCTGTATGAGATCCAAGAGGTCGTTGGAAGCCTTAAGAGTGTCCAGCAAGTTTTCAATTTCAATAACAGCCAAGACGTGTTTGTCTTCAAGAATGGCTTTCATCACTTCCCTCCAATTTTTATCAACAGTATTGAATCGCCTGCAACAAAATACTCAATGCAGAGAATGTGACCTTAAATCTAGGTAGACGTGAAATTGTGTACAGTGTACAAAAAAAACACATCCTGAATAGCTTTTGATCTAATGATCAGATTTTCATGTACTAGGAGTCAAGCTTAGTTATTCAGAGAGGGGACGTCAATTATGCTAATTAATAAGAGCAGACGATATCTTAAGCTACGAAACCAGACAAAAAAACCTTCCTTAAATAAATGTAACGACGGATTTGGACGCCCAAAATACATGAGATAGGAAAATTAAGAAATGGGGTCTCAAAAAAGGAAAACGTTCCATTTCTTTGTACAATGCACACAAAAAAAACGACCACCCTGAATAACTTTTGATCTAATGATCGGATCTTCACGTTCTAGGACTCTATCTTAATGGATCGAGAGGGCAGTTTCAAATATGCTTATTAATAAGTGCGAAATAGAAGTTTTATAATTGTTCAAATTCTCATGGTGGAACAAATACGTTGACGATACCTTTCTCCTCATAAACAGTCTTACTGATTTTCAAGAGTTACTTTCTGTTGTCAATTTTGTTAACACCAACATTCAATTTACATTAGAACACGAAATTAATTTTTCGTTATCTTTTTCAGATGTCCTTGTAACTAAACACCCTGATCATTTTTCCACCTCTGTTTATCGCAAACATTTTGCCGGCTCTTTGTACCCCTCATGTTAATTCTAGTAACCCTAATTGTCAGAAAATATCTGCATTTCCTTCTTTCGTTTCCCAGTGACTCTTCTTCTTTAAACTCTATACTTTACCTTCTCCGCTAGCTTGCTGCTGACCATGAATTTAACCTTTCTATTGTTGATTCAGCTCTTGCTAAACTCACTTCATTTAGTCCTTACGAAGATATTACTACTTTACTGTTCTTTTCCTCACGTTTGTTATGAAATTGCTAATAATCTCCTCCGTTTTGGCTTTAAAGTCATTTGTCCCACAGTTGACTGATCGTAAAGACACGGTTTCCAGCAGAACACCGAAGTTAAGCATCACTGGCAGCAGTCAGTAGGCGGGTAGGTGACCACTTTCATCAGCCTGCGCTGGGACCGAGGGGGCTAGGTATCAGTTCTCGTTAAACTGTTCTACTGTAAAGCGCTCGATTTCGCGCGCATGTCGTCGGGCTACCAAAGCGGGGGAGCCATCCCCTCTGCAGAGGATCAAAATTGCGATGGCAATGTCTTCGGATCATCCTCGGAGATGTTTCCCAGACTATCGCCCATTGTGCAGCTCTAGTGCGACGTAAATCAAATTTAAGACTCTTTAAGATCCTATTTGCTTCGATAATCGCAGGATCATTTACCACATTCATAGTCAGTGTGACCTTGGCTACATCGAGGCAAACTAAACGCGCTTTAAAATTCAAACTTAAAGAACACCATAGATATGTTCAATATCTGGAGAAATCTTCAATTACTTCACATTGTTGGATTCTTGAGCATGAATTCAATTTCAACAATGCTAGAATTATTTCCACCCCAGTCGCGTCGACTCATCGTGATACCCTGGAATCTTATATTATTCATTTGAATGCTGATTTCTTGTTAACGGTATTAGTTCCTCGCCACCTCTCCATAACGCATAGAAATACATTTTACCCTGATTTTCCTCTCTGCCGCTGCGTTTTTTCTGTGTTATTTCACTGTGTTCTCACTCGACTTCTGTGGTTTTCTTTAGTTTTTGTTTCTTACATTATTATTTTTTACGAAACATTTGTGTTTAGTTACATTCATGTCCGCCAAGTCTTGAAAACAGGTGACTATTCCTGATGCACTTGAAATATGTCAATTGTCATTTTAAATTTGTACATTTTTGAAGCGTATGAAGTTTTCTATCGGGTAATATTAGTACCCTATTTTACGGATTGCGGCTACCTTTCGTATTTTGAGGTTCAAGAATCTGTTTGGGAAAAAAATGTGATTACTAAGAGAAAGTACATATTTTTATCTAATTTCTTGTAACTTAAAATATTTTTTACTCTAACTGATAAGCATATTTAAGATTAGGGTCAAAAACCATTAAAACTGAGTCTTAATACGTGAAAATCTGGTCATTAAAACGAAATATAATTTAGGATTTTCACTTTTTTTCATACAGTGCTCATAATAATAATAAAATAGTTATATATTATAGCAACGCTACTCAGTAAGAAGAAGAATTTTATTGGGAGAGGAGGATAAGTAAATTTATGTGATAATTAAACAGATGTTGAGTGAAATATGAAATAAATGCGCAAGGTAATATAAATTAATCTCTGTGATATCTTCCTAATAAGCATCACATTATGAAAACTTTTGACAGCTGAACGTTTAGTTAATGCAATATTCTTCTTATTACGATTATTTCTTTCAATTACATTTTAATAAAAGCAGGGAAACCTCTCGGAAGCGACCACTCTCTGTTCCACAGTAAAATGGTCGTTCTTAGAAGTTAAATTCATCGAAGATACAGGATTTTTCTCAATCGTTTTTCTGACTGCAACATGAGGTCGACGATCTCTCTCAGAGATCGTCAAAAAGAGCCAATCTGAATATATTTGAATGTACTTATTTAGTTTGCTAATATTTTTTATTTTTATAGTTTTTCGTGTTTATTTGATCTTTCCAGCATTTGGTGCAGAGCTTTGCCCGGTCGCTGAGAGAGGTTTGGGAGATCTCTCCTAAAAGTTTTCTTCAACACAAATCATTTTACTGAAAAAATTTCCGAGGCCTCCCAAAAGTGGTCCTATATAGAGATGATCGCTACACAAAGGTTGTCTTTCCTGGAAGTTTCACTGTATAACTTAAATGGGCCTGTTTAAACAATAATGCAATGCTTCTTTTTTTTTTAAATTTTGCACACTCTCTAGTAAAGCTACCAAAAATAAAATATCTTGAAATGCCATGCTTTAACAAAATAATCAGAATAAATAGGGTTACACTATGAAAGTTTTTGTCAATAATGGTAATTAACTATATACTTTATCTAATTTTCTATTCAAAAAATGGGCAACTTTTTGTACCTTCCTTCTTCAGGCATTTGAGCCATAATGTCGGGTGAGCTGAAAATGGGTTCCAAATAGAGCCACGTGACTTGAACTTTCAGCCATTCGTCTATAATTTCTTGCAAAAGCATCAGTTTGCTCTCCCAAGTTCTGAAAAAATATAACAAAATTTAAATTTAAAAAAATATTAATTTCTTGACTGATCCAATTAAAAGTAACCAATTTGGGTAAATTTAAGAATTTCGATTAAAATAGGCATTTAATTGTAAAAGTAAAGTAATTACAGCCAAAAGTAGTACTTTACAAAGATTTCAGCTTTCACTACCGTTACTAATTATTGTAAAAATCACAGAACTTAAATATTAAAGGTCCCAAACTAATTTCTAAGGGATAGTGGAAAATATTATCCAAAACTGACAAATCCTTATCGAGATCTTTCAGAGAAAATTAAAAGCCAGTTTATTTGCTGAATAAAATCAAAAGACCTTTGCCTTTAGTAAGGGTGAGCTTTCACCTCAAACAGAAAAAAAAACAGGTTTTTGATCATTACACCTGTGCTGTAATATTTTTTGATTATCCTTATTCAGATTTCGATACATTTTTATTTTCTCTAACTTAAATATTACTTTCTTTTAGAATTCTAGAACTTTTCGATTAATATGAATCATACAATAATATCTACTTGTACATTGTAGTTGGGGCAACTTGAAAAACTAGTTTTGTAACTCTTGTCACCAGAGGTCTCTTTTTCAGCAGCAAATAGAAGAGGATGGCAAGCGAAAGTACTCAATTTTTAAAACTTTATAAACAACCGTTTTTTTTCTCAATGGGACAAGTGACGTAGTGTATGCATCTTGATCCTGATTGGTTATTGAAACGTGGTATTTACGCTATTAACTACTCTTTTTATTTGATTTCTAGCAAGCCAAGCCAATCAAGCATCAATTTTCTTTAGTGATACAATTCTATTTCCTCTCACAAAAATTTCAATTCTTTCACGATATATTTCTTACTTAACACAAAACAGTCTCGAAACCAATAACGAAGTTGCGCAATCATTTAAAATTACGAAATTGCGAAGGTGGGGCGAAAAACCATCAGGGAGTACGATGGGATGAAAGAAATTGAACGTTCAATAATTAGCTAGTGAATTAACTGTTTAACTTGAGATAAAAAAATATTATGCGGGATACTCTGCAGGCCGCAGAAATGCAACTACACACATGAAATTTGGCGAACTGAAAGACCCAATTTTGTTTCTGAACTTAACATCAAATTGTTCTTCTTTTTTATTCAAAATTCCAATATAGGACTGGGATAGCCTGGTTGGTAGGGCACTGGGCCCATGTCCAAGAGGATTTCGTTCCCCGCCTGCCGAAGACTTCCCGTTGACTGGTGCGCGTTAAATCTGTCGAGTCCCAAAGTCCTCCATGTTCCCATAACAAATCATACCTCTGGGGGTACTGATCCAGGAGTTTCCTTGTCTTCTGGATTGGTTCAAAATTACAAGGCTATGGAGTAGAGCATTAATAGTCTTAAACCCAAAACCTTGGTCAGCTGTTCAACGACGGATATGAAAATATAAAATAAAATTCCAGTGTGTTCGAAATTAATCACAATTTTAAATGCTTTTTTGCGAAATTTTGCTAAATGTTACATTTTGAGTTGCTGCATAAGAAACTTCAAACTACAAAAACGTGTAAAAAAATGTTCAAGGAGTACGATGAGAATAAAAAGTTTAAGAGTTATCAACTGATAATCTTGTAAAATAAAATACCATACAGAACTATCTAAAATGAATTGCAACAACAGGGTGGAAATTTGACATTTTAAACTTAATTTGACTTCATTTTTAAACTTAACATGAGTTTTTTTCCCGGATTTTAAGTGCTTTTATCATATTTTTTTTTGCTCTAAATAATGATTATTTATCTACTTTGTCTGAAAATGCATCTCGCGATCTTCAATCTAAAAGCTCGCGCTTGACTTGATATCAAAGGTACCAAAAAAATAATAAATAAAAAATAAGAGAGAGATTAGATGCTGCCATATATAAATCTTAACATTTATATCTAAATTTTTAAAAATATAAAGACAGGAAGAAAAAAATAAAAACTGTTTCCAAGACGAACTGATATATGGGGGTATAACTACATTGGGCGAACTGATATAATTATAGGGATATCATTAAATATTGTAAACAAATCTTATTATTGCTTCTTATTGTGTTACACATTCTGTACTCCTAAGTTTAGGAATTTATTTCCCATTGATTATTTTTCAATTATAGATAATCGTTCATTTCTTTACGATTAACATAATACTCTTACACAATGTTATAACAATCGAAAACCTGCAAGTAACGTAGTGTGGGTATCTCGATCCTGATTGGTTGTTGAAACGTCGCATTTCTATACGATAGCAACTGTTCTTTCCATTCTATTTCGAGTAAGCCAAACCCGTCGAACTTTAATGATACTTTAATTTTACTTAACGCAAAGACAGGCGTGAACCCACGTAGAACAAAAACAAACTAATGATGCATCGAATTTGCCAAGTACACAAAACAAAATCACGGCTACAATAAAATAACAAAACAAAAAATAAATATAAGTTAAAAAGACGCAGAATAGAACGAATTATAATAAATAAGAATTATAATAAATTATAATAATTTTAATAAATTCGATGTGTGATTCGGCGCTGTATTTATTTAACTTCACATTAATTAACATTCCAACTGATGTGGAGAAATTTAGCTCAACTTTAACACGCCGGCGATTTTGCACGTGAACAATCAACTGGCGCTGACGTCATAGGTCACATGTGTGGGTATCTGAGATCTTCTTTTTCTTAAAGTGCAAGTACCCAATTCTATATTTTGTACACAAAATGATATTTTTCTTTGAAAAATACCAACATTTAAAGAAAAAGATATAAAGATGAATAAAACTCAGCGTTACTTGCAGGGGGCATCATTAAAGTTTAGCTAAGGAAAAATATTCTTACTTGACTTTTTCCTCTATAGGTTTGACAGATGGAGATCCTCTCATTGTCTGAGTCTTAATTATGTGGTCGTCAAGCAGTGCCTGAATCTCGTCCACTGATGACAGCACATAAGTTCCAGATTCTCGAAATGGGATGATAGAGAACAACATCTAAATTAGAACAATACATTCAAATGCTTACTTCGACAAGTTAATCAAACATTTTGATATGGAATAATTAATCAGCATAAAATTGGTGCAAGCTTCAAGCATAATATCAATCTCTTGAACCAAATCAAATTCAAGTATAAACATGTGTCTTTCATTGTATGAATAATTTCAAAAAATTATGGTTTCACTTTCAGTTGTTTTGCTCTAATTCTTTTCGGTGCCTGCAGTCAAGATACAGAAAGCCTAGGATAAAACACTTATGCCCCGTCGCATGAATTTAGCTGCAAGATCATTTTTTTTTTGTCATAACTGTTTTCCTGCAATAATTTATTAAATATTTTTTTAAATATTTTTATTATATTAGTCTAATTTAGGTCAATCAGTAAGAAGGGTTTATAAATTTACATCACATTACTAAGACATCTGGGAAAATATCTTTTAACGTCACAAGAATCGGTTTTCAAAAAACTGTAACATTGAAATAAACGTTCAGTTTCTTATTGAAAATGTGGGTAAATAGCAGCTGTGGTATTAGATTTCCATTTTTCTATCTAAATCAGAATTTCAGTGAATTGAATATTTCAGAAATATGAACCAGGACTAAGCAGCGTTACCAATGAGTAGAATTTTACAAACGGTCCCAGTCACAAAGAAGTTACGGGACTGTGTGAAAAACAGAAGCATGTTATAGAAGATAAGCCAATTAAGCCAAACTAGCTTAAAAAAAATAAAGCGATGCGCCATGCTACACATCTGAGCCTTCAACGACGAGCGCCACAACAATTTTCCCATTCTTATCATATGAATTAAAAACTTATGCTGCTTGATTTTTCATTTGAAATATAAAAAAATAATATTTGATCTGAATACTCTTAGATGTTCACACTTTTAAAAGTGCGCATTTTCTGAAGAGACTTTCTATTTTCTATAATGAAAGTTAATGATGAACGTTCACTTTCTTTAAGCATCACTATACCATACCAAAGTTAATAGTTCCATGAAGTTTTTAACTCATTGTAATCAAAGATATCGATCTATTAAACAATCATTCATTTATTATCTGATTTGAATAATAATATGGTTATTGTGATCAGTCAAAGACGAACCACCGGAAACCAATCAGTGAAAAGAAAAAATAGGAAGAAAAAAAAAACCTGAATAACTATTGATTGAATGATCAGATTTTCACGTACTTGGACTCAACCTTCATGGGGATGACCTCAAATGAGCAAATTCATTTCTGCTCACAATACTTTTAGTTACGAAATCAAGCACTAAAACGTACTTTCTCTAAATAAACAAACCTTTTTTCGACAGATTTGGATTCCGTGCATTCAAAATTTAGAGAGTACCCACAATCTTTGAAATAGGGTCCCAATAGTTTGATCCGGAAGGGTGTCGAAAGTTTGGAACCTTTGTTATTCATTTTATGTCTTGCGTAATTCGCTATATCTCGAGAATCTTTTAAAACGAATCGAACATTTTTGGAACATAATTATGAAATTCGTTTATCCAAAAGTCATTAAAAAATTTATAGTTATTTGCTATTTGTATTATTTCACTTAATAGTAGTCAAAAAAATTTGGAATCGTAAAGTAACAACATTCTACATCATTTTAAAGAATGCAATTTTACTGACAAAACGCAAACTGAACGAAATGGGTAGTATATTTTCTGAGAAATCAAATTTTAAAAAATAGGTGTATTTAAAATTCGATTTCTTTGGTACCATTCGACCGATTGTGCGCAAATTTTGTATTTAGCCAAAAAAATTACATTCTATAAAACGATGCAAAAATTTGAATACCTACCAATTCAAAATTTTTTCGTCCCTTATTTCGACTATAAAATAAAACAAAAAAAATAATAAAGTATTATTTGAAATTATGTTTCGCATTAAATTTCATTTGGAAGAACGAATTTTATAATTGCGTGCCAAACTTTTTCGCTTGCTTCACTTAGAAAGTTCTCGAGATATTGCGACATACGCTAAAAATAAAATTAATATTAAGGGGTCCAAACCTTGGACCGTTTTCCTGACCAAACAATTAGGTCTCAATTTCCCAGAATGCGGCTGCTCGCTATATTTTTGAGGGTAAGGAATCCAAATCCACTGAAGAAAAAAAAAAGCTACAGAGGATGTACATTTTTGAGTCTGACTTCGTAACTAAAAATAGCTGCTGCACTAAATAAATATTATATTTGAGGTCAACCCTTTAAGTCATTAAAATTGAGTCCTAATACGTAAAAATCCGATCATTCGGATCAAAAGGCTTCATCTTTTTTAGCACTGTATATTATTTTCCTGTGGCTAAATCTTGACGAACTCGTTGATCTTTTAAATAGAAAGTTTCCCACTAATAAGTTAACATGCAATGGGTAATAACAAAGAAATTGTTAACATGCAATGGGTAATAGCAAAGAAATTGTCAACATGTAATGGGTAATAACAAAGAAAATGAAGTTTTTATCGAACCTCTCTCCATTCTCCCATCATCTTTTCAAGAGTTTTTTCTAATTTGTACTCCTTGCTCGCCGATTCGCTGATGATTTCAAACTGCGGTATGTACTCTCGCAGATTCAGTCCTATCAGCTTCTGTAAGGTGGTGGATTTGTCAGGTTTGAGAGGAAATCCAACAATTTCGGATATCTGATCCCAGTGACGGTCCCTCAAACCGGGATTGCACAGTGTCTGCACCAATGGGATGTTCTCTTTGAATTTGTCCACTTCTTCCCTCACCTGATGATAATAATAATCACTTTTGAGCATATATGGCAGTAATTTTACTATCGCTACTTGTACTTTTTACTCGTTACTTTTTAAAATAAAAACTTTTTACTTTTTACTCGTTACTTTTTTTAAAAATACTTGTACTTTTACTCGTTACTTTCTAAAAGTAACGTTGCCATATATGCTTTTAAGTACAAGAAAAGAGAATAGAGTCGATCCATCGTTCCCACATCGTTCGTTTTTCTCGAATGTTTTAGCTGTCCCATCTCAAATGCTATCCTTATGATGCTAGTAATACCCAGGGCCTGATTATCGCCTAGGCCCAATAGGCATGGGCCTAGGACACACAATTTCTGAAGGGCCTCAAAATTTAGTAAAAAATCTAATGACAGATGGGCCAGCTTTGTGTTGGTTTAAGTTCTAAATAATAAATAATTACAGCTTATAGTAAAAAATAATTCAGCTAATCAGTGACTTTTAGCAGAAATCACCGATTTTAATTGATTGTGGTCGCTAAACTATTTTTATTTTGACAGAACATTGCTTTGTTGTGTTATATTTTACTTTAATTTATATATACGTGTAAATTTTATCTTAGAAAAATAATCTTTAATTGTCTGCTTTCAAAATTTCTTAGAATGTTTCTCTTGAATCATGCAGTTCAATAGATTCTTTTTCATTATTAGGACTACTCTTCAGTAATTTAATTTCAAAATATTTTGCAAGGGGACCTGAATTTGTCTTGATCGGTCCCTGATAATACCCACTTAGAGGATCGTTTTTGAAACTAACANTAAAAATATTTGTACTTTTACTCGTTACTTTTTAAAAGTAACGTTGCCATATATGCTTCTAAGTACAAGAAAAGAGAATAGAGTCGATCCATCGTTCCCACATCTTTCGTTTTTCTCGAATCTTTTAGCGGTCCCGTCTCAAATGCTATCTTTATGATGTTAGTAATACCCAAGGCCTGAATATCGCCTAGGCCCAATAGGCATGGGTCTAGGGCCCACAATTTCTGAAGGGCCTCAGAAATTAGTAAAAAGTCTAATGACAGATGGGCCAGCTTTGTGTTGGTTTAAGTTCTAAATAATAAATTATTACAGCTCATAATAAAAAATAATTCCGCTAATTAGTGAATTTTAGCAAAAATCACCGATTTTAATTGATTGTGGTCACTAAACTATTTTTATTTTGACAGAACATTGCTTTGTTGTGTTATATTTTACTTTAATTTATATATACGTGTAAATTTTATCTTAGAAAAATAATCTTTAATTGTCTGCTTTCAAAATTTCTTAGAATGTTTCTCTTGAATCTTGCAGTTCAATAGATTCTTTTTCATTATTAGGACTACTCTTCAATAATTTAATTTCAAAATATTTTGCAAGGGGACCTGAATTTGTCTTGATCGGTCCCTGATAATACCCACTTGGAGGATCGTTTCTGAAACTAACAGAGTCCTGCTTCTGAAATTCTACCGGGAATTAACAAAAATATGGAATTCAATATTCAAAACAACGTGAATAACATATAAATTGATTTCTGTACTTGATTTGTGCTTTATTCACATTATTTTTTACTTTAGTCTGCGTAGCACAAATTATCTTTTTGGATATTGAAGTTAATTTGTTTTGAAAAGAAAAACAGTAACTCCTGATGAAAAAAATGTGTTACAGTTTGCATTAAACGCCTTATGATGTTTATACGTCAGTTATAAGAAATGCTGAAACTTGTTGTGTTGTCGATTCAAGCAGTTGGTGAAGTCAATGGTTGGTGAAGACGTTCAATGGTTGTAGAAGCTGAAGACGTACAGGGTATTACCGACGAAGACCAAGTTCAGCACAACCAATTGGAACAAACATTTGCGTTAGGCCCCGAAGTCTTTAAAAAAATGAGGAATTTCAGAAAATGAACAGCAATCTGTAACAAATGCCGAAATTTATTGCTAAGATGAAGGAGGACCAAAAATTTCCAAATATTTTAAATATATAAATATGCTTATTTATTCTTCTTTTGCATAGTAAATATTTTCCCTGGAAGTACACAACTTCTCAAGTTAAAATTTTTGTACTTATTGCAAATTTACCCATTTCCTTACTTTTTCAAATCATTATGTGATGTTTTAAGTTGACCCCACTCGTTGTTTTCCCGTATGTATTGTTCGTAATAAATTGTCTCCTCAGAAACGAAAGATCGAGGTTATACTGTATTTTTAACTATACGTACTTCATTAGTTTATGTGGTTGTGAAACTTATGACAAAAAAATTAAACTTTATCTCCATTTTATCTCCAACTTAACAAAAAAATAATATAAAAAACTTTTTTGACTAGCGTTCCTGTAAAATTTCACTTATCAACTATCTAAATGAATTAATTACATTCTATAAATATATTACACGATATTTTGTATTAAATTACCTTAGGGTATACTAGTTTAAAAAATTAAATTTACATTGATTTCGCAATGATTTCCAGACTTATGGGGAAATATGCAAGAAATAATAAAGACTAAACGACAGAAACCATCTTCCGTAACAATCCGTCCCTTATCTTGGGAGACGAAAATTTATTAAGGGAAAAAAATATATGTTTCCGAGTCTCATTTTGAACTATAAAATTATTGTTTAAAAGGATAAATTTATTTGAACATTTTAAATTGAACAAACCTTTTGTCCAGCAGAGCAACTTGAATCAAAACTATATATGGTTATATAATGCTTATATATTATATATAATAACTTACATCTTCGGCGATTCCTTTTGGAGCTGCAACATCACTGAATACCTTTTCCAATTTATAGAGAGATCTCCAAATTGTCATGACTTCTTGCTCAACAAGCTCCGGATCAACTTGATCAATCGAACCACTTAACCAATCACTATCGAAACAAACAAAAAGATAAGTACATAATTGGATCAATAGGGAGAGAGGGATGAATACACCAAAACAGTGAGGACATGTATTGTAACTTCCACCAGGGCAGGGCTCGAAAAACCGCCCGTCCTCGGTTGTCAAAAATTTTCCGCGGACAACGAATTTCTCGAATCCGACGTCCGCGCGGACGGCCATTTTCCCGTTAATGTTCGTAATACAGTTTCAATTTTTGTTATCTTACAAGAGTCTAGCACCTCACTTCTAAATTGACCCTCTAATCTAGAAATTCCGTTAATTCGTTGGTCAGACAAAATGCGCATGCTTACATAATCGGTAAACAAAAGAAAAGTTGCTCTGCATTTGGACTTCAAACAAAGGAATTAACAATTCCTCTGATCACGTTAAACGCAATTATGAACATCTACCTAAATGGAAAAACCCTTTCAGATTTCTGTGCAGAAACCTCTGTAAATCATTGGCTTGATTGGGAAACTGGCAAACGTCATATTTGATTCATTTAAAAAACGCAGTACCCTCGGATAAATTGACATTCCAGACAACTTGACCTTGGTCATTTAAATTATTTCATAAAATAAATACTAGGTTACTATTAGTAACCTAGGATTTCTTTTATTAGTGTATAATGTAATCCTAGTAACTGCCAATTCATTGTGCAATTTATATAAATGTTTGTAATAAATAAGAGAAAATTATATTTTTATTTATTCAGAAGCTACGAGTTAGTTTCAAAGGAGGACGGGTAAAATTTCTGAGTTTTTTCGAGCACTGCACCAGGGGATATTTTCATTCTTTTAAAGTGACCACAGTCTGACTGTGGTAGTTGAAATTGCTCGATTGCAATTAAATAGTAAAAACTTTAATTTTTCAAAAAGGAATTTTTTCAATTCTTAAATTTTAAAGGAGTTTTTAAAGATTTTAATAATTGATTTAAATTTTTTAAATTTTACTCTAGAAGGGAACTAACTTAGTAACGAGCAAAGCGAACACAGTTTTCAAAGCAAAACCATTTACGATTTCCTAACAATTTTCGGGGGGTTGGGGACTGTCGGCGAACAGGGGGTGGTGCCCACTAGTAGCTTTTATTAATTTATCAAACAATTTTTTGCGTTTGATTTAGAGAATAACGGTTGGTAGTTTTATGATTGAAAATTTCCGAGCTTAGAAAGTCTTAATTCCGTATTTATATACACTCTATAACAAAAAAATCGACGCACCAAGAAGGAGTCTTCCGATTGAAACAAAAATTGATGGATAGGAAGACAATGTACAGAATAGTAAATGATTAAAATTTCAGAACAATTGAATAATTAATTTCAGAGTTACAGTAACAAGTTCAATAAGATGTTAACCCGCCTTTAGCCTGGATACAAGCTGCCACGCGGCGTGGTATAGACCGATAAAGCTCCCGGATGGTCTTTTGCGGTATTTCCTGCCAAATTCGATCCAATTGTCGAACGAGGTCATCAACATTCCGTGCCAGATGCAATCGCCTTCCCATCATATCCCAGACATTCTCGATGGGAGAGAGATCTGGTGATCTGGCAGGCCAAGGAAGAGTTTGACAAGCTTGCAGACAGTTCATAGCAATACCTGCCTTATGTGGTCTGGCATTGTCCTGCTGAAAAACCAGCCCAGGGCGCTGCAAAAGGAATGATAGACAAACAGGTCTTAGGATGTCGTCGACGTACCGCTGTGCGGTAAGTGTACCTCTAATGACGACCAAAGGGGTCCGGCTGTCAAAGGAAATGGCACCCCAGATCATAATGCCTTGTTGAGGGCCGGTGCGGCATGCAATAGTGAAGGCAGGATCCCCCCTCTGCCTTGTGCGTCTCCAAACACGTCTTCGATGATCGTCAGGACACAGTTGGAAACGGGATTCGTCGCTAAAGACTATACATCCCCAGTGTTCAAAACATTCATGCATACGAAATTTCAAAGCAATCGGATGATTGCTTCTTGGTGCGTCGATTTTTTTGTTATAGAGTGTAGTATGCCCAAAAGATGTCACCAGTATATAAAACATGCTATACTCACGGGAAATAATTATTGCAGGGTGGCCGGGAAGTAACTCTGACAAAGTTTAAACCAAATATTATTGTTGTAACATAATACAAATTCATTTTTAGAGATGTCAAACATTTCAAAAACACAAATGTTCTTTAAAAGCCAAAAATGGATCTTCGAACGTGATTCTGATCCAGCACCAGATCAAGATTAATATTGTAATATTCATGATTTTTAGGTGTTCTATGGCTTTCTATGGCAGTTCGATTGTTAATAACACATTTATAAAGGGAATTAAATTACATTTAGAAAATGGCTCGCTATAATGACTTTACCATTCCTAATATGAGGATGGATCAAAAAAAGGACACTTCTTGTTTAAAATAAAGCATTTCTAAATTTTTTTAGAAATCTTTTCGAACATAGTGTGAAAAAAAGCAATTCATTAACAACGCATACATTTTATGTCGTTGATAAAATAAAAAAAAAACTGCTTATACTTAGGCCTCAATGTTTCACTTTACTGAAACTTGTCACCAATCATTTACATTTTAGAAGAATTAATAAGATTATTTTAAATGGATGTTTACCTTTTCTTCTTAGTGAAGTCAACTCCCAACTGATAGAGTTGAGCGTAGGGTTTCAAATCCTTCACGAGTTTCAGTCGAAGTGGATAATTGGTGATCTCCCACTCAAATTCCTCCTCCTCCAAATTGATGTTTTCTATGTGGGTCTCTGCCTCCAGAAGCCACTTCTCCACGATTTTTGCCTTTTCCAGATACTTTGGCACCAGCTGGAGTTTGTTCCACTGAGACATCCCGCTTATTTGATCGCCATAACTTTTCAAGTCTTCAACGAACGTTTTTCGCTTTTCCTGTAAACACACACCCATTTTTTACTTCAAACTTTTATACTGCGGGATAATTCATGCACAAAATGTGACAGAAACTGGAGAAACATGTGTTTGCAAATGAAAACTTTTATAAAATTGAACAAATCTGTTGTTAAAAAACTAAGTTTTACGATAATTCATGCTCGATGTTATGTATAATTTGATCCATGACATTTTTATGTCACCTGCTATTACCACTGTTTTGATATTGATAATATTAGACCCATGTTGAAAACGTTATGGAATTTAGCGGCAAACTCCTTGTTGCTACAAGGGGTGATCAAATGAAAAGGTACGAAACGACGTAAAAACGTAACAGTTAAATATTTGCATGTTCCGCTATGGGAGAACGTAGCGAGACATCTCGGGATGCGATTGGAGTCTCTGAATGGGAGTGCGCGGGTGCCCGCATGAGAGAGCAGAGGCGTCCAAATGATGCGGAAGTCCGCATGAGGACTGGATGGCGTTCGCGTTGCAAAATTCGACGATTGAGGAGCAGCGAGGTGTTTCCTCGAGCACAGAAAAATCATTAACTCCGATGTGTACTGTGAGACACTCTGACGCCTACGCAGGTCCATCAAGAATAAAAGACGGGGGCTGCTCACGGAGGGTGTGGTTCTGCTCCATGATAAAGCTCGTCCACACGTCTCCTGGCCAAATTCGAGTGGGAGGCGTTGGACCATCCGCCCTACAATCCGGACTAGTCGCCCTGCGATTTCCATGTGTTTGGTCCACTGAAGAAACACCTGAAAGGGAAGCTCTACAACTCGGACGACACACTCAAGGACGCTGTGAAAGACTGGGTCTCGTCAAGACCACATGAATTCTGGGAGCAAGGAATCCTGCGGCTTGTTCATCAGTGGGATCGCTGTGCACAGGCCTATGGTGTATATTTTGAATAAAGTCTACATTTGTACCCACCGTGTCGTTTCGTACCTTTTCATTTGATCACCCCTTGTATGTTATAGCTTATTCGTATCAATCATTATGACTACTCGCATTGTCAAAGGTGTAATAAAATTTAAGTCTCTATTGAATGCAATTGCAAAATTCAGGTTGACTTGTTCGTATCAATTATTATTACTCACAATATCAACAGAGTGGTGAAGCTCTCAATAGCTCCAAGTATTTCAAATTCTAATAATTATTGAAATTAGTTATAAAATCCATATTATAACTAAATTCAATAAAGTTCAACCTACACATAAATTGATTTGCCGATATTAATTATTGTTATTAGTTACATTATCAACAGAATAATGTAACTCTCATTAATTCCTCGATAGTCGATTTCAAGTCTTTATCGAATTCAGTTGTAAAACCCATCTGTGTCAAACATAAGTTATTTAGCAGAATTCAGTTGTAAAGCTCATGTTCATGTCAACTATTACTTACCTTATCAACAGAGTAATGAAGCTTTTAATAAAGTTGTTGAAATTATTATGAGATTTTAAATTGTGAGATTTCATGTCATTATTTTATTACAATAGAATTTAAATTATGCATGGTGCTAGAGACTTTGCACATTTGTTTGTTTTCGTTTAAGTTGCAGATTTTCTATTTATAAATTTACACATTAACATAAGCAAATAAATATTAACATATGCATTTAAAGAAAAACTAACATAAAATTTAAGAACAATGGATGTTGTTGTTGTCGTCGTAGGAATTTGAGGATGCAATTGTTCCTGTTTTCCAGTGACGCCACCTCCGGCCAAGAATTCGACTTTTGTCATACCCACACGTCACACGCGTTTATAGGAAAGACCCATTCACAATCCATTCATTAATCCACAGATCGTAATTTTGACAAAGCAATACCTCTAGGATTACTGAATTGGTGATTGATCATTCTCTGGTTCAGGGCAAAATTACGATCTGTGGATAAATGATTGTATGTATAAATGAGCAGTGACTTGTGTGTGGTAGAAGTCGTATTCTTGGCCATAGATGGTGCCACAGAAGAACAAGAAACGCAACCTCTGTCTCAAAATTCGCTTGGTTTCACCAAGCAGGCTTGTTAGTATAGTGGCAAGTAGCATTAGAAACAACAACAACAACTACAAAAAAACTCGATGAGAATTGATCAAATGTACGAATGCATAACGTACAAGAGAAAATAGCCCTCCTATGTTGAATCTCTTTTTGTCCTGACGCAAACCTTTGCTGTAACCCACATTTATGTACCCATCATTGTTTTTATTTTCTAAAGTTATCAACAGATGGCAGCACAAATCCAAAATAGCTTCCAAATAACGTTTAAAAACTAATGAAGTTTATGGGAAATATAAGCTCACCGGACAAAAAATTAGTCACCCTAGTGCGCAAGCACCGATGAATCGTTATGTTTCCTTAGATGACGCTGTAGTCAAATGACGTGCTCAACTGCGTACCCACTGCCTCAACGTGATCAAAGGCAACTAGCCATCAGAGGAATATTTTTTGTTTAAAGCGGAAATTGTGTGTAAATATGAGTAAGGATGTGACAGGGTGGCAAAAAGGGGCAATTGTGTTTGGCCGTGTCTATGGTCATACGGTGAAAGAAGTTGCTGGATTTGTTGGTGCTTCAATGCGGACGTGTCAACAAGCTGTGGTGTAATACACGCTGTCACGAAAGACGACGTCAGAATTGTGGTCGTAAAAAGATACTGCATTAAAGGGATCGAAGACGTGTGCCACGACTTGTCAATCACAATCACTTCCAAACCAGACAGAAATTTCTTCAGTTAGTGAATGAAGGACCATCCCAACCTGTTAGGGAGAAAACATTGAGACGGGAGCTGTATGCAAAGAACATTTGGAGTCGAACACCTCGTAAGAGGCCATTGCTCACACAATCGCATAAAGTTCCGCGACTTCAGTGGGTTAGAAGTCACCGAACGTGGGCAGTTGCTGATTGGCGGTATGTAATATGGTCAAACGAACCACGTTTTTGCCTTTATTCAAATGATGCAGGTTGTCGAGTGCACGGAAGACCAGATGAAGTATTTCATCCTGACTGTGTGTAAGGTTAGGCTCAAGACGGAGGCGGGTCTGTCATGTTTTGGGGTTGTTTTACTTATTGTGGATTGAGTCCCCTCACTGAGGTGGCAACTAAAATGAACCAACATGTTCATTTGAACACTCTGAATGATCAGGTGTTGCCTTTCAGTGAACATATTCATGAAGAGTATGCTGACGATTCCCCTATTTTTCAAGATGACAACAGTAAATATCATCGGGCTGGAAGAATATGTGACTGGTTTTAGGAACACTCAGACACTCAATTACATCTCGACTGGCCTGCAAAATCACCTGATTTGAACCCCTTTACAAACTTGTGGGATATGTTGGAACAACGGGTAAGATGTCGAAATCAGCATCCTTACTATTTGGTGGATTTGTGCGATCAAATCCTCAGCGAGTGGCTTAAATTAAGTTCGACATATCTGCAAAACCTTGTTGACTCACTTCTAATCGAATCCAGGCAATTATCAAATCCAGAGGTGATGTTACATGTTATTAAATGATGTTCTTTTATGATTTCTCTAAGGGTGACTAATTTTTGGTCCGGTGTGCTTACTTCCCACGGCATAATAAAGGGTTTAAGAAACCTAAACGTTAATCGCTTTTTCAACTTACATCTTCTTAAAACTATGAACAGGTAAATATACTTACAATAAGATCTTCTTGAAAATCTTTCAAACACTTTTTTGAGACTTGAGCATTTTCTTTGATTATTTTAGGAAATTCTTGATGCATAACGTAAATTTTAGCATTTAATTTCAACTCATCCTCTGAAAAATCAACTATACCAGATAAATAATAAATCCATTCGGTGACTCTTCTTAGTTTCGTCTTTAACTCCTCTAATTCAGTTTCCACAAAACTTTTCACAAAGTCCTAAACAAAAAGAAAACAGTTTAGTGTATTGCAAAATGTTTGAATTTTTTTAGCATTTTAATAATATAATTTATCTAAAAACTAGAAATAAAATTTACATGTAACAAGTTTTATTTTCAATCACTAAAAATTCATTTATCCAGTTTTTATTAAAAAGTAAATTCAAAAAAAGAAGAAGAAAAAAGAAAAAAAACATCAAGTTTATTCTGTTTTAGGATTAGCTCTGCAAACTACAGAAACTTTTTGGTTGCAGATTTGGGGGTTCCTTGTCTAAAAAATGCCTAGAATTGCCTTATAAGATTATCATCTATAAATTTTAAGAAATAAATAACACATGTTACCTCAGGAAACTGTCCAGGAGCCATGAGTTCAATTCCCGCAGTCCTAAGGCTACCCGTGTACAAAACGAAGCATGTCGCTAAGTCCTCCAAGTTCCCGTAACAAATCAATACCTCTGAAAGTACTGGATCTGAGATTCATCATGCTCAGGTTCTAGTCAAAATTACGATTTGATGATGGATGGAAGCTTATATTGTTGGATGGATATTGTTTAAGTTTCCTCCCTGTGAAAAAGGCTGTGACGTATGTGTGTGGGAAAAGTCGAATTCTTGGCCACAGATGGTGCCTCTGAAAAAACAAGTAGAAACGCACCCGTCTGCCTTAAAATAGGCTTCTCAGTATTGACAAGTGGCATAAGACAACGACATCTTTTAACAGACATGGTAGAAGTGCCACGCAATTTTGAACCGCTCAAACGATGTGGAGAGCATCTTAGCTGGTATTTCTTTCTCCAAACTTCCACATCACAACCAGCGATAGGACTTTCAATCAAGACAGATTTAATGCGTACCTTGCTGCGAGCGCACGCTGATTGCCAAGATCGAACTCACAACCTACCAGCTGAGTGACCGAAAAAGTACTACGCGGCAGGATGAACTTTTCTTTGCAAATTCTGTAACCTCTTCATTGGTATTTTAAAATTCTAAAATTTTTAGAGAAAATGAAGTTCAGGTAAACCCATAATAAACAATAAAGTTTCAAAAGTCGAGAGTGTTTTCAAACTATCACAATGCAAACAAATAAATTATAGCAGA